GCACAGAGCGCACAGAGCGCGCAGAGCATGGGCATTATATATACACCCTCATTACCCCCAGATAGCTTACACTCTCTTCGTAGCCAACTCATGTTAACTATTGGACTGATAGTTCTTAGTGACAAGTGACTTCTCATACCTTGTGTTCTTCCCAACCAGTTCATACTATTCAGATTGTTACTAGGAACCCTAACCCAGTTAGGCCCCAGTAGGATCTCTAACACTAACCTTTCGAAGGAACTTCTAAAGAAAATAAAGAAGGATTACTCTAGGTGGTTCTCAACGTTAATAGAGCGTCTAGCTATTCATCGTTAAAAGTAAACTCGTGCCGAGCTATCGGCGGCTCGGGTTCATTAGAAGTATAGTCCTTCTTTCGATTAAGAGCGTCTAACACCTAAGATTATCGAATCACTATATCGCTTTAGGTACGGGTATATCCCTTAATCTACCGCTAATATCTTACTAACCGACGCTCTAGTTCGGTAGATTCACTCACGAACTTAGCGGCCTCTGCTCGCACCTAAGTCATTCGCTGAGCTAACCGTCGAGCCCGTTTAGTTAGCTCTTTACGTACCTCTCGGTAGCGGTTCTTTAACTCTTTCTTCTTCTTCTTCTAGAACTAGAACTTATTCTCGGAGTATTAATCATTATATTTTATATTTTTCCGGGTGCACTCATTACAACGGGAATTACCTTTTAGAAGGAAGTAAAAAAATAACGACTTACTGTAATTCGAGCAAGGAGCTATGGTGCGAGAATCTAAGCGTTTTATCTTCTCGGCGAGAAAGCGACGTTCGGAAGCGCGTTAACGGAAGGGAACTTTTCGAAGATCAGAAGAGAGAAGAAAAGAGAAGGAAGAAGATATCTTTAGATCTAAGTAAATTTAAGTTAAGTAGTGTTCCGCTTTTATATTATCGCTAAGATAAATTCTTAGGATAAGGATCTAATCGGAGGAAGAATAGTATTAGATATAGCCTTAGAAGAGACCGGTCACGGGCTGCGAAGGCGCGGCTCAAGACACTTATTAGATAGATGGAAGGATCTATAAGGGAATAAGGCTAAACTACGTGATATACCCTGTTGGCTCTGTCGGCCCTGTGGGCTCTACCAGTAGAGCGCGTAGAGCGCATAGAGCGCACAGAGCATAAGCATTATATATACCCTCGTTTTCCCCCTAGATAGCTTATACTCTCTTCGTAGCCAACTTATGTTAACTATTGGACTTATAGTTCTTAGTGACAAGTGACTTCTCATACCTTGCGTTCTTCCCAACCAGTTCATACTATTAGAATTGTTACTAGGAACCCTAACCTAGTTAGGCCTCGGTAGGAACCTTAATACGTGAGTTCAGTGATGCGATCAGTAGTTGAGATGAGTGACTCTCCTTAGACAAGCGACGGGACGTATATAGCGACAATTCTACACGTCTTCACAAAGTTCGACGCCTTTCTAAATAGAAATCCGCTTCTTCATCTATTCTTATGGATCTAGTACGACAAGATAACCGTACAGAGCTGCAAACTCAGCTCCCATCACCGTCGCTGACGAAAAATGGCGGTGTGAGTATAAAGAGCTATCACGCCTACGTAGCGAATACTAATAGAGGTATTTAGAATCATGTTCAATCATCTTAAGCTAAGTCTTTAGTACGAAAACGAAAGACAAGATCACTTAACTTTCTTCCATTTAACTCCCAACCAACACAAAGAGCTTGGTTACTCTTAGCGCCTATAGAGACCGTCTCATCCATCGAGGAGTGGTTATCTCATCTCCCGTCTATCAAGAACTTCGATAAACTCGATAATGTAATGGGTTGAACCTAGAAGAAGGCTCGGTTCTACTAAACCAGCGCCAAGTGTAAGATCAGAGCCTAGAATCACTGCGGTCTCACATCGTCATAAAATTAGAAATGTCAAAGTTTGTATTTTGTTTATCATATGTCACATCTTCGGAATCATTCCAAGCGGAACGGTTTCCAAGAATGGTCTCTTCTTGGTCTGCTGCTCCAGGGATCTCAGAGCTCCATCTATGTCTGAACTGAGTTACATCGACGAGGGGTTAGGAAACTTGATCGCCTATGTCCCTATTGTCCCATCGACAGGGGTAAGGGCCTTGCCGGTCTGGAAAAAGGACGTGATGTTGTCCATTGCCAATTTTTCGAATGCGACGCCGGACTCAACAGTTGTGCCGCCAATATGGGGAGTCAGAGTGACATTGCCCATCTTGATCAATTCTGGATGTACTTCCGGCTCTTTTTCCTGTACGTCAAGACCTGCGGCGGAAAGCTGGCCTGATTTGAGAGCTGCCACGAGTGCAGCCTCGTCATGTAGAGAGCCCCGGGCGATATTGACGAAGCGGCTGCCCTTTTTGAATCTCGAAAACATCGTCGCATCGAAGATCTTTTGGCCTTCAAAGGGCACGCAACATACTACACAGTCCGAAGTCTGCACTAGGCCTTCCAGGGTGTCGACATAGGTTGCTTGAACCGAAGCCTCATCTTCTTGAGTCCTTCTTCTAATATCATGATACTGGATGTTCATGTCAAGCCCGTGATAGGCCTTCTTTGCTAGCAGGTAACCAATTCGACCCAGGCCAATGATGCCCAAGGTTTGACCTTCGGGGTTTTGAGCTTTTGCGGAAACGGCCCGGGCCTTCTGCCATGTCTCTGTACTGCCAGATCGAGCGGCGAGCTGCGCCTCAGTCAGATATCGAAAGACGGAGATGACAAGGTAAAGAGCCAGGTCCGCTACTGCTTCAGCAGGCGCCGACGCGCCATTACAGTACAAAAAGCCTGAACTCGTGTTAACGGCTAATACCGCAGCAAACTGGATCCGAGGCTCGGACAAACCTCGCTTAGTGTAGGCAGGTATATCCATCCAGTCGTAACCTGCTCCGCAGCTTGAATGAATTTTGAGGCTGTCCGGTAACAACGGAACAAGCTCCGAGTCGAACGGCTCCATTTCATCTCCCTCGTACCAGAAACACCTGAGTATGGCATCGAACTCACCCCATTTTCGCGTTCGAAGCCCCTCAAGAAATGTAGATCTCTCCCGTTCCTCTTTGGTCGTCGAAATCACGTCAAAGGTGTCGTAGAATTGTTTAACTGTTTCAGCATTGTGCTCCGGGACATGTCCCAAAGAAAGGACTCTCTTTTTAGCCGCCATTTTACAGGTATGGTTCCTATGCAAGACATTGGTAGTTACCGCTTGAAGTTTCTTCAACTGCAAAGGTAAGGCCCATCAACTTATACATTACCGAAGTCCTCCTACGGAAGCCTCCGCCAGTGGGCTGTCTGTTATCCTGCTCCAAATAGCTTAGCGAGCCAGATACCTGGGTGTTTGCTTTCTGCAAGTCCAAAAAGGCCCGTGTCATCGTTGCTAGAGTATTAGGGACAGTTCCGAAAATTGAGCGGCCGATGTCCTAACTACCGACGGAAAATCTCCACAAATGGCCGAAATCCACATGAGAATCCCTGAGCATCAGGCCGTTCTTGTCGAGGGAGGTAAGGCCTCTTGATCTACGCCCGGAATTCGGCTGCCTCAACTGATTTACCCCCATAAAGTTGAATGATTCTGTCCGGCGACCATGCTGACAAGGGTGTGACTGGCACGGCGGCCACTAGCGCCACATCTCCGAGCATTGTAGCTTTCGGCCAATCAGTGGCTTTGCCATAACTGAGTGAACGTCAAGAGGCACCACTGTGTTAATGTCCAATCTCGTGGGCACGTTATCATTGCTATTTTTCTCCCTCGATTTGAGGAAGTTCCGAATAATGGTCAACGGGAGAAGAACCGCTCCCTGTTGGTGCTGAACGGGACTTTCGGAAGCTTGCCGCACATCGCCCTCAAAGCAGTGGCTATTCGTCAGAGCCTAGGCAGGGGTGAATTGGCGCTCGCTGTCCCATGCGCGCTGCAAGGACGCATTGCATGTTTCTGACTCCTACAGCACATTTCAATGCTGCATATTGAACAAAATGGCTAGGTCTACAGGTTCGGGGTGTAGTACGTTTACCGTTCTCTCTACTTCGTCTGTAAGGAGACTTGCTCTCACTAAGCATATGTTTACCAGTGCGTTTCTGTCCAAGAGACACCTTGATCAGCACGGAATCATGAGCGGTCAAATCGATCTGACCGAGTATCTGTTTCGACGACTTTATCAACTGGGAGTTAGGAGCGTCCATGGAGTTCCGGGTGACTATAACTTGACGGCGCTGGACTACGTTTCAATTGCTGGACTCAACTGGGTTGGCAACGCAAGCGAGCTCGGTGCTGGTTATGCAGCAGATGGGTATGCCAAAATCAAGGGATTGTCGGCGGTGATAACCGCCTCGGGGGTTGGCGAGCTCTCGATCATAAATGCTATTGCAGGTTCCTACGCCGAAATGGTGCCAGTTGTTCACATAGTTGGAACACCGCCTATTCCTGCCCAGGATGCCCGTCTGGTCATGCACCACACTTTGGGAGACGGCGACTTTCGAATATTTGCAGACATGGCCGCAAAAATTACCTGTGCGCAAGCTAGCCTTCGAGATCCGATCATGGCAATTGCCATGATCGACGAAACGATCCAGCAATGTATTCTACAAAGTCGTCCTGTCTACATCGAACTACCTACGACCCTGGTCCGTTTGAAGGTGTCGGCTGCTGAACTTGATAGGCCGATCAATCTCTTGATTCCGGAGAATGACACACACCTTGAGGAACAAAAAGCCAGCTTGATCTTGGAAAAGATTTACGCCGCAAAGCAGCCGTTTATTGTCGTCGACGGGCTAACATCACGTTTCGGCTTCGCCGAAGAGGTCGGAGAGCTAGTTCGTGCTACTGGCATCGCCACGGCAGCTACGCCCTTTGGGAAGGGCATAATCAACGAACATCTCTCCAATTTTCATGGAGTGTATGCAGCAAACGCCGGGGATCCAGCTTTCGAGTCCTGGGTTCACAAGTGCGATTTAGTGCTATACTTCGGACCTCTAATGTCGGACTTCAACACCTATGGGTTCATCACTATCCCCGAACGCAAGCGGACCATAGCCTTCCATCGTAACGTCATCGAAATCGGAGACGAAAGACTTGAAGCCTTGCGGGTAAAGTCATTCCTTAGAAAAGTCCTGAATTTGATCGACCAGACGAAGTTGCACACCAACATTCACATGGAATTACCCGATCCAGTGCTCCAGTTGAAAACCCTACCCTCTGCAGCCCCGGACGGAAATATCGATCAACATACATTTTGGAAACGAATATCGTCCTTCTTCCGTACGAATGATGTTATCTTGGTAGAAAGCGGCACATCATCACTTGGGGGTTCCGAAATGGTCCTTCCACCAAACACCACATTTATTACTGGCGCAATCTGGTTATCCATCGGCTACATGCTGGGGGCGGCGCAGGGAGTATCTCTAGCATTGAGAGACGCGTCAAAAGACGGTCTGCGACCTGCCGCACGAACCATTGTGTTTGAAGGCGATGGCAGTTTTCAGATGACCGTCCAGTCGATCAGTGATATCATTCGGAATCGCCTCGACGTGACCATCTTCGTCATCAACAACGACGGATATGTCATTGAAAGGTTGGTGCACGGTATGACTGCCGAATACAACGATATCCAACCTTGGAGATATCTGGAGGCATTCAGTTTCTTCGGGGCCCCTAGAGACGATCCCGCGTACCCTATTGTGACGAGGAGAGTGGAGAACTGGGGTCAATTGAATGATGCTTTGGCAGAGGACCCTGTGCAGCAAGGGAAAGGCTTGATTATGGTCGAAGTTATCATGGGTCGAGAAGACGTGCCTGCATCCTTGAGGAGGTTAGTCGAGGGCGCCAAAAACCGAAATGCAGGCCCGTGAGTTCGATGGGTGTACGTGTCATACGCAATCTGACAATCATGTGAACCTGACTCAACCACAGGCATCTAAGCTAGATTCACATGAGTCCCTTGTCCGCCGCAGACCCTGGCCATGGGGTGATTATTGGAAACAGCTTGTTGACAGACCGTGCTCCCCCGAGGAAAGGCTCTTGGCATTCGACATGCTCTTGAAGGGTGTTAATCGGTGGATAGAGCATTACAAGGCGACATAATGCAGACGCTATAGATGCTGATCACTCCTGGCGCCACTATGCACTTTCTATCAACGTATTCGAAATAAAATCTCAGCGGACATCAGATCAATGTTTGAATAGGTTTCCATGGCGAACGGCCCGCGGACCTCTCAGCGCCTTCTGTGGATGGCTCCATTGACGCCGTTAACATAGCGATTCTCAAGCAGGCGACTATTTTTTGCAGCATCCTCAGGAACACTGAAATGAGACCTCAATCCTCTGGTTTGCATGCCGTAGCTCTGCCGCCGCTTTCGACATCCGTTTAAGGCCCATTCAGCCAGCCCTAGCGTTATATTGCTCTCAATACTATTGCCATACTGCGCTTGCCAACTTTCCATGGTTTCAGATCCACCGTGCTGGCTTTGTGGTGAGTGTTACTCTCCGGTCTAAGGCTGGTCATTACGTTATGAAGACCTGCGATGCCGCGTCTAAAGCTTGCATCTGTTCGAGCATCGTATTCACCTATAATTAAGCCCACACACTTAGACATTGTGTTACGGTGATACTATGGCGGGCGGAATGTGTCTTCCATAACAAGCCACCCGGTGGAAAGATGAGGAGGTGCCCGTCCACAGAATGGAACGCAGAGCTGAGGATCCATAGATTTGCCGGCAGTGAAGATGAAATAACTCATCCCAGAGCGCGCCACAGCATTCGCAGCGCCGGCCCGGAGGTGCATGGAATGGACCCAAATAAACATCTTTCTCAAAGTCAAAGATATGTCAAAGATACCATCAAATCTGACTCAGCGTAAAAGGAAGCTTGCGCGATTCTTTAGACAGTTCTGTATCGTTTTCGATCACCAAAGGACGGCAAAAACGTTCAGGGTTGGTTCCTGCAAGACATGATGATGCTGGTGAAAAGACTGTACAGCAGAAAAGCCGTCACCGTCAGCAAACAGGGGCCAGATCCAGTATATGATCACCAAGAATAGTTGCTGGCACTATTCTGTCAGGCATGGTGCTTTTGGAAATAATCCCGATTGGTATGTTGGCAAGGCTGAAATCGGACGTTGGCGAGACAGCTAGCGAAGATTTAGCAGCCGTTGTGTGCAATTCGTCCTTGCAAATACCCTGACGTCGTGAACTTTCGTCGATATCAAACTGAAACTACGCAAAAGACCCGGCAACTGGCAACCAGGGTTGAGGATGGTTAATTGTATTCGAGCTCAGGGTTCAAACCACCATCGAGCTTGGGCTTGTAATTGGTTCAAGCTGAATACGCGTTTCCTCAAGCTCTAGCTTCACATGTGACACAACACACCTAATCTCCTTCCTCCAGGCATGAGGGCGGCAGCGGAAAGATCACGCCGTCATTGTTGCAATGATCAGATTGAGCCGGCTATCGATGTTCGGTACACAATAAACATGTCGGAAAGCAAAATGTGGGTCCCAACCTGGCTCGGAGATTCGGAATGTCGCCGAGCACTCGACCATCCGCCCTCCATCCGCCCTCTGGCTGTTTGGGAGAGACTACACACTCATCCCTGCTGCGCATAGGATGACCTTTTAGCTACATTAGTTGACCATGGAAAATGACCTTGTTTCACCAACCTCCGTCGTCAGCGGAAATACTCGGCTCCGACCTCATTCTCTGTTTTATTTGCTGAAAACAAAAGTCGCGTAACAGTATATCTGCCATTGAACCATCAAGGACAAGCCTTGACATGTGCAGTTTGACGGTCGAAATTACATCTGAGATTCAACCAGTTCTCTTTGAGACTCCGGTGAAATGGCGTCAAGCCATTGGGACGCTTTCCAAAGCCAGTCGACCCGTCAGATTGCTCTCTTTGGCATTCTCATCGTAACATCTGTCACGTTCATCATTTATGAGCTTGTCAGATGGAATTCCAGAATACCAAAGTTCTCAGGGCCTGTTGGATTACCGATCGTAGGCAATCTGTGGCAGCTGCGCGGAAAGGATATTCCAGAGCAATATAGGGTATGGTCAAGAAAGTATGGGGCTGTGTATCAGGTCCAGCTTGGGAGCATTCCTGTCCTCGTCATTAACAGTGCAGCGGCTGCGAAAGCAATATTGATCCAGAATTCGCAAGCGACAGCGTCGAGACCAGAATTCTACACATTCCACAAGGTAAAAGGAATTCCTCGATACAAGTCTAAGCCATTACTAACATCACAGATTATCGCCAGTACATCCGGCACAACCCTGGGCACCACTCCATACACGAATTCTCTGAGAAAACGGCGTAAGGTGGTTAGTGCGGCCCTCAACCGCCCCGCTGTCGAGAGTTACATTCCGCATCTCGATATCGAGACGCGATTCTTCTTAGCGGAGGCACTCAAGTATGGTCAATCAGGCGGTAGAGCAATTGATCCAATGCCTCTTTTCCTGCGCTTGAACCTCAGTCTGGGCCTCACACTGCACTGGGGTGATCGCATGGGATCACAGTCAGAGGTGTTCCAAGAAATCGTGTACGTCGAGGACCTAATCAGCAACTTTCGCAGCACCACGGGGAATTTGCAAGACTATGTCCCACTTTTGAGGTTGAACCCATTCAACTCCAGCTCGGCTATCGCCGCCGATATGAGGACCCGCAGGGACAAGTATATCGCTGCCCTTGACCGAGCATTGGATGAGAAGATGAAGAAGGGCGAGCACAAGCCCTGCATCAGGGCCAATGTGAAACTCGACCAGGAGACGAAGCTGGACGAGATGGAGCTGGGCAGTTTGAACCTGACAATGCTTACTGCGGGGCTGGACACTATGAATGGAGCAGTCGGCTGGGGCATCGCTATGTTGGCTACGATGCCCGAGATTCAGAAGAAGGCGCAGGAAGCAATCATGTCAACGTATGGAGATGACGCACCGCTATGCGACGCTTACGACCGGCAATCGTGTGACTATCTTTTCATGATGATTAAAGAGATTGTGCGGTAGGTTCATAGGCCAGGTCTTTGACTCTTCGCTGCTAACATGTGACCTAGGTACTACGCGGTCACTCGTCTTGCATTGCCCCGGCGATCCATCGCCGACTTCACTTATGAAGGCAAACTTGTCCCGAAGGGGACGATCCTCTTTCTGAATGCATGGGCTTGTAACATGGGTGAGCCAGCCCCCGCCTCTGGAAGCCGATGACGATCCCTTATTAACCCACGCACAGATCCTGCTGTCTGGGATGATCCCGAAGTCTTTCGCCCCGAACGCTGGCGGGAACAGCCTGACGCACCGCTCTTCACTTTTGGTGTGGGGCATCGAATGTGTATCGGAACGCAGCTAGCCTACCGAGAACTGTACCTCTTGTTCTTGCGCCTTCTCAACAGCTACGAGATTCGCCCACAAGGACCAATCGAGTCTCACCCAATTCGCGGCGTTGCAAATCGGAACTCCTTGGTGATGTTGCCCAAGAGCTATAAGGTCAGGTTCATTCCCAGGAATGAAAATGCGTTACAGAATGCGCTGGTGGAAGAACTGGGACAAGTTGTATTGGATGGCAAGGTTTGAGAGGCATCCGCGTAGTTCAACTGCCTCTGCCCGATATGCTTTACGCGAGGCAAGAGATGGCCTCCTTTTTGATCTCCTTTGGCCTAGACTTCTAGGAACCTCTTCCAGGAATGGCTTGGACAGGCCAAGGACAGGCCTAGCTTGAGGACTGTGTGAGCCTAGAATTCTAGATTCGGCACGATATTTTAGATGCCTCAGGCCAAGATAGCGCCAACTGGTTGACAACTCAACGTTAGTTAATCAGGCGGCGGCACATGATCGTTCTCTATTGCAGGGTCCCCAAGGTTCATTTCTGTAGAGCCCGCAGCTTCCAATTTCGAGAAGTTCCGGAAGTCCAGTACGAGGCATCCCATCGCGCCGCAAGGGTTCCAGCGAAGACGTAGTCCCAAGGGTGAAGAGACTGAGCTGTACACTAATCGTTTTCGTGGCATTTCGATGCAACCTTCAATAGGGCGTGGACAAGGTTGTCGGGGGTGAATGCAAGCAACTAGAATCCTCACTAGGATAGGGGAACCCATACCTGATCTGATATGTACTGTAATCAGTCCCTTCCCAATAATTGGAATGTCTAGCTCCCTCCACATTCACCATGGCTCGCCCGAGCTAACTGTTTACTCCGGAGTGCTTAGAGCTGGTACGATTACTAGACCAGTTGGCATTTCAAGCACCGAGCACGGTAGGAGCCTATGGAGTCTCAGAAAGGTCCTCGTACCCCGCATGTCCCGCAACCATCACATTTTGCTAGAGCATGCTTGACCGCTTAAATCGAGATCGTCTCCTACTCCTGGTCTTTATCTGCGCCGTTGGCGACCCCTAATCCCGTCCACCTATCTTCTCTTCTCTGGGTCTCCCTCTTGTCACTGATTTTCGAATGATGATGTCTTTTGTCCATAGCGCTGCTGCTGAGTTGAACATCGCAAAACTTGGCTAACTTTTTGGGCCCAAGTCACGGTTTGCAACTGTCTTTTTGGACCTGTTGACAATTTCTGCTTGTTCTTCGCGGGTCGATGGTCGATGGCAGGGCCAGGGACAGCCTGGGCGACTGGGCCGGCTTTTTACCAAACAGAAAATGCGAATACGGCCATTTCGGGCGAGAAAAGAGATCTAGAAACCTCTGCAAGGCCAGAGCCGCCGAAACGCGCACGTTATACCATTCATGCTTGGTCAGTGATACCGTGCTTTGCCCCCGAGTAAACAAACCCGCCGCTGATCTGACGCCTTGGGCCAATCTAGCAATGAATGCAAACGACGCAAGGTCAAATGCGACGGCAACAGTCCATGTCAGAGATGCGCTACACAAAATGTGGATTGCTCATACTTTCGCCGAGGACGACGTGGTAGCTTCGAAGACGTGAGGTGTGGTTGTCCATTCACCAAGCTCACGCACAAGACACTAACACCTCCCAGTGCTCAGAATGACCTCAATTCGCAAATGCGACAGATGCAGAGTGTCCTCCACACTTTGGTAAATAAGATGAGTCCCCGGGCGCCAAATAAACAAGATGCTCGAGAGGGAGGGAATGCAAATGATTCGACGGTCAGGAACTCCGACCAGCGCAACGAGCCGGTTTGGAGCGACGCAAACCCAGTTCGCGCCGAATCACCTCATGTGCGCGGACCAACGAGCACGGAATTCACCCTCGACGTTGTGAAATGCGGCTTCAGAGCTATGGGATATGACTCAACCCCTCCAGCATCACCCACCCAAGCTCAAGTCTGCGGGAATCAAGCACTTGACACGGGCTTACTTTCAAGTTGCAAACTCAGCCCGGGTCTCAGACTGGTGACGAAAGACCCTTTATGGCAACTCGGTAAAACCAGAGCTTTGCAGTTGATTGGAAGCTATACCAGCGGGCCGGGCGCGATGTATCCGGTGCTTCACGGCCAGAATCTGATTGATCAGGTCGAGAAGCTGTTTTCGGCCGTCCACGACCTACAAAATCCAGGTCCTTCGCAACGGAAAGCCCTCGCCTCGGAGGTCCTCCTAGCTCATGATCCAACGACGCTCCAACTGGTCCTGGCCATAGGCATCACGATCCAGAAGAGGAGCTCTGACGAGCTTATGCTTCGACTGTATGACAGTGCCCAGGAAGAATTGACAAGGTCGCTCCTGGATACCCCGACGACCTTACAGTCTGTGGTCTGGTTGATTTTGGCGGTAAGTTTAGTCATGGTCGCTGCCCTGTCCTGCCGCTGAATTAACATCACAACCAAAAAAAAGGCTATTTTCCATTTTCACCTTGACGACGAGCATAAAGCTGGCAAATTCGTTTCCATGGCTGCGCGAGCCTGTTTAGAGCTGGGCCTGCACCGAAACGAGAGTCTCTTGCGTAGCTTTCCAGATATCAAAGAGCGCAACCAAGCTGTTCTTATCTTTTGGGCCGTCTACATACTCGACAGACGTCAGAGTTCGGTACTTGGAATCCCTTTCGTCTTACAGGACATTGATTTTGACGCGACGTTGATGACGCCAACGCTTGATGTTTCCTCCTATGCTGATTTGGAGACCCGGTCACCGAGTGCTGTTCAGGCACAAAAGGCTTCGCTACAATATGTGGCCGCAATGGTTGACTTTGCAAAACTGTCGGGTAAGGCCATCCGGATTGTCAATAAACTGGGTGATATGTCTCTCGAATTCCCTAAAGAAGAAGTCGGCTTTCTAGACTATCAGGTTCAGCAGTGGTACTCAAGTCTGCCTGATATTCTGCAAACCTCTTGTGAACGCGTATGCGAGCACGGGAGTGGAGATAGGGCGACTGATGTGTCTTTCTACCTCCGAGTCGTGCTGAAGACGCGGACTTGTCAACTCCGCAACCTTTTGTGGAGGCCAGTCCTCTATTCTACGGCCAGAGTCTCCAGGAACGCCGGTCATGCCCGGACAGCGATCGAGGCGGCAAAAGAGACGGTTTTGTTTCTATGGAGGGTGAACACATCAACGCCATTGCTTCGGTCGCACCCCGTCTTCTTCAAGCACTTTCTGATCAACGCTCTCGGTGTTCTCTTGCTCAGTATCGTTCACGCATGGGAGGATTTTGGATGCCACATCAGCCAAGATTTCTACATGGCTCTGGATCTCCTGAGAGTCTTGTGTGCAGAGTCACCCCTTATCATGCGATACTGGGAACCCATCCAGAGGCTGGAGAAAGTGGCGCACAGAAATGGCCTTGAGCGTAAGCAAGTTTCTGAAGGGCCAATTCCGGATGAACTCTCGGACATGATCGCAGGTGACCAGGACGGCCACCACGCACCGACCGAAATTATTATGCCGACTTGGGCAGCGGCAAACGAGTCAGAGTGTGACATGGATTTTATAGATCTGGTTGATTTCAGGTCAGACTTCGTCACCCTCTTTGACCTTGAGGCCGGAGGCCCAAATGCCCTTCTTGACATTCCGCTAAACGGGGTGTTCATGACCAATCTTACAGCCTCATAACCTTTGAGGCGGGAGAGACAGCAGGTGGTTCCCTAGGGGCATATAAACCTCGGAGTAGAATTCCACGACTCTCCCCGGCGGAATTACTAAGATATGGCTGGAAACTACCGTGACCAGACTTTCTGGGCTGATTCGCAAGGCGCATTCTGTGCACTCTCCGTCCTGGGGTTGACATTGTATTGAATACTCTACTTATATCGTCTTGCTTATGTCTGGCCGACTGTTCGAAGACAGCGAGCCATGAAGTCACTATTTTGGTTCTCAGCATCAGGCCCCTTAATACCAAGGGTTGTCAGAGCTCAATTTTCAAGTTCGATCTCTTTCACGATAACTGCCCGCTCATGCCGAGTGTTACCACGCATGATATCTTCCAACATGCCTCTAATCGCATTGTTACATGTGGGTTCGACTCCTCGAGCCTGTATCAGGACAATATCCGCATCTTCAAAACGGATATCCTTGCATGGGCGCAATAAAATATTCAATGCCTGTCCCCAATGCTTCCAAGACTCGCCCATTTTGTTGCGCATACAATACCGCATGAATTGTAAAATCTCTCTCATAGAGTTTGATCTCTCTAAATCGCCTCGAACCAAATCAAGGACGCTAATCCTCGTCACGCCTTCGAAAATGGTTTCGATCGTTGTAGGACCAGTCACAAGTTCGAGATCTCCCATCTCACTCTGCCATGTGACGAAGAAATTGCTCCCACCAGCCTCGGATACATATGTTTCTTGGCCAACGAGCCAGGGAATCCGGTCAGAAGTCGGCTATTTCGGCTCTGAAGCAGGCCATATCCTTGGTCCATAGTTTGCCCCCCGACCTTGGCGTGTCCAAAGGCCCCCCCCCCCCGCGGGACGCACGAACAACGTCCTTGTTGCATGCTCGTAATCTCATGCCATGTCATGTATGGTGGGTGGAAGTGAGGGTAGAGACTCGTCTTCCGCTCTGGACGTGCTTCAGAGACGGGTGACTGTTTGTAAAGAGCTGGAAACAAGGCAGAAACAACAAACATCAGTGCTTCTGTGGGCATTGAAGCTCCTATGCTCTCACTTGTAGCGATGAGAGTAGGTCGCAAGTAGAGAAAGGTGCCTGGATGAGCTAGCCAACGAGGACGTTTCAATTCCCACAAACTTGTAGAGTAACTTCTGGAATTCTTGCGAATCGAAGCTCGGAAGAGACATTCGTTTTGCCGATTTCAAGAGATTTCATGTCGGGCCGGGACATGGGCACCTTGATGTCGTACCCCCAGTATACCTTAAGATCTTCGAAACATGTAGTTGCGCAGTGAAGCACTGAAACAAAGGGCTAGATATGAATTGTATTATGGGGTTAAATTTCAAGTTTAGCCCTACTTGACTGCGCTGTCCATCTTACTTGGAGCATATGGTCGGTGGTGGATTTCTATAACCACATCTCGGCAGAATCAGGATGCAAGACCTGGTTGGGAGACTGTGAGCGCGTAACAATCACCTCAGACGCATCAAGTTCGGCATATTGGACACGGCTTGCAGCACCCGACTTATGAGATGTTATTGCGCTTTAACGTTTCACGAACGTTCTCGTCGTCGATGAAAGGTGCAGCGGAGGGCATGGTGAGGATACAGAAGTAAGGAGTATGAAGTTGATTACGAAGAAGTTTGGCGCTTCAAACAAGAACGAAATGCTCGATTTTTTTTTTTTTTTTTTTGGAAGAGAAGACTTGATATGTCCTCGTCGAGCACAAAAAGTCATAGAAAAAACTGAGGGCAGTGTGTCCCAGCCTATAAAAAGGACATTGCATAGTTGCAAACCGTGGCTTCCATTGGCTGCATATTCAGAACAAGGTGGGCATTCTTACTAGGCAGCTCAGTGGACTTTGGGGCCTTTCTGCACACGCTTTGAATCGAAAAGGTTCTGCTGCTCTCTGAAGTCTCCGCCTATTCTGTGTACTCGAGCTGCTTATTCCATGCAGTCGGTGTTTCCTACAAAGAAGCTCATGTACCTTGTCGGATGCCACAAGGAAGTCCCCTGAGAAAAGTTTCTCTGGCAACTGAGGCGTCTTAGTCTGGTTTTGTCCTTTCATCTCGCAACTACTTCGTGATTGTCTCGAGCCAAAAGCTGAACATTTCTCATGTAGATCTCTGTGTATTCTATCCTCCGTGAGCTTCATGCAAATCTCTCTTTATGACTGTTGATCCCTTCTTGTTTATATGGGAATTTCGATACAACTGAGAACGACCAAGGGCACACTGCCGTGCCAACCAGATGCACCCGGTGCACAGAATAGACTGACAAGATCCTCAGGTCTTGGAATCTAACAAGTCCGTCAGTACAATCACAAGTGTTGTCGAAATTATCCCCGTGGCGCGGTCATCTTACAATCCCTCTAGCGAGTCTTCCTCCGAGGCGGAAGTTACTCCTTCTATCTAGCCTTTCCGAAGCCCTAATCCATTTCCGAAAGTATGTTCGACGGAGCATGTTCGGCTGTCAAAGCCCCGTGCGGGGCGCGACAGTTCAACACCAGGCATTAGATCTTGTCTAGCGGATATCCAAAGGGAAATGGGCACTCCGCTTTTCAGGGGGTTCAATCCGGGGCAAGTGGTGAGAGCGTGGAGAGATGAAATTTTCCCGTCGGCCTTTCACACTGCTATCGCTAGACTTCCCCAGCTTAGATGATGGAAGCCAAGGGACACATGCGTCAGGCTGCACTACGGAAGATTGTCAGGTTCCGGTCAGGCTCCGATCAGAACGGGTACCCATAGCCATACTGGGTACCTAGCCAGGCCTAGTTAAACACGCCGGCTCTCCTCACAACAAGCATTCGTCCGATGTCCTTCTAGGCGGGCATAACAGTCAGGCACTCCAACGTTTCTACATATCTTGTACAGACACAACCGCTAGTCGTCTGGCGTTCGTTCCAACTTCAATGCTTTAGAGCATCTATAATGCTCATTCCTCCAGAACTTGCAGCGGGCCCTTTGAAATAACTAGTCATGGCACAATCATGGCAATCTCCCTTAAAAACGAAAGAGTACCTCGCGATGATCGGGGACTTCCCAGACAACGTGCCAGTTACAGTGATCCACATGCTCCGCTTCAACGAGCAAGCTATCTACCCGCCTTCCTCGCCCCATGCTTCTCTCGAGCCCACCTCTGGCCGCGATGCCTTCTGGAAGCGCTACGTTCCCGCGGGAAATACTGCCGCTCAAAAACTCGGCATCAAACCTGCCGAGACACTCTTCTTCTCAGATACCGTCACAAACCTCCTGCAGCACAACGACATTCCCTGGGACGTCGTCACGGCGAGAAAGTATGAGAGTTTCGCTGTCTACGCTAGATACCAGAAGAGCATGGAGTACAGCGAGTGGGCAGCGCCGCATAGAGATGCAGCATTGAAGGATTGGTCTCTGGTGGCTTGCATTCAAGGCGAACTCCCAAAGGCCTAGGACTATAAGTAGCGGGTGAAGAAGAAAATTGTGAAACGGAGGTGGTAATGGACGCGTTCACGTGACGGCATGAGAGCAAGAGTATCAGGTTGCTTCTTGTCTATCTGCGCTATTCAGCGATTCCTTCCTGTTTATATAGACATCCCGCCTGTGTGACGAGGTGGTCTCTAATTCTGCCCTGTAAAGAGAACACAGCCTCATATGCCTTGCGAGAGTTCTGACGATGAGGCTAGTGTTGCCATAATTAGCGCGTTCCGTCTTACAAAATTCTCCCCATGGGATGTGAGCCGCCTTGTTATAGACGCGTTACGATCAAGGCAGCCTTTCTTCCTCGTTAGGCTCCCCCAGATTTTTGGGCCCTGATTGCTGATCGCAGGTTTCAATCTTTGTCCTTTCTCATCGTCATAAACCTTTTCTTGACCTAGAGACTTACGTTTCATTCGGTATCCTTTGACCTTGGCATAATAGATGAGGAGCCTTTTTCGCCTCCTTTTCATTTCTTGCAGGGGGGTTATCCAAGAAGATTCAATTGCATATCATAAAAGCTCTATTGGCCTAAACTCTGACTCCATTCACAGAATACCTCGCCGCGAGGTCCACTCTGTCGCGGAGATTGACTTTGGGCAAGGGGATGGCCGAGATTCCGAGCACTTATTGAGCTGAGCCAAACCTTCCTCCTGATGGAGACCAGCTGTAACTTAGCACATGCATGTTTGGCAGACGAACATTCTGCAGTTTAGCACTGTGAACTATGGAAGAACTCGGACTATATGGCGATTCCGAGGCGTCGGATCCTATCAATTGCAGCTCAAGAGTTAGACGTGGACCTCTCGCTCGCATGCTCAAAGGTAACTATCTACTGAGGCTTACGAGACAGCTTAGCACCTCACGAGTCCCTTTGACAGAGTGGAAAACCCTGACACTCGCCTTTTTTTAAGCTGGGTCAAAGCTGGGTCAAAAGAATGCACCAAGTCCAGTTAGAGTGACGGAAATCATTGCTCGGAGTTGGCAGTTGATGCTGCTTACGAAACCTTTTTCTTCCGACCCGGCAAAACAAAGCCATAATCGTGGAATAATTTGAACAATACAGGCGAAGCTTTTGCCGCTCCCGACTAACCGCAAATCGCGATCCCCGCTTCCGACATACCAGATCGGGATTCCATGGTCTTCGTGGGGTAATCCGGAGTTGTGTTAGCCCAGCGGAACTTGCGTTAAGCATCTCAGCTTTAAAGGGAGCAATTTCGGCAATAAAAGGCTGAACCGCTATCTGAGATCACGGCCTACTGTCTTACCTTACAACCTTGGGATTCCTTTGCTGGGAACAGATCGCCGCAGCTTATTCCGACATGGCTGGTTCTTTCACAACGGAAAAGACATGCAGTGAGCACGTTGAAGTGGGGGAAGAAAAGAACAACTGCCATGGCTCTATTCCACTCGATACCACGGTGTTGGCTGATCAAGAGCTTTCAGCATTCGACCGAAAGATGCTGCTGAAGCTGGACTTGATTATTATACCGGTGGTGGCGCTGCTTTTTCTCATGTCTTTCTTGGATCGTGGCAATATTGGAAATGCTCGGGTGGTGAGTGATTTTTGTGACCGTTGGTTTCTCGCCGTGTCGGCTTTATTGAGTGATGTTCAGGCTGGTTTACAAGCGGATCTACACCTCACAGACCACCAATATCAGACCGGTAAGACGCGAAACCCCTTAAAGTTTGGGCGCTAAATGATGTGTTCTCAAAGCACTTACGGTCACCTACGTGCCGTACATTCTCGCCGAGCTGCCTTCCAACCTCCTTCTCTCAAAGATCGGTCCAAAGATTCTTCTTCCGACCCTCTGCACGGGATGGGGTATTGTCACAACACTCCAAAGCCAAGTCCACAACTATGACGGTCTCATCGCTTGTCGTTTCTTCCTTGGTCTTCTCGAAGGAGGCTTGTTCCCCGGCATAGTACTATATCTTTCATTTTTCTATCGTCGACATGAGCTGCAGCTCCGAGTTGCCTTATTTTTTGCTGCAACTTCGGCCGCTGGAGCTTTCTCCGGACTACTCGCGGCGGCAATCATTCAGATGGATGGTGTTGGAGGCATGCGTGGCTGGCAATGGATCTGTGAGCTCTCACCATCTCTTCGCCCAAACCTGCTTTCAATTGGCGCTGACTCTCAATGACTGATAGTTTGTCTGGAGGGCATTCTTACCTTCCTCATCGGTTTCGGCTCCTTCTTCTTGCTTCCAAACAATCCACGCCAGGTTCACACGTTCACTGCGGAGCAAGCCGCTAGATGCGAAGAGCGACTCAAGCTTGACGTTGACCTCCAAAGCCACGAAAGTGTCGACCTCAAATCCGTCGCGTCAGCTTTTGCCAGTGTGCACGTATGGCTCATGGTGTTCCAGCTTTTCGGCGCCGGAGCATGCTTGTACGGCCTAGCGTACTTTACACCGTCGATTGTCAAAGGCTTTGGGTACAACGAGACACAAACCCAGCTCTTGACAGCTCCACCCTTCATCGCGGCGTTCATTGTCAACCTGTTCACGGCCTATATGTCTGATAAATATCGACAACGAGGACTCGCAGCCATCGGAACCTGGATCATCGCGCTTGTTGGGTTTGTCATGTTCTACAAGTGCCGAAGCATAGGGTCGCGCTATACTTCTCTCTTCTTGATGATCACGGGGGTCTATTCCGCCTCGCCCTGTCTCGTCTGCTGGGTGCCAAACAACACTGCCGCGCGCACCAGACGTGCCACTGCCATTGCCATGGCTTTCATCAGTACCAACGTAGGCGGCATTGTCAGTACTTGGATTTTCCCCACGTCCCAGGCGCCTTATTACCGCTTTGCGTCGAGATTCCTCATGTCATTAAATATCACTTCCCTTGTCTTGGCAGCTGTCACCATTTTCTGGCTCAGAAGGCGCAATGCAGAGAAGGGCGAAACAGAATACCGACGCAGGGTCCTGGAGCCAGTGGCGGGTCTGGAGCCTGCTGATCAACTCCGAATTCTCGGAGACTCGCACCCAGATTACTACTTTACATACTAAGTCACGGTAGCCCAAAGTCACGGTGAATGCTTTTCCTGGCTCTTTCTCTTCAGGCTCATGTGCTAGAATTGGGTCTGTCTCGAAGAGGATACTTGCCAAGGCACAATCTTGCATCCATTTGAGGATGTAGAACTTGACGAAACATTCTATCGTGAAGTGGTAGGCATAGGTGAACGGAGCTCTGTTTAATCGATCTTGTAATCTGCGTTGACGTTGCGGAGAGTCGAATAACCCTAACTTAACTTAGTCTTTGGACAAGCGAAGGTCATGCGCAAGACTTCGAGTTACCGACTCTCTTGAATCCGAATCCGTTTCCGATTCCTACGGCTCGGAGTGTTAAATTTGACCCCTTATTTGATTCTTCTTGGATATGCCTCAGTTGGCCACCGCAAATGTTCATCCCTAGGGGTGCAAAACTGGGCTTCATGCTCAGGAGGATAACCTGTGGAATAATTACCTTCCCCCACCCTGGTTCTAACGTTTTTCTATGTTATTCTCCCTCATTCGTTATAAGTTGGCCAAAAGGAAAGGGGATGTCGCTACTCCTCGCCCGAGCCACAGGAAGCGCTGCCTGATGCCCGTTCGTAGAAGACTATTCGGGCTCAGGTTGTCTCAGTCCTCAGACCCGATATCGGGGCTACGCCCTGATTGGCTAGGTTATAAGCTAAAGCGCCGGCCAATCATAAAATTCAAAGAATGTTACGATAAACGAGTCTAAGGCCCGATACTGTAACAAGGCGAGGTGGCTGTGCTGTGATGGGCTGTGCTGGGCTGGTAGAGCGGTGGCAGGCAGAGATCTGTCAGGTCACATGTCAAACCTAAATGGGCTGGCAGAGAAGGGGGTGCGGAACAGTTTACAGTGCTGGCAGTGTACCATTTTTTTACGAGTTTGAGCAGAGTATCATGAATTCCATGGCTTTTTGGCGCTATCTACCTAATTCCTGAGTGTTTTCTATCAGTCCTGTCCTGTTCCTCGAAGTTCCCGCTGTGCTAGGTGTTCGTAGCCTTAGCCGCTGCTCCTCTGAGTGGTGTTGGTGGTGTTGTTTTGTCAGTATCAACCAGAAACGCGTTCTCGATTCCCGATCTGCTGGACAGGCCTCTGTGCGTTGTTGCACGTGCACGCCGAACCCTGAAGTGCTCTGTTACAATATCACGGTGTCACGGAACCACCGGAGCGATCTCAATGTAATATGAATTCTAGTATGAAGGAAGGCTAACTAACAAGTGCGACGACAAGGTCTCCAAGGAGCGAGCCGAAGCTTCCTGAGTCAGGTATAACATGGGGTTTGAGTTCCATGACTCAATGAAAGTCACATGCACACCGTGTCATTGCACCTGCCACCTGGCCGATCGAGCTAACTCCTCAACTTCCCATTCTATCTTAATTTGTGGTTATCAATCGAGCTGGTAGATACCTATTTCGCCGTGCCACTTATTCCTGATTGATACCTTTACGCCCATTTAGCCAATATTGGCTGCAGGTTGCTAGGAGGTCCCGGTGTTGGATATTAGGCACCTGTGACCAGGAGTGCTCTGGCGACCTCGTCGTCATAGGCCTTGGCCTACGTCCTGCGTGACGACGTTGGTGTTGCAATATTGTAAAGCCTCGTCGGGATCCTTGCAACCCTGTCCCACATTACCCATTCAGGACAACCTTATCTGTTGACCTGGTAAACCCTATCTGACTAGGCAACTGAACCTGTTGTCTCAGGTGCCTATTCCTACTAGCGATTCGCCTGTCTCAGGTGCCTACTTGTTGCCTACAGATGACTGCAAATGACCGGTCTTCAGAAGGCTACAAGAGAGGCCAGGTGCCAGGCGGCTCTGTGTGTGTGTGTGTGTGTGTGGCGAAGGCATACAGGAAGACGGCCGTACAACATCGTTGCCACTCGACAGCGACTCTGGCCTAGCCATACCCGCAAAACCTCTACATTAGGAATTCCTGGCATTCTTGACGACTACCAGAAGGCCGCGTGAAACAGCGTAGGCTGTATCAGTGGTCAAAAGCTCAATAATGCGACAAGTATCTTATCCCAAAGTTCTCTCCTCGTGGGGCAGTGGGCGGAGCCTCACAGTCATCTGGGTTAGAATAGAAAGTTCCTCCGAGATCTTCAATGATCTTACACCTCTCATCCATATTAAGGCAATTGTTGAGCAGTGACGCTCCCATTCTTAGTTCGTAATGAGCTCGATCCTCCAGGTCGTACTCAAGAACCCAAACTCCCTGTCTCGAGCTCGGCCAGCCCGTTTCGACTCTCTTCGCCAATTTCTTTTTGGCAGCATCACTACCCTCCCCAAGCTCTGCGTCCATCAGCTCAGCCTTAGTCGCCCACCACTGAGGCCCAATTCGCCCAAACCGCTTACAAAACTCGTCTTCCAGCTCGACGGGTCCAGCTGAGCGGACCAGAATACCACCAGTGGACGGGTAACTAAATACTATTGATCCATTGCGAGGGTTGTGTCTTTCCATATCGTTGAAAGTTTGGGGTGGGCAAGAGGGGATATTGACACGTTCGTCGTTGGGAAGTATGGCTCCTTTCTGGGAACGGAACAACGAAGGGAAAAATCCGAGGTCGAAGATTCCCATTCTTTATGTCTATTAGCAGACCATGCGAGAGTTGGGAATGTAAGTTGGCAACTTACACAGGCCCTAGGAAGATTGAAACAAGAATAAGCCTACCCAGCATGGCGAAACCAAATTACGATCTCGAGGGAGGCTCGTGAGGACTTTGCTAGGCAGAAGCCTCTTCCTCTGGATGCGTACTACCTTGATACTCGTGACAGGCTCAGCAGGCAACAGCCTGGCCCGGAAAGGGGCCTCATGAATGCGTCATGTATAGCCGAGCGGGAGGGTGCGCAATATGGCCCTTCCGAGCTTTGAAAGACAGAAAACTGGGAACCCGGGGGCCAAGTTGTGGGCCCGTTTCACGCACTCGAGGTTATGCTCGGGCTGCTCAGGGCAAGCCTCAGGGCTCGCTAAGCGGTACTCAGGATCCCACAGCCACAGCTCCGAATGACTTTGTCACGACTCACGTTGAGTGGCGAGATGCTCAGGTCTCGAAACGGAACTGGACTTTGGAGAGGTCAAGATTCGCCGCTGAGTATTATTGTATAGGCTCATAGTCGAGGCTCAAAGGGGCCCCCCTGAGCCCGAACTGGCTTCTGAGAACGGCATCAGACAAGCTCCCTACGGCTCGCCCAGTGCTCGAGCGCGCTTCCCCATACTCTGCCATAGCTCCCGCGACACTCTCCCGTGCTCGGCCGGGCATCCGTCACGTGCCCGAGTAAAGCGGCCTCGCTCCCTTTCCTGAACGAAAATGGTAAGGGACAAAGCACAGTTCGGGGTATATATAATATATATATATACCAGTATATACATTAAACTGTGGGGCCTAATGGTTGTCATGTGATCTAGGTACGTTACACATGCCTTGCACTCCAGTGACTGTGACTGCTTCACATCTTCCTGTACGCGACTATCCCTTCCCGTCTCTAGGCGATGGTGCTCCGACATCGAAGCCGGATCTCTTGCCAGCATCCGGGACGCAAAGCCTGAGCGGAGTTTCAGGTGAGGTATACTCTTTCCATTCTTCGCGATATCTTCGAAAGTACAAGCCTATGCCTGGCCTAGCTAATGATTTCTACAAGAGTTTATCGTTCCGCCTCTACATCATCTTTGAAAGTAGTTAGGCTCCAGATGTTACGGTCCAAGTTAAGGTTGTGCCTGACCACCACACTGACCTTCGGATTAACATCGTTCATTTCGCCAATCGCGAAGCTTATTCCATCTACCGCAGTGGCATCATGGCCGAATCAACGTGTTCGAAAAGGGATCTGCGGCGCCAACCGGTGACCGGGGTGAAAGGGCCTCGAAGAAGCAAATGGTATCCACGCCTGACACGTCTGTGCTACCAATCGGTGCATTTCCTCTTTGCTTCCCATCGCCCAATGGTTCCATGGCACAGCCAACAGCAAATGCAAGATATTCAAACATTTAACATCATTGAGGCTGGCGCTTTCGCCTTTCAATAAGGAGAGAACACAATGTGACTTGCTCAGCGTCCTTTGAAGGTAGGCGCATGCGTGAGTGCACGAACTTGGTAATGAGACAAACGCCTGACCGCAAATCTGGGCTTCTCTAGTCCCTGTCCTTACTCCCTGGTACGGCAACATGCGGATGTTGTGCTAACGCGTTTCAGGCAACGTCCCCAATCGACAAACCAGGAGTGCTCGCGATCCCTCTACACGGCCTCGTGAAACACTTTGACCGTCGCCGTGGGTAAGGGCTGTCTTTGTTGTTGGCATAGGCCCCTCTCAACGCCCCGTCTGTTTTGCAAAGACATTTTACCTCCCAATCCATATCTTCACCAATATTCTGATGCCATGTGGCCTGCGACGTCCGGAAGTCAAAGCGCATTTCGAGGATTCCTTCCAGCCACCTGCATATCCCTTCAATCCATCGCACCACCACTTGTTCATGGCCGTTCCAAGGCAAAAAGGCAACCTCTCCTTTAACCCCCGGACCTTGAATGCTGGTCCACTCAGAGATGGCTCCACCCTCTCAGACGCGAAACTCCAGGCGTTCTCCGGCTGTATTTGGCTCCAAGCCCACTTGGTTCTGCTCTCGTCCATCAAGTGCCTTGGAACCTAACCGAATCAATGCCACAAATAGAGTTCCATTGGACGTTGTCTCGCGACTCAAAAACTCCGCGTGACGGGACTTTTACATGCGCGGCAACCCAGCACCATCCGCGGGCTGTGGGGGCTTGGTTAAGGTTGGTTAGGCATGGCGGTGAGTAACGGCCAAATTACAGTTGCAGTAGCGGGTGGTTCTGTCCGTTCTAGCTTTCACACGGCTATGTGGAGTGCCTGTTGGTTTTGCTTGAGCAGCCCAACATGTTCCATCAGAGTCTGGTGCAGTCTTCGATGCTTGACATCGGCCCATTTGGCACCACTGCGTTGAGGAAAAGACCAAGTGCTAGCGGGGACACATCCTGCATGTCAGACCTCACGGATTCGATCTAGCCCAAGGCTATCATGTCGCAAACCGGGGTCGCAAGAAAGTCGACAGCCTGAATCGCACACTACCAGGGAGACAGCAGTGTTTCTCGATGACGACGGCATGCGAACGCCGAGGAAATTGTGTCTGGAGAAGAGAGAAGTGCGAAAAAGGAGAGTATCCACTTGCAAGAGGCGACGGTGTGGTCTATGTGATCATGGGAGACCAGCGAATTTTGGAGTTCATGTTCTCATGGTGAGGCTTTGGTAATGCTCCTACGATGGCTTTGTTGTCGAGAGCACCCCAGAGCTCTTGATGTTGCCCGATTTCTTTTTCACATTCCAGAAAGAGAAATGTCCGCACAGCCCCTCCCCAGCTGCTTCTGCGCGTCTCGTCGCCTCACTCTGGTTTCGACAGTACAATGGACATGCAGCCCAACCAAATGGGGAGGTAACCTTGGGGGGGTTTTGGAGGGAGATTTCCGGCCGCCTCTGAAGGGCTCCTATAAGCCTCTTCCCCCGACTACAGCTGATGGAGGCTCTCTCTCTCTCTCTCTCTCTCTCTCTCTCTCTCTCTTGTAGACTTTGTCGAGTCTGTTTTTTCTCAAAGCTTCTCAAAGCTCCATCCTGCAGTCCATCAATAAAGGAACCTCGCAATTCACAAAAGCACATTGCCCACTGTATCTATATTCACTCCACTGTGGGCTGATTTCTCGACAAGAATGGCAGAGCCTGCGAATGAGCGTGGTCAAATGCAGCGTCCCCAAAAGGACCGTGACGGTTCACGACGCAGAAGGGATGACAACTTTGTCCCGGTGACACCACAAACGAGGGACCTAGAAAGTTGTGACAATTGTTTCACTGGCCATCGTAAAGTGCGTCTGCCTGAGGGATCTGAGGACCTGAACTAATAGCCATTTTTTCAGTGCCGAAACAAAAGACCCGGGAGGAAGTGCGACGAATGCTGTAAAACAGGCAGGTATTGCAGTCATGAATCGCGTCAAGGGGAATCAAGTCAGACAGCGATTCCTGGCCGATGCCCCCCTTCGACTAACACCCATCAATCGCCCCTCGCACGGGCTGGCCAGAGGTGTGTCTCATAAAACAACGAATCTTGAGACAGGCAATGAAGCTGACATTCCCTACAGTGCCCTCAACGGTGCCGATCGGGGATTTACCTCACCGAATATCGAGCAATACGCACCACCCTGGTCAGGGGGAACATACGGAGAGCAGTTACAAGTCGAAACCTCTTTCGCGATACCCTACGCGCCCGCTCACGTCTATGGCCAGTACCCCAACATGCATCGCTACACAGCCGGATTCGAACAAAACATGTACGCTGGGCACACGAATCTCCATCTTGGCTATGGAGAGCCAGAGCATTACCCTGTCGATCAAGGGGTGGTGGCAGTAAACAGGCAGAACGAGCCGGGCCAAGATGAAGGGGCAGACAAAGGGGAAGCCGATGAAGATGCCGAAGCGGAGGAGGAAGACGAAGAGGAAGAAGAGGACGACGACGACGACGACGAGGGTAGCCCAGAAATGGTGTCCGGAAAAACAGTCGCTAACCCGAATCAGTATGAGTGAAAATGAAAATGAAAAAGAAAGAAAAAGAAGAGAAAACAGGACAAGACAAGGGAAGGAGGAAGGAAATGAAGCATGGGAAAGGAGACTTCATCGGCCCTTTCGATTCGCATTGCCTTCAACAGGCATTTTGCAAATCCATTATGTGTGGGTGGAGGGAGTTAGCTAGGTAAAACGACTCGTTCTTCTTTTGTTCTTACTTGTTGTCGCTGTCGTCGTTGTTATTGCTCGTTTGATATCCTGGAGGCTCAACGCTGAACCAGCCGCAGCACAGATTGATAGCATCTCTTTGTCCAAGTAGTTAATTGGAGGATTGGAATCTAAATTGGAATGTGAACCTTGCTCGTCCGTGCCAGATTTTATTTTTTTTAACGCTTAGGCCTTTTCTTTCTCGATCGCGAATCCGACGAGAGCCTAGACAATGCTCATAATTTTTGAGCCTCTCTCTCTCTCTCTCGCTCGATGGCTCTATCAACCCAACCCAGCCCCACCCCATCAAATTCACGCACCTACGAGTAGACAGATACACAGGAAGCGAGCGGGCTTGGTATGCATCCCATATTAGTTAGTTATTCAAGTTGACTGAGGCGCAGTGTTGGATGATGGCGCAAGGCTGTAGGGGGTTGGGGGGGTTGGGGGGGCCAAAAGCCTTAGGGAGGGATTGGGTACATCCGGCCCCCTAGAACGGTTGCGGCTACTGCCAAGGGCCTCCGCGCGTGGTACCTCAAGTGCCCATCTAGGTAATACGGAGCACGGGGCACTAAGTATAAGGTTTAATTAACATACTCACCTCTGGTTTGGGCTTTTGGCCAAGCGCCCGCGTGACTACTATTAATCATAGGGAGGTGATCCGGGCCTGCGGATACCTCTCTACTCTGCGAGTAGGTAGGTAGATATATACATAGGGAGGTAGATATCAAGTTCAATAATAGCGTCTCAACTCCCCCACAAATCCCGCCGTCTCGCAGGGTGGTGGCGGCTCTTTTCCCTTGGGTTAATTGCGTCTTGCTCGGACGACCGACGTTATCTGTGCGTTGTTACATAGTGTGCGCGTGTACGGGTTTCCTTTTTCAGCGTCGCCCGGTGGAAATACTTCTCCACGACTGCTGAGAGCGGCCTGTACTAACTCTTTGTAGTCGTTGATAAGTCCAGACGTGTGGCTCTGCAGCAGACCCTGCATATTTATTCCAAGCGTCAAACAACCTAGGATTATTCTACCGTGTCACCAGTGTCCAACCGGGGGGGGGGGGGGATTCGCGCCGTCTGTGGTTACACCATCTTGCTTGGGTGGGCGCACTCCCATCCCTTGACCTTTGAACGACTTTTCTCACTATTATAAAAACACAAAGGCCGACATACCACGTTCTGGCTCGGGGTTGCTCGAGACACCCTTTGCGAGATACCGAGTACCAGTACAGAGACGTCTTGCTGTCGCAATTACCCCGGCCCTCCCGCAACCATCCACACCTCAGCAACACGATACATCATTTCGCTACAGAAGCATTCACATTCATTGGCATGGACCCTCGCGTCGCCGCCGTGGACGGATTCACCAAGACCAACCACAAGTCCGTCCCACCTTCACTCGACCCTGCGACCGTTAGATTGGAAGATGGGTTCACGGTCTGCATCATCGGTGCCTCCAGTGGAATAGGCGAGCATGTCGCCTACTGCTTTGCGCGGGCCCGGGTGGCAAGACTGGTCATATCGTCTCGGACAATCAGCGACTTGGAGGTTGTGGCCGCCGAAGTAAACCGGATCAATCCCCTGGGCGAGATTGATATAGTTGAATGCGACGTCTCAAAAGCGACCGCTGTAGAAGCTCTAGCAGATTACGTGAGAACCCATTGCGGGCGATTAGACGTGTTGGTCCTCAACGCCGGCTACGCCGGGCCAGTAATCACGAAGATGGATCGAGGGAGCCCGGAATGGGTGCAACGAGCCTTTGAAGTCAACGCGCTGGGGACCTACCTCGCTGCACACTATTTTGTTCCCTTACTGCTACAGACGGAAGACGGAGCAAAAGGATTCATGGCGATTGGCTCCATCGCAGGTTGCATCAGACGAGGGCCGATTGCGAACACGGGCTACACCGTCAGCAAGTTTGCGCAGATTCGGTTGGTCGAGTATCTCCATGAACAATACTCTGGGGAAGGTTTGGTGAGTCTCGCGCTTCACCCAGGTGCGGTCATGACGAGGATGGCACGCGGGAATATGCCGGAAGAGTTTTTGCCTTGTGAGTTGTCTTGCTCTATCTGGCTGTCTGGCATACAGTCTTCTTGAAAGACGTATTTCACCACTGTGCATGACTGATTTGCTCCCATAGACATGACAGATGAGGTTGATCTCTGTGGAGCGGTCTGTGTGTTTCTCAGTAAACAGATCAGGGATCTCAGTTGGCTGGGTGGGAGGCTGATCTCTGCCACTTGGGATATGGAGGAATTGATGGCGAAAAAGGAGCAGGTCGTTGAGAGAGATTTGCTCAAGTTCACCCTGTTAACAGAGTGATGCAAATTGGTGTCATGAAGGTGAAAGAGAAGCCTGCACCATGCAATTGGAGGGCTTCGAGAACTCGTATGATTTTTTGTAAGAGACTGGGCGTGATCCTCCGCTAAGGCCGAAACAGCAGATGATCTGCCAACTTTCTTCATGTGCTCTGCAGGTTTAGGATGACAATGCAAGGTACCAGTCGTCAGTGCCAATCCCGTCCTGTCGTCTGCAAGTTATGGTGACACACATTTATACGATCTGCAGAGTTTCCAGACAGAAATAGAAATCAGCCCGGCTAGACCACAGACCGACCGGCCATGTAGAGCGGAAGAGGGCGTGTGATCGAATGGCTTCTCTAAATCAGCAAGTTGTTCATGCGTTGTTCGAATGCAACCACTCTGGCCTAGAAAACTCTATCCGGTAGCAAGGAAAAGCTCAATCCCCGGGTTGCCCATGCGGGTCTTATCTTCTGGGCTCTCTGATACATAGATTTGGGACTTGTCACGCGTTCAGACAAAATCCAATATGACAGAATTCGCTGAGCGTTCTCGTAGGAAAGGTTCGGTGAAACAGGAAGTTGAACGTAACAGGGTGTTTCACCCGGCAAGCCAGTGATGCAGGAAGCAGGATGCATGACGGAGGGCATGGAGCTGAAAGACGATGGATTTGGAGACGACGTGTCTCAGACACCCGAATCGAGCTGGTGGAACGGGTCAAGCAACACGGGGCAAAGGCAAGCGATGTGGCGGGCGGATGAAAAAGGCCGGAACCATGATTTGCTCGGCTTCAAGCATGGCCAGAGAGCTTGGGTCCGCCAGCGACGCCAGCGACGCCAGCACCACCAGAGGGAGCAGAGGAAGCGGGTTGTTTGGCCAGGATCCACCCGCCGGCTGGAAGTGGCAAAAACGCCCAGCTTCCTTAATATGAAACATGCCGCAGGAAGAAGAGGCTGTTTACGAGAGCAGAGGAGTTGTACTCGGTAAAGAGAAGACAAGCGAGATACCGAGTCCTCTGTGCTCCGGAAGCATGTACCTCGCAGAAAGGTTGGCGTGGGTGAGGGAAAGCTGAAATGAGTGAGTGATTGAGTGAGTGAGTGAGTGAGGGATGAGAAAGACCAGATAAGAGAGAGAGAGGAAGAGAGCAAGAGCACAGGCGGATAGCACCTCCGATGGTGGCCATGGTGGGCGGGTTGATAGTGGCTGCTCCTCCTTTTGCCGACTTTCCGCCCAGCAGGCACCACCAGCGCACCACCAGCCTGGGCCAGCTTACTCGGTACTAGCGAGCCCAACTTACCTACCAAGTACTGTACCTAACTACCTCCTCGGCACCTACTCGTAGACAGGTATTATTGCGAGGTTCCAGGCTGTCATGGGCGTGTCGCATGGGGATGTTTTAGCTGCTCGGCTAGCCATCGACTTTTTCAAAAGCACTGCTTGCATCGCCCACGTGCTGATTCGTTCTTGCCCGGCTTCTCCTAACCCAATGCCATCACCACCTGTGTCTCTGCTTGTTACCTGCTTGCTTCAGCCACATTATTTCGGCGCCCGAGGGTGCAATTAGAAGTTACTTCATATTCGGTACAGGGTACACGGCATAGGTACGCAGTTACTTTTTTGTCCTTGCTTCGCCCTCCTCCGGAACCAGTTGCCAGACCATCATTCGATGCGCACCCGTCCTGGACCGCATGACGGAATACTCGCATGTCCCGCCCTCGCCCGCAGCTGATCTGACAGGGTTCCCACGCTGAGAAGAGGAGGAAAACCCACACCCCCAAACACGTCTGGGCAGTGGGCGGCTCACCTGGCTGGGTGGCTATCATCAACAGCCACGATATTCCCTTGTCTGCGCAACCTGCGTCACTAGTGGCAGAAAAACTCTCTTGAACTGGGACGCTACGACTGCCACCTCCGAAACTTCCTCACTCAGCGTTCCCTGCACACTGGACACTCGGCGGGAAAAAGGGCCACAAAAGCCAAAACCAGGCCTTCAGAGCCCTCTGCACCAACCTTTTTATTTCTCCTTCGTCTTCCACTCATCCCACTTCTCGTTGTCACTCACTTTGTCACTACTGCATCTAGCACGAACTTACCTTTCGCTTGGTTCGTCTATTGTTTGGTTCTGCAATTCTCAGTGACAGCCATGATCGGCCTGCGAAGAGCCTTCGTTTTCATCACTTTGTTGCTGGGCGCCCACAGCTCGCCTGCACACGTTCCAGAAGATGACAATGCACTGATCAACTGGGACGCGTTCCAATCGTTACTCGATACCGTCGATCCTGCTGCCCTGCATTCCGTCCTCCACGCGCTCTCCCCAAAATTCCAAGACGGTGTCTTCAGCAAGGACCGTGCCGCCATTGAGCATGTCCACTCCGAGAACCCCATTATTGCAAGCAAGCTAGTACACCTCGCAAAGAAGAGGCAAACAAGCAACTCAACCACTACCGCCTCAACAACACCCTCCACTCCCGCGCAGAGCAGTGCTGCCTCAGAGTCAAGCTCCCGGGCCGCCAGTGTCTCTTCTATCCTCTCTTCCGCCATCTTCGCTTCAACTGTACCAGGAGCCACGACCGTGACAGTTCCACCAACGACTCCGCCCTCTGCAACTCCGGTCGAAACTTCTGATGGCGCTGTTGTCTTCAGCACGTTCGGGGGCGGCCTGGTGACCCTGACATCTTCTGCGTTGAGTGTCCACTTTACTCCCAGCACATCCACCCAGCTCTACTACGCAACTGCCGCAGATGGCTCAGTTCAGACGTCAACCTCAGTGGTGGTGGTCAATGCACCGGTGACGAATAGCGGTGATGCCACTGGAGCTGCCGGCGCTGCAACCACCACTGGAAGCCCTGGTCTGCAAAATGGTGGTTCCTCGATAAGGATGGGAGGTCTCGCTCCCATTTTTGCTAGTCTGGGAGGACTGCTCTTCTTTGCGCTATAGGCAGAGTTGGGATTCAAAAGCAAGTCTCGCCAATGCATCTCCTGGCGGCTCATGTGACTTTTTTTGGTTTGTGGTTTCAGCGCAATAACGACGATACGGCACCGGCATTTCTCTCCTTTAATCAGCAATCTGCAACGGGCATAGCCTTTGGCGTTCAAGCACTCCCTCTTCGGGGCTTGCCTTTTTTTTTGGTTTGATTTTGGCTGGCAATACACAACGTGTACATGAAATGGATATTGGTAAATCGGGAGGATAGAATGACTTGGAAACGAAGGTCAAGGATCACGGAGACCGTGGGACGGGGACACATGTGGTGATCCCCAAGATAGTGCCTGGAAGTAGAAGGACATAATCAGATTGTATCTGTCACCACGCATGTCTTTTGGAATTGTCGACCTTGTCCAACTGGATTGGATTCTTCGCATCTTTTCTCACACTCGCCCCATTGGGTCTCACCATGCTGACTCCCACATGTTCTTTCCAATTCTTATGACATTGTTAGACCGCCATCGGGATCATCAGCGTTGGGCTTCTACGGGCAGGAGTTCGTCCGCATTGGCGACATGTCGTGGAAAAGGGAGGCTGAAACGCTTGGGATCGACGCAGAAGACGATCATACATGCCCAGAGTCCACCTGCATCACTCGCTGGGACAATCACTGAAAACCCCAAGAGATGGTCAAGACGCAGCAGAGGAACAGAATCGACGACGATCACGAATATACTTTCCTATCAGCGGCACTACTCTGAACTATATACTTGGCCAGATGAGCGGAATTTTGTGGGTGCCGTTTGATTAACGGATATCCAAATGGGCCTCGTTATCAAAGTCAAAGATATCTGAGCACCTCCTTTTCCCTCGATTAATATACGTATACCGGGCACCCATGACAATCATTTTACCGACACCGAATGATATACAAGGGATTGGCGGTCTCGAAAATCAAGAACAGGGTCCCAAGAGAGCCGAGTGTGACTCTGAGCGCAACTTGAGACAGATCTGGAGGCTACAGAGTCGTCCTGAAACAAGCTCCGGTTATGAAAGTGGCAGTGCAGTGCTCGGCAATGTCCTCCGTACTAGCTGGAGATTTGCTAGGCACGCGAACTGTTCTTCTGGGCACGATATACTTGTTAGGTACCTCGTACTTGGTCCAACATTCGACATGGACGGTCTACGCGGCTTCTCCAGCGGTTTCGTCCTTGATCATCGAGCGACAAGCCTGAGTGTTGGACACAAGAAATCCACCCCCGGTTTTGTCGAGGTTGGAAGCGGAATTGCCTGTTCGGAAAAAGCGAACATCTTGGTTGTGTGCCCGCATTGAGCAAAACAAGCTTAATATGCCCCTTGTGCGCAATTCGAAACATGGCCAATCGAACCCCATGGCGAGACGGAAGTGGGAAGATCCAAGGAGCCTCATCTTAAGCGGTTTGCGGGTGGGGACTTCTAGGCACGGACGAAGAGTCATTATAAGTGGTTGGGCCTGGGGGGTTGGCGGCACCTCATAGGGACCCCAACAGGGGACCCAACAGGGGCTGGTGGGCATCAATGGAGGTGTACCCCCCCCGCCACAGCACAGGCGCGACAGGGGGCCAACGGACAATTCATCAACTCAATGGACAATCGCCCGCGTCAATATTTCCTGCCTCTTCAGCTTGGGCGATCTTGCATCTTGCCTTTTTTCTGGTTTCCCTGCCCTTCACCTTCTTCAGCTTCCCCCTCTTCATTCATCACAAAAAGAAAGAGCCGTCACCACTTCGTTTGGGTGTCGCTCCTCCTTCGCTACCTCCTACTCACTTCTAATAACTCAAGTGTCCTTCTGTTGGGAAATTCCTCACTCTCTTGGATCCCAACTCCTGTTTATTTTCTTCTACGGAATCCAAACCCCATTTCTTCTGATCCCTTTGGTTGAAACCCCTCCCAGAAAACGGACTTGGAAGAGGGTGCTTCTTATCATCAAACATTGTCCGGTCACCAATTATCATCATGCGTACTTCGACTTTGGCTACCCTCGCTTTGGGCGCAGGTGCTGCTTCGGCAGCTTCTGTCAAAAGGCAAACCAGCCTGCCCCCCGTGTCGGTGAAGGGAAATGGTACGTGCTCGTGTGTCCCCTTCTGCCTTTTGCTCTGACTGACAGCCCTGAAGCTTTCTTTGCTGGGAGTGACCGATTTTACATTCGTGGTGTCGACTATCAACCCGGTGGTTCCTCTAACGTGGCAGACCCCATCGCCGACGAGAACGGCTGCCAGAGAGACATTCCAGAGTTCAAAAAGTTGGGCATCAACGCTATCCGAGTCTATACTGTTGATAATACCGCATCTCATGACACATGCATGAATGCTCTGGCGGATGCTGGCATCTACCTTATCTTGGACGTCAACACCCCCAAGTACTCGCTGAACCGAGCCGACCCTAGCCCATCATACAATGATGTGTACCTTCAGAGCATCTTTGCTACGATTGACGCCTTCCAAGGCTATAGCAACACCTTGGCTTTCTTCTCTGGCAATGAAGTCATCAACGACCCTGAGACCTCCGCAGCTGCGCCATATGTCAAGGCTGTCACTCGTGACATCAGACAGTACATCCGGAACCGAGGCTACAGAACAATTCCTGTGGGCTACTCTGCAGCTGATGTGGCCGAAAACCGTCTGGAGATGGCTGAATACATGAACTGTGGCACGGAAGACGAGCGCTCGGATTTCTTTGCTTTCAACGACTACTCATGGTGTGATCCTTCGTCCTTCACCATCTCAGGCTGGGACCAAAAGGTCAAGAACTTTACCGGCTATGGTATTCCCATCTTCCTCTCGGAATATGGTTGCAACACCAACACTCGAGACTTCGGTGAGGTTGTGGCTCTCTACAGCGACCAAATGACCCCTGTTTACTCTGGAGGTTTGGTGTATGAATATTCTCAGGAGCCGAGCAACTACGGTCTTGTTGAAATCAATGGCAACTCTGTGTCTGAGTTGCCTGATTTCGGTGTGCTCCAAAAACAATACGCCAACACTCCCAATCCGCAAGGTGATGGCGGCTATAACTCGACTGGTGGTGCATCTGGCTGCCCTGCTTACTCGTCGCCCAACTGGCTTGTCAAGGATGATTCTCTTCCGGCTATCCCTGACGGTGCGAAGAAGTATATGACTGAAGGTGCCGGCACTGGACCTGGTCTTTCTGGTCCTGGCTCTCAGAATGCCGGTGGTGCTTCTACTGGAACCGCCACCGCAGGCAGTGGAGCTCCTTCTCAAACTAGCAGCTCTGGCAGCTCTGGCAGCACTGGCACCAGTAACGCGGCCGTTTCCATGATGACTCCAGAGTGGTCGGTTGCTCCTTTGGTCTGCGGTGCTCTCGTTGCCATGTTCACACTCTTTGGCGCTACGTTGTTGTAAAATCTGTCCGGTGATTGGAGAGACTCGATTTGTGCCAGAAGGCGAGACGCAAATAAAGTCGGCCGTCTCAGAAAAGGTTGTGGAAATGGATTGGCTTCTCTTTTTGCATGTAAGTAAGGGGCTGGTTGTGTTGGACTGGTTCGGCGTATCAAACAAGCCTTGAATATGAAATTGGCATATCCATGCAATAGAGTTGCGCGGGTTTTTGAAAACAGATACAGACGAAACAGCAAAATTAATCATACTTGGGTCCGGTCCTTTTGCGCAATGGTCATCTGCAACGCCTCTCTTCCCCTCTGCATATCCCACGGGCCATCGTACCATACATCGTCGCCTCCCTTGACGACCAATTTGCCCTCGTCGGTGAACTGGACCCCCTCGTCCTTCAACAGCTTCAGTTTCATAGTCTGGTTGACTCCAGAAGGAGCCTTTTCCCAATCACCCTTGAATCCACCCACATATCCGTCGCTCGCAATGACACGATGGCAGGGTACTTCTGGGGCATACGGGTTGTTTCGTAGCGCTCCACCCACGGCACGGGGGCTAGAGTTGAGGGAGCGGGCGATAGAGGCGTATGTTGTTACACGGCCTGGGGGAATCAGGAGGAGGTGGGTATAGACTTTCTTTTCGTTGATATCGTGTTAAAGAAGGCGGGAAATGGGCGTGGCACGACCTCACCTCTTGGAATTCGGTGATGGTCATTTTCCTGATTGCAAAAGTCTTCCGAGCCGCGATATCTGTTTGAGTTTGAATGGGTTCGAAGAATTCTCGTCCGGAGTTGTGTGCGTAGTCTGAGTGCGGCAACGGATGTTCGGATAGCGTTCTTTCGACTGAGGTTGCGGCTACAGGTACATATTTATATCTGCGCCTGGCCAATGCTACGCATAATGGAAGTTTGGAGACTTTACCACATTGAAGGAACGGTGACTGCGTGCACCGTACAGGAGGCTTTTGAGTCATGGTCCCCCAGCAAAGCTGAGCCACAGCCTATTAGAGAATCAAGGTGAGGTGGTTCACACAAATGGCTTATGCGACTTACGGCATCTCTGGCCGCGTGATTGGCCACATCCAGAGCAACGACTAAATACGCGTATCCTGGAGCGAGTTCGAAAAAATGACCATAAGCCACTTCGCGCACGCCGCGCGGTGTCACGTGGCAGTTCGTGACCAGCGGCCCATTCCGGAGTGCGCTTCTACTCCGAAGTAAATACTGCGTTCTTGGTCCAAATACCTTGCCGGACCCAATTGTTGCTGACTCTCCAGATCAATCGCAGGCCCAAGAGCTCCGTGCTTTGCCGTCAACCCCGTTTTTGCTACCGTTGGTGAGACTCGTCATTCAAGATGACGGTCATAGAAACGGTCAAAGAGGCCGTCGGCCTGGGAGATGCTGCCGGTATGTGTGCTTTTATTCTCGTCAACCTCCTCGTCCTAGTACGACGAGAGATCCGGAATGAAAGCTAATTCAGCCATCCCCCTACTACAGCTCCAGCATCTAGACAAGCAATGTCCGAAGCCAAACTCCCCCTCGCCTACCGCGACAGCTGCGCACACCTTTTAATCCCTCTCAATAAATGCCGGCACGAGACATGGTACTTGCCCTGGAAGTGTGAGGTGCGTTTTTATCATCCGCTCAGCAACCCCCAATACGAAGGACAGTCATGAATGAGCGATGGAACTGCGGAGAATAATATATACTGACTGGTGGGCTTGCCTCCTGTTTGCGGCCAACAGAACGAGCGACATAGCTACGAGAAATGCCAGTATGAAGAGTTCAAGAAGAGGGTTGCGAAGATGGACGAAATCCGCGCAGCCAAGGCTGCAGCAGGCAAATAGAGGGAGTGATATGAGCGCAAGAAAAAGCAAACAGAAAAAAAAAGAATTCCGAGACTTGCAACAAAGCTCGGTTGTATATATGGGCAAGAGCTCGCCGATGGTGGATTTCGAGGCTGTCTATGGAGGAGGGACAGCTCACATGATTATGGTCGAGACCGAGTTCCGGAGACTGTGGTATTGGGGGCATTTCAACGTGCTCTGACAGGTACGAATATGGGAAACTCGATCTCACAGGAGGAAAGACAAGTTCCCATACAAGACAAGCAACGGTGTCGCGAGGGATCGTTTGCCTTGGCCAACCGCCTGGAAGAGCATCAATATCACGTGATTGAATCTTGGCCGCCTCTGGTTTCGTGATGGAGAGACAGCCATCTGCATGAAGTCTTCGTGTCGCAATATATTTCTTGATATGGTGACATTGGATGCAGCCGCTCAATATGAAGACCCCCACGCCATACCCTTCCGCTCCCAGAGGATTGGCCCAAGCGATGCAAAATCGAACTGACGGGGCTCGCAGGAGTCGCAGTCTCGTTGGCGGATATCACCGGCGCCCAGCGGCATCTGCAAGAATGAGCCAAAGCTTTTTTATCTATTTGATCCCATCTTGTCCCATGTAGGCGCCACGGTCCAACATTGATGATGACTAATTGGAAATCCTTGCAGGATACGGGATCAGGACGACCTCCCTTCTTACTCCCTTCTAGGCCCTGCTCCCATCCTCCCGAATACTCTTCTATTACTCCATGCCACGAGATCTCCCGGCTTCAGGCTGTAAATACGGGCATCGTCTCATTTGCCTCTTCTCTCCATCCCCATACAGACGTTTTTCTTGCCCGGTTGAACCCCACGTTCGAGGCTTTCATTCCCAAAGGCCCCCTACCCAATTTTTTTCGTCACTGCCACATTGCGGCTGTTTCCGCCCGAAGTTTGCCGTTTAGTCTCTGCCAAACAGCAAAAATTGCATAAGAAATCGTCACCACCAGTCGAGGTTTTGGCTCATCGTTCTATTCGGCAATTCGGGCCCTAGTCTCCATTCTCGAGGAAAGACCATCTACATTTCCCTTGCGGGAAAAAGAAGGGTCAACAAGTTCCCGATGGTTCTTCTCTGCTCAAAGTACACCATGTATCTTCCCTAGATGGCTTCGGAAGTGGCACCATCGCTCTGGCTGGTCACTACCGAGTCGAGCACTCTGGGTTGATCGTACCGTCTTTGAATCCCTCTTGATATATTTTTACACCGGTTTCTTCGTGGCAAAACTTTCCAAAAGGAGCCATTCTTACACTTGAACTATACTTCCCCCATTTTCAATATGGGTCTTTTGTAGGTACCAAAGATCTCTTGTACGGTCCTTTCCCCCCTGGCCACTTTTATTCACGGCGTGCAGAGTGTTAGGGACGGCCTTGGATTGGCCAGATGCGAAAAAGGCAGCGAACCAGGTCCGGGAATGGGGTATCGAGGTAAGGACATCCTGAAGTGCCCACCATGTGCTTCAATCCCAACTTCTACCTACTGACACCGTCCAAGCAATTACTCGCAATATGGCGTAAGGCCAAGGGTAAAGAGCGTGATGCCCTCCTTTGGGGTGACGAGGTATGGTTCCGCCTTCGGCCGGATGTCCGTCCGTATTACTAAACGATCCATCCGCCCTCCTCCAGGTCGAGTACCTCGTTGTCGCCATTGATCAAGAACAACAAAAGGTGCGGCTGTCGTTGTGCCAGGCGGATGTCCTCGAATCTCTGGCGAGAGACGAGGCACTGTCGAAGAGAGATGCCGTGGTCCCTAATTTGCAAGATGGCGTTGTGTGAGTAGTTCCAGTGTCCTTACCTACTTATTGTCTGTTTCTTCATTGACTCGTGGTTCTCAGTCGAAGTGGTGCCCTTCCAACTTTCCATCCCGAATTCGGTCGCTTTATGCTCGAAGCTACCCCTGGGAAGCCATGGGGGATCGATTTCAAAGATTTACTCGACGTCGAGTCCGACATGAGGCTTCGGCGCCTACTCGCCAAAAACCACATGGAACCTGACCAATTCCCAATCACATTGACAACCTTCCCTCGCCTCGGGCTGCCCGACTCTATCATGCCCGACTACCCTCCTTCCGGCCCAGCCTTACGATCACAGTTCGTGCCAGACGAGATCGCCAATCCCCACATTCGGTTTCCAACACTGGCTGCCAATATCCGGTCACGAAGGGGCCGAAAAGTGGAAATCAACGTGCCCGTCTTCAAGGATAAAAACACCCCGTCTCCATTCCATGATCCCACAGTCAATTACGACCTGCACAAATGGCCCGAGGACGACGACGTCCGCAAAGGCGCTGTGAAGCCTGACTGTGTCTACATGGATGCCATGGCTTTTGGGATGGGTAGCTGCTGCTTACAGATTACTTTTCAAGCGAAGAATATCCGTGAGGGTCGAACTCTGTACGACCAACTCTCTCCCCTGGGTCCAATCATGCTGGCGCTCACGGCTGCAACGCCGATATACAAAGGTTTCCTGGTCGACACGGACGTTCGATGGAACCAAATTTCCCGATCTGTCGACGACCGCACGGCGGAGGAACTCGGTGAGGTGCCCCTGAAAAACGATCGCTGGCGAATCCCCAAATCCCGTTATGCGAGCAATAGCACGTACATCGCGCAGGATCCCCGCCTACGGCCCGAATACATGGACCCTGACCTCATCGTCGACGAAGAACTCAAACAGAAGCTGCTGGACGGAGGCATGGACGACCTGCTCGCCACGCATTTCGCGCACCTCTTCATCCGCGACCCCATCGTCATTTTCTCCGAAGATTTGAGGGCCCTCGACCCGGAAGGCTCGAACCATTTCGAAAACATCCAGAGCACGAACTGGCAACACATGCGGTTCAAGCCACCGCCCCCGGACGCGGACATCGGCTGGCGCGTCGAGTTCCGGAGCATGGAGATCCAGATCACCGACTTTGAGAACGCGGCGTTCGCCATCTTCATCGTCCTCGTCACCCGTGCCATTTTGAGCTTCGACCTCAACCTGTACATCCCGATCCCGCGCACGATGGAGAACATGGAGACGGCGCACGCCCGAGACGCGGTCATGAAGGAAAAATTCTGGTTCAGAAAGGATCCATTCCCCACGAAGAGTCCAAAACAATCCCCACGATTGAACGGGATCAGCGAGCTTCCATCCAGTGGAGAACCCACACCACCACCAGAGCAGCAGCAGCAGCCGACCCCGAACGAGTCAAGCCATGCGGCAGCATCAGCAGAGTCCCTCGAATCGACATTCGGCCCGGTCGAGGAGGAATACACGCTAATGACGATCAACGAGGTGATCAACGGTGGCGGCTCGTGCGATAGCTTCCCCGGCCTGATCCCGCTGGTCGAGTCGTACCTCGACAGCGTGAACATCGACATCGACACGCGCTGCCACCTGGCCGTCTACCTGGACCTGATCCGCAAGCGGGCCAACGGTACGCTGTGGACGGCCGCGAAATGGATCCGCGAGTTCGTCCGCCGACACCCGGAGTACCAGGGCGACAGCGCCGTTGGCGAGAAGATTGTCTATGACCTCTTCGCCGCTGTGCGCGACGACGAGGAGACCCAGGAGATGGGCAACGCGCGCAAGAAAGGGAGGGACAAGTTTGCCACCGGCTGGGAGATGCTCTCTGCCAAAGAGAGGGCGAGGGGAGTGGACGAGTGAGTGCGTGGTTGGTAGTGACGTTGACATTGGCGGCGGCATTACCGTGGCATTGCAACGTCGACGTTAACCGTAACGCTCACATCAGCATTGGCGTTGACATTAATAGAGGTATATACACATTGGCATTTACATTAGCATCAACACCGACATCAATACAACTGTCACCGAGTTGATATTCACATTGATGACCCAGCCACTTTTTTGCTGTGGCTTGTGCAACCCTGAGCCGGACCTACATCACATCCACCCTTCACCTGTTATCATCCATGTCTACTTCATTTTCAACGCTGCAGCACATTCGACAAACTGGAGCTTACAACTTCATGAGAATGTGCATTAGTGTGCTAATGAGCGAACACTTTCTCTTCATCGCTAGCAGCACAGCCTGCCTGGGTTCCGCTAGCGAATGAAACGAGCTTGCTCCGACTCTGAAATCGGGCTTAGAAGCCAGCTTCAAGTTCAGGATGGCTCGAGCGGCCTCCCAACACTCAAACAGACGAGAGGTCGACCCCAAGAGAGCGCGCCTCGACCGAGTCATCCTCATTCGGGGCTTTGTTTCATGCCTCCTGACAGGCCAACACAACAATATTTGGCTGGTAAGGCTATCGTTCAGAATGAATCAATTGCACACTGAAGGCAAGGCTGTATTTGGACCTTTCTTCCGGCACTTCGGGTCTTGTCTTTAGATAAGCCTGACGAGCAGGCTGGGCTTGTTGGTTGCTTGAATATCTTCGACTCAGCAATTTCAGCTTACTTGCGACTCTCCACGACTTCCGCCATGACACTAATCGAGTTTACCAGCAATTCAGCCTGATCATCCACAAACCTGCTTGGACTTCTCAGGAAGGATCGGGCCCCGATGCCGTGAGGGTTGGAGGACAGCCATTGTATCATCCACCCAACGACCAAGCTCAACCTCGAAGTGAATTAGCTTCCTTACCGACGTCCCAATCTGCCTCATCTCCATCTACGACAAAAGAGCAACACGTTGTCGGCAAGACGCACAGGTCCCGGCACTGGCGATCTGCCCTAGTTACTGTCATGGACAATTGGTGGATTTGGGAGGTGATGGGGCTGCTGGGTTCTGCCGCAGGGTTGCTGGCCATGCTGGCATTCTTGCTAAAATACGACGGTAACCAGCAGCCAAGCTGGAAACAATTATCACTCAATACTGTCATTGCCATTCTCAGCTCTCTTTCGAAACTGCTTCTCTTCATCCCACTTACCTCTGCTATAGGCCAACTGAAGTGGATCTGGGTTGCCCAGCAGAAGCGAAGCCTGGCAGATTTGAGTGTCTTCGATGCCGCAAGCAGAGGGCTAATTGGCTCAATCCAGCTGCTCTGGTTAACTAGAGGCCTGTGAGTTCTATGGAAAATACATTCCCACTTGTCTTGAGTGATGATGTCGTGGGCTAATCAGTGCCGTTCACAGGCACCTGGCTGCCTGGGGTGCCATTGCGACAATCCTGGCACTTGGTTTTGCGCCCTTTAACCAGAACCTGATTCATTACTACCAAGATAATGTCGAAGAACCATTACAAGTAGCTTACCTGGCGAACTCTTCGTCCTATGATAGTGTTGCGCCCTATGTGGGGACCGGACTGTGAGTTCATGCCTCGGTGCCTGGTATGCTGACACACTAATTGGCACCGTGCAGATATTCCAATTAACTCTGTTCTGAAAGCGAACATTTATAATTCAATCCTCAATCCAAATGCACGCCAGTCTTGGGGCGTCCCGCAATACGCCTGCAGCTCAGGAAACTGCACCTGGGACCCCGTGACATCTCTTGAAGCCAGGTCACTCTGCACGGACGTTACCGAGCATCTGCGGAAGCAATGCCACTGGCACGACGGGGTGACGAATTGCACCTTGTCCATTCCGGATGGAGCACCTCTTTGGTACCAAATCAGCACGAGCGACAAGGATTGGGAATCACAAGCCTTGGTGCTTTCTGAGTCTTTTACAAATCTAGTCTACAAGAATGCTACCAGGAGCGACAATTATAGCTCTCCGAGCCTTGCCACCTGGCAATCCACCATGGCACTTGGGCTCGATTTCAATTTGGGCAGCGCAACAATGTCCATCACCAACGACACAAAATGGATAGCGACCGAGTGCTCGCTGGAGATCTATGTTCGCAGCGTCAATGCTTCCGTGCGTAACGCTGTCTACTACGAGACTACGCTAGACACTTGGTCGGATACAGCATTGCCGGACGTCGCACCTAACGGCCTCTTCCTTCGTTTTATCGTCCCCGAAAATCACAGCCTCGGTGTGTTAGAAGGTGACGAGTTCTTTTTGGGTTGGGATGCGTGGGACTCGATATATTACGAGATGCTGCCCATGTTTAGTGGAATTGTGTCGGGATATCTCGATGACCTGGACTTCGGTGATGATGCCCCAGGCGACGCAGCCTACAATGTTCTGCAAGCTCTGTTTATACAGAACTTCACGGACTGTGCAACCCCGGACGAAAAACTCTGCTGTATAATGGACAACCTGGCCGCCGCCATGTCCAAAACGTTCCGGGATTCCGAGTACACAAAGGTTCAGGCATCCCGTTTCAATGTATCGGCAACAGATGTGAGGAACACGGCCAACATGGCCTTCGGCCGAACACTGGTCACGGCGACGTTCTTCAGGGTACACTGGCAATGGCTGACTCTGCCACTCCTTGTCTGGATCTTGGCAGCGTTCACCTGGATAGGGACGGTGTTCCTCACAGCAAGAACGGGGCTACAGAAGTGGCGAAACAACATCATTCCCCTCCTGTTCCTGTACCGAGAAGGAGGAACCAAGGCTGATGAAGAGAACGACGTGGGAGGGGATGCCACCGCTGACGTTACGAAAGCTGAGCTTGCTTCTCGAAGCCCTGGAGTGAGCACCATGTCGTTCGTGGCAAGCGCACTCAACATATTCAGGTGAAGCTGGTAGTTGAGCGAACGAAGGTAGGCTTGTTCGACGTGACGTGATAATCCAGGAGAGGCTTGAATGCACAAGTGGGACAATGAATACAGCGACTCCAAGACGGGCGACCTCAGGTAAACGGTCAAGACATTGGTCAAACACCAAGGCGATCTATCACCTCGATGTCTAGGAGTAACGGGACAGGAGGAAGTATGCCACAGTAGCCAAAGAGAGGCAGCGCGCTACGGGGTTCAAGACGGCCAGTATTGTCCAGATACCCAGCTACCCGCAAGGCGATCGCCAACATCTAAACCGCGTTCAACGGATCTACAAGACCAAGGAGGGCATCACCAACAGACGCACAACATTGGGGAGTGAACGAACCACCGAGGCAACAAAGAACCGAGCTAGTTTCAGGAAGTGCGAAGAACTCAACGCCGGATCCGGCCGTCTTGGAAAACAAACCTGACATTCCGTGGTCGAGCTTTAAACAGTCAGCGAAAACTCTGCTTCACACCCACCAGGGCCACGGATACTCCACTTCGATATCCGTTTCTCGTCATCCAAGGAAAAGCATATTCGACGGGAAAGCCAACGGCCTCGGCACACTACCAAACTTCCCAAGTTGGATCGCATCATGGGATGGTACAAGGACAACGTTCTTAACGAGGGGGCGGATGTCCTTTTTATTAAATTCTCTTTCCCAGCAGAATAAGGGGAATTCTGTAGGCATTTTCGATGAATTGCTGAGAAGATGCACTAGTCCAGTTGAAGTGTACAGCTGTCATCCATGACATCGTCGATAAGAAGAACGGGATGGTCCCGGGAGAAGGGGCGTATTCCTTATGGGATAGCGAGACCCGAAGATGGGATGGAGGAGGAGGAGGAGGAGGAGGGGGTAGAGAGGAGTACTGTAAAGAAGGAAAAGCGTAAAGAGGACGACCGAGACAATGGAGATATATGAATATTAATGTGTCGAGCATGATACATTGATCATTGATGTTGTAACCTCGACACTGCACAGCTCAAGAGAAAGGCCGATCCCTATCCAACAGAGATGCAAGAACCACAACTACCCATCGTCTTTATGTGTATCGTATGCCACGTCTTGTGGCTTGTGGCCTCAATCTGCAGAAACGTCGTCGTGGCGGCCGCCAGCCTAGCTATATGAATAGGTCCTGAGATATCGAGGATACGCCTGCGTACTTGATCGAAGGTACATATACACCAGACACTCTCGGATCGTCGCGCTCAGCGTCTGTCCGTCTCAATGCGTTGGCTGGAGCCCTCGGTGTCCAGTATGACCTAATCTTGTCTGTCTTGATTGGATGGCCTCAATGAAGGCATCCTTGACAATTGCGCTTGTCTGTGCTACTCGACCTGATAAACAACGATCTTTTCCTCCCTACTTCCGCTTATCCTCTGCAATGGAGGCCATTTCGATTGAGTTCTCCTCGTCAAGTGCGTCATCGCACGGAATACCAGCCACGCTGAACGCGCCGTCGGCTTCGTCGCCCTTCTCGCTCCACACCGAGCTCGTGGCTGGAACGGGCTTGATCCAACACAGGACATAGTAGACGAGTGACGAGATGACAAACCCGGCGAAGAAGTTTACTCTGTAGATATAGTTCGCCCCGATTGGCACCTTTTCGGGACTGAATTTTTGTTAGTAGTTCCCTTTTTTTTGTGTTTTTGTGGAGATGGTGGTTGCAACGTACTTTGGCCCCGACCGCGCTGGCGAAACCAACAACATTAATAAGAACTCCGCAAATGTAAGAAGTATATGCCCTCCATGATACGCCGAAGTGATAGTAATATGGCGAGCCCTCTCGGGCCGAGTACAGATCCTTCAGCGAATAATATCCCTTTCGCACGAAATAGTAATCACAGATGATTACGCCCGCAATGGACGACAGGAAGACGCTGTACGCTGACAGATATGTAGTGAAATTGTTCGAGGTATTCAACAAGTTCCAAGGGCTGGTCCCATCGTTAGCAATCTTGAGGGTTGTCTCGGGTTAAGGATAGAATTTGTGGAAATAAGGTTCCCGCAACCTTTCTGCAGGCCAGGGTCAAGCCTTACCACATGCAGAGGCCGATGATTGCACAGATGTATCCTCCTCGGCGGATGTTGAGGTATCGAGGTAGCAAGGCTGTCATGTCCGTCCCTGCTGAAACGCTGTTGGCTGCAATGTTCGTTCCAAGCTGGGCGAGCGCGAACGCAGCCGCAATGACGAAGACGCCGAATCTGTCAGCACGCGTAGCATCATCCAAAAGGAATTGCGAGAGAAGATACAAAGGATTCCAGATGGCCGTGCCGTAGATGACTTTCGACGAAGACGACACAATGATGCCCACGAAAGAGGTTACAACGAACCCAATGGGGATGGTGAAAAGCTGTGTCCACAGAGCATCTCGTGGTTTTCTGGCGAAACGGGAGAAATCGGGGTCATTGACAATCAAGGTTGCAAAGTTGGCAATAGGACTCATGATGCCAACCATCCAACCCCAGGCAAGCAGAGACCCTGAGGCCGTCGCCGGCTCTTTCACGATCGGACCGATGCCATGTGCACGGCCAATCGCCCAGCTAAAAGGTGTGAGCGCAGCGACCGGGACGAAGCAAGACTTGACCATGAAAAGATAGCGGATCTTGTGGACGGGAAACCAGATGGCGGGAAGAGATGCAACCCAGAAAATGAAAAAGCCCACAAAGTCTCTCGTGTTAGTACCCAAGTTAGGGATGCCGTTGTGAAGCGTGTAGAAAGAGGGCGAGATGAATCGAATCATCAGAGTGATGCACTGACCACCGATCCAAGCCTGCACGCCGTACCAAACGCAGGCCATAGCTGCTCGATTGAAAACAGGCCAGAGTGACCCCCATATGCCGAATGATGCACGGGAGACAACGGGAAAGGAGATGTGGTACACGGCTCCTATTCGTCCCGTCGAGCAGACGAACATGGCAGAGACGGAGTACCCGATCAAAATACAGATCAATGCATGCCACCATGCGAGCCGTAGGCTAGCATGGTTGAAGCAATCATCCAGGTGGTGATGTTGAACGAGTCCGAAATCCAGAAGGCTGGCGAGCGCGCGTCAGCGAGAACAAGTTGTTACCAGAATATGCCTGCGACAAATTCCATACCGATAAAGCTCCAAGCCGTCCACTGGCGTCGTTGCGGCTCGACGGGCTTCAGGTCATGATTGATGAGCATCAACTGGGCGTTTGTGAGGCCAGGCTCCGATTCTGTCTGCAGCCTCGAGAGCAGCCATGTGGCCTTGGATTTCGGAAATCTGGGCATGGTTGCTCTCATCTTGAGCAGCGACCCGGCAGCAGGGCTGTTCGACTGAGACAGCAGAGGTTCGGCAGCTTCCCAGTGCGACAGTCTCTGTGAAGGGGACGAGGAAGTTGCAAAATCGTCGAGCTCGATGACGGCATGTTGAGGGGCAGGAGACTTAGGAGAGAGCATAGGGGTTGTACAGGAGATGGCGATGGGATGCGGAAAGGAAACCCTATGCAGTGGCCAGTCAGACTACTCAGGGTCAGTAGTGGCCGGGAGCTGAAGAAGGTTGCAGAAGAAGTGACAAGGTCTCGGTCCAGGATTAAAGCTCCCCGTTAAATAGAGCTCAGCCTTGATGGAGATTTCAGGTCAAAGCAGTTCGAGGCAGCAAACGTCCCGGGAAGTGACCCGTATCGAGGGTATGCTGTCAGTTATATCCATACGCTTTTCTCTGGGCCCATGTCCATTTATAAATATCTATAAGCCGACATTTACATTTTCCCGCCCGTCCAAAACGCTTGCTCGTTAGTCGTAAGGTGATTTGCTGATCGCTGTCCAAATTCAGTCCCAGAACGGCCACCCGAGGGAGCTCCCAACTACCCGGCGTCCAACTTGACGTCCTGGAAAGCAGTTGTCAGCTCGAGGATCCTCTTGCTCAGCCGTGCATGGAAAAGAGCGTGGAAATGAACCTGGGGCTCATCCTTGGGTAGGTAGAACCTCGATAGGATGTCTTTGCACACCTCCCACGTGTGCACTCCCATTAGCACCGTCTGTTCGTCAAAGCTTCGCGTAAACCACTCGTCTCCGCTCAGCGCCCCGACGTAGAGGATCCAAAGCCTCAGTCGGGGATCCAAGACCACCGAATCCAGACATGATCGCACGCGCCCCAGCATTTTAGGCCCGGCTTTGTAGATGGAGGTGGTCCCGACAGGAATGTTCTCCAGCGCACTGACGAGTTTGAGAACGTAGGCGAGGGCGAGGCTCGCCGAGACATCGCGGCCATCGACGGCGTGGTTGATTGCCCGACCGATAAGCACCAGCGTCCGCATGCGCAGAAAATTCCAGACGGTAGGCCGGGGCGAAGGGTCGCTGGTAAAGAAGTCATAGAGGGCATCCAATTGCTGGAGTTCGATGAACAGATTGCGAAGCGCTCCTCGCAGACATGGGTCCGGACAGACATCCATGATGGGCAGAGGAACTTCAAAGGGGACCGTCACCCATCCATCCATGGGGAAGAGAGTGCGCGACAACGACAAGGCGGCGCGGTGGACGTCCATCTGGAACACGCTGATCCATTTATACGGCACGATCGCTGCTGGATTGTCTCGAATCTGGGACTCCATAATGATCTTCGCCATGCCAAGGTGGGCCAGCGCCTCATCACAGTTCTCACCCCAGATCTCGGCCACGAGGAAGTGCATCAGGACATGCAGCGGCGGCTGGCCGAGTTCGCGAATGTATGCCCGCAACGCATTAAGGCCCTGGTATCGATGTACGAGTGATGATCTGAGGTAAGAGGAATCGGGAGAAGATCGGGCCATGAGGGTCAAGGGCGTCAGCAGAAAGGCCAGAGCAGTCATGTTGTCGCACAGCGAGTCGGACGCGAACGACGACCATGATGGAAGGATGTTGCCTTTGCCCTGGGCTTGGGCTTGCAGTCGAGATCCAGGGCCTTGGATGACGGGGAAGACACTGCGACGCTCAAAGGCCATGATCTCGTTGACGCGGGCGCTGACATAGACAGGCGTGGAATTGAAAGGATCAGAGTTGCCGCGGAACGCAACGATGCTCTGACCCGGTGGCGGCGGGGATTCCTCTCCCTGTTGCTCTTGCTCTTGCTCTTGCTCTTCCTCTTCCTCTTCCTCTTCCTCTTCCTCCTCCTCTTCCTCTGACTTGATGCGCGTCTGGTCGTGATCCTGGGCACCTTTGTCTGTCGGGGCATCTTGACCTTGTCCTCGACGGCTTGGTCCTCGCTGGTCGTGTGCTAGTCGCGGGATGATGACCGACTTTCTCATTGACCGGGCCGCCTCGATGCGCCGCCATTTGTGGTAGCCTGATTGGATGTGCGAGAAAACCTTGTGGCGATGTGGTGCCGCCTTGCGGCTTTTGGCATCATGGTGGACCCAGAGTAGATCGCCCGAGTATGCCATGGCATGGCATGGCGGCAATAACAACAATAACCTAGGTAATGACAAACAGGCTTCGAAGCTGTGCCAGGGGGGGCCAGGTCTAGATTTGCGCGCCGGCGCGTGGGCGGGAGGTGCATTAGATACCTAATACGGTGCATCCCGTTCGGGAGGCATTATTATTATTACAGCGAGGACCAAAAAGGTCAAATGCGGAAATTGGGCACCAATTCCCCCAAACATATGTATTAGCAAGGCTCAAGGGCTACCGACTACCACGCACCAGCCTCTGACAGGAACTTCCTCTATTCTTGTCCTGAATCTTTGGTACTGGATATTTTGGGTATAGCCCATCGCCGGTCGCTCCCATCTCTCTCGTCCTGAGCCAGTTCTCGGCTTTAACGTGAACTTCTTCGAAATGCCAGAATTCATTTTCCTATCTGTGCTGCGAGGGACCAGCTGAAAATCCAGCTTAGAAGGGAACCTGGCCGACAGGGAAACCTTGTTCGTCGCGTCATGGGGGCCCAAGGACAGACTGGATGAAGGGACTGCGCCTCTATGTCGCCGACTAGCCAATAAATGGGCAGTCCGTCGAGCTGAGAACGGGCGTGCACTATTGGCATACGCTCTGCCGACTCTCGTGATGCAGCAACTGTCTCTAGTGCCGGGCCAGTATCGTTGCTAGCGGCACAATAGCGGAATTGAGGCGATGAGAGACGGAGGGAGACTCTCTTCTCTTCCCTTCCCTTGATGTCTTCGAATTCATCCCCTTTTGTCACCACGATGTCGAAACCTCATATGGACGACGGCGTCCAGTCATGGCCGCAGAACGAAATAGTACGGCCGAGAGAAAGGTGACGCGAAGGTCGGTGAGTCGGTAGCTGAGGATTAGGTGAGAGAGGAGGTGAGACCAGATCGAGTCGTGGCCATTGGTGCGCAGGTGGTCTCAAGGAGGCAGCGCGGTCGGCATGCGAGTTCAAAACGATTCCTCAGCGATTTCAGCTTCGCCCTTCAAGTTGTCGACGCTCCAAGTCATGAACAGACTTCTTCCGCTCTGTACAGCCGGCGCGATGCCTGGCCCATCTCATACATGTAACCAGACAGATACGGGAGTCTGTTCGGTCGTCAACCACACAACATGCGCAAGAGTTTGTTGATGAGTCTGGATAGGAGTCCCCGGGCCACCTTCTCCGCTTCCCCGTATTGTCCCTCGCCTGCAGCTTGGTAATGCTGCGGCTGTTGTTGAGCATGTTGAGGATGCCAAGGTGGCTGCTGATAACCTGGATGTGTCTGGTAGCCGTCCCATTTGCTCACATGCTGCATCTCGACAGGGCTGCCGTCCAGCTTGATGTAGATTCTGCCTTCGTTCGACTCAGTGTGATATTGCAAGCCCAGCTCCCGACAGATTTGCTCGACACGGGGTTTGAGTTTCTGCACATGGTCAGGAGAATGGTTGCCCCTCCCGACCACTACGTGAAGATGTGTTTGGCCATGGCTTTGCGCATATCGAATCCTCTCTTCGAGAATCTCCTCTGCCTCGTCCACATACAGTCCGTGCAAGTCGATCGTATCGGCAGCAGCTCGTCCGTCGGCGTTGTTTTCGCGAAAAATGAACTCGGAGGCCTGCTTGTTGAACATTTCCATTTTCGCCCCATGCTCCTTGCCTTCCTGCGACAGCGCATGCGCAGCTGCTCCGTCGCCGTTTGCATATGCTTCTTGGGATCGTTGGAGACAGGCAGCGCGGTTGGAGGCCTCCTGGCGTGCCAGATTCCGTAACCGGTCGTACTCTTCTTCGGCGGCCTGGGACTGATTGTGATTGAATGCTACAAATCGAACACCAAACAAGTCAGTCAGTGAGTCTTTGCGCACCGGCCAATATATCCGACAGCCAGCCCTAGGTTGGACAAAAGTTGCGACCTACGTCTCGCCCCTACGCGGGTTGCGTGCTGTGTTGACATTTCATGCGACATCTTTCCTACCAGTCGCTGTCTCGGTTCAACCACCTCCGTTAAATATAGCGAGAGGGAGAGGTGCGAGATGGGCGCAGGCGAAATCAGGATAAGAGATGTGTAGAAAATGCCTCCAGCTAAATTTTTAGGAGATATATCACCACCACATCAAGGTCAATTGAGATCTGTCTTCGCGAAGGCCCAAGCAGAAGGGAATCTCGGAGGAGCTGGAAGGCGGAGGCGAGGATGGCGAGCAAGCGAGATCTGGCTGCTAGTGCTTAGTCATCGTTGAGACTCAACTCCGCAGTTCTAATACTCCTCCGTAATGTACACCGCTCGACCATATAAAACTCAAGTGGAACGAAGCAAGAACGAAGCAAGAACGAAGCAAGAACGAAGCAAGAACGAAGCAAGAACGAAGCAAGAACGAAGCAAGAACGAAGCAAGGGTCAATGGCAATGGGACGCCCATCATTGTTTTCCCTTTACGCATTGACTGCTCTCGCAATCCATCATACCTTCGACACCAGCCGAATCGGCAGTCCCGCCAGGTCATGAAGCCGCCAGTTTGCTCTCGTAGCAGTTCGCCAACTCGCGCAGGATATATCCCATCCGAGGGGTCAAACCCCATACCCAGGTATCATCGTAGAATCCGGCCCAGTATCTAGCCAGCTTGGCCGCCAGGGAAGAGCCCCCCTCGATGTCGAACCCGTCCTCCAGCTCCGACAGCAGGTTTCTGATGGCTTGCATGGTCTGGGTCTCCAGCTCGCTGATCGATCCACCACTCCTTGACCGGGTCTCCACTTCTATTGCATGCACCCATTTCGTGACCAGTAATGCTGTGTGCCGGAGTCAGTGCCAGCATCAAGACATACGGCTATTGTCAGCTAAACTTACCCACCTCCCACCCCGCCAACGCGTGTCCGACCGCCCAGGTCAAGGCTGCCGTCTTCTTGATGAGCATAGTTCCCGCTTTGTACGGTATCAACATGCCCTCAAATGCCCGGCTGACCGCTCTTGCCACGAGATTGCCTCGGTTTTGCGGCAGCGCGACAAAATCCTCAATAGAAGCTATGAATTCTTCCTGGCTTTCCTGGAGCAGCATCATCGAATCGGCAGCGCTATGTCCTGTAAATGCCCGACAATAGCTGACCCGCAACAGCGCCAGGCAGTTGAAAAACAGTGGTGTTTCGGCCTCCGTCCAAGGATAGTCCGCGTCAGAACTGGCCTGGGTGATTAAGGCCCGGCATCTTGAGAGGGCAGCCTCCGTTTGGGCAAGAGTCTGGGACTTTTGCGTTTCGTTCGACTGTCCCGGACTGGAGAACTCGCCGAAGAAATATGATCCTTGGGTAATGTGCCAGATGTGGATTGAAATGACGTTAATTACCGCGCTGATCGCGAAGGGTGACCACTCCCAGCACTCTTGCGGCACCGTCTTGGTGGAATTTCCGTTCATGACCATCGAGACGGCTTGCTTGACATTGAGTGATGAGTACTGACCTTTTCGCGTTGCCGCTTCGTGCCACTGCTCTTCCGTGAGGGCATCCCACAGAGATTGGTCACACGGCATCTCGATGAAACCATCCGAAACCACCGAATACCCCGGCGGGATCCCATATGTCATTGTCACCAGATTCCCAAACGCTATCTGGCCGTACAATAACCTGTACACCAAGTCAGCGAGCGGTGCCTCTATGCAAATTCCCTCACTGACCTCTTGACACTCTCCCTTTCGATCCATGCCCGCCAAGTCAGCCACTCCTCTCCGCTTTTGCGAGGCTTTATAGTTGGTGCCAATTCACGGAAGTCCTAAGAACTTATCAGAGACGTATTCCCCTTGGCTGGCCCGAGTCAGCTCACCACGAGAAAGTCACCGAGCCGTGTGATAGCCTTTGAAATCACTTCCGTGTCGCCGCTGAAGCAGCTGAGCATTGCAAGCAGCAATCGAGTTTGACCCTTCCACAGAGATTCTGGCGTCGACTTTGGCGACTGAGGTCGTGGCTGAACCCACTCTTCAAGGAGCCGTGGCTTCTTGTGGAGATGCTCGCCGCGGTCAAGGACAGCGGCAGCCAGAGCCTGGTCTGCTTTCAGATATAAAAAAGCAGCAATCTTTCTTTCTAGTCGATAAAGGGCGCCAGTGGCACATATGGCGAGAATGAGGGGCGATGGCGTCGTTTCAAAGTCCATTGTCTGAAGGTGGAAAATGGGCAGGTGGACGTGGAAGGCGTCGATGTAAGTTCGGATGCACTTCTGGAGTGCAGCTGCGCTGGGCAATCGGAAACCGATCAATTGCTCAGGGGCAAGTCTATTCGACAGGTCCTTCAGCAGATGAGCCCGCATTGATTCGGAGAAAGTAAGCGCCGGGGGTTTGGGGTATCTTGTCTGAGGAACCTGGAAACTTGAAAGGCCCTCAATTTCAACGCGCGGTGTCGTGAAAACTTGAGCTGAAGTCTCGTCCCATGAGATGGGGCATTCTTTGGAACGCGAGTTTGCATGACTGGCCGTTTCCCATGATTGATTGGAATCGTCAACTGAGGGTGTCTCGTGTGCGGTTGAAAGGTGGTTTTGCTGGAAGCCGTAATCCTGCATCGAGGCCTGGCTCGAACCAGAAAAGTTTTCTAGGGGTGACCAGCCATCCGTGTTGCCGCCGAGAGGTGGTATGGCGAACGCCTCAAGTTGCTTTGGAGGCAAGCCTAAAAATGGATCGAAGAAGTCAAGAAATTCCAGGTCACCATCAAGGTCGGGGAGAGGCACTGAGCTTGGGAATGTTCGCATTTTCTCAAGATCAGAGACATCGACACTGAAGTCTGCCAAGTGAAGTCCCATCGAGGGCCGCGGCTCCGGAACAATAGCAGGTTCCCCATTGAAATTTGACAGGAGTGATAGTTCAGATGCATTATTGACCTGATTTACTACTCTATGGCCTTGAGCAACTGGCAATTTTGGTGATTGAATGGTATTCGACTTTGTTGATAGTTTGGAGGTTTGTTTGGAAGCCATGGATGCAGTACCCCTTGGTCGCCCGGTTGGCTGATTTGAAGAAACCGGAGGTACATCTTTTCGAAACTCTACAAATTCATCTTTTCCTTCACCTTTGGATGTGGAATGACTTGACGGGATTTTCTTTGCTGATCTCTTTGTTAGAAACGATTCAACCGGGATCAGAGACTGCGGACCTGAAGAGAGGTCTTGAGTTATCGGAACATTCGAGCGTTGTTTCTCGATGGCGTTTGCCACCTGTTCCGGTGTATGCAGAGTCCTCTCATGGCGGACTAGAAGGTCTCTGAAGGGAACCTTTTTCAATAGCTGTCATCATTGATGAGGGATACGAAGATGTACCTTCGACTATACCTCCGCCGACAAACCCTGCAGCCGAACGGTTTTTCCTGCGTATCTAAAAGACTTGTAAGTGTTGTTGAAAAGCTTGCGGACGGGACGAGTCCTCCAAGGACGCGGCTTACGGCCTCGTTGATGACGAATACAGTGTTCGCTTCGCTTAAAGGCCCTTGAACAAACACTACAGACATGTTTTCTCTTTGAGGCCGAATTTTCTTTGTCGAGCTTGGGAAATATAATGGTCGAAGTGCCGATTAGTGCCATGACGGATATGATCTGTTGCTCATCCTGTCAAGAGGGAACGGGATGTGGGAAGAAGTGGCTTTCGACAACTAGGATCTCAAGTAGCGAGGGACCGACCTCTCCCACGATACCACCGAGGCCACCTGATCGGTTTTGACCCATACATTTGTTCGGCCACAAGTTTATGCCCGTTGCGGACGCAGTCGTGGGGCTAATTGCGGAGGGGATCTCAGCAAAACTTTGGGGAAGGTGAGAATAAAGGAATGCCACTGGTGGGAAAGGCAAGAAAAGGAAGAAGCGAGTGCACTTGGAGCGGAGAAGTTGTCTCGGCCTCCCAAACCCCGTGCGGAGAAAGGAAAAGGAGGCTTCTTCTGAGCGATGGCTGCAGCGTCCTGTCTTCTCAGGAACAGACAAAGTAAATCCCATGAGGCTGAGGCCCTCGCGCCTCGATTCTTTGGAGATTCTGAATGTCGTAATATGCAAATCTCAAGAACAATTCCCGCAATGGAGAGGCCAAGACTCGAAAACGCCCTTAAACACTCCGCGGATGCCGTTATTCCTGTCCGCTGGCGGAATAAAAGCTCGAGACAAGCCGGATCTGCTCAGCAAGGATAGTCTTCTCAATTAGGACCATGACAGGCTACTTCCTAGCCTTGATAGGTGATCAGAGCATTCTCCTGTCTTCAGAAATGCTCGACCCTTGCAAGGCTGGTGACAGACAAGTGACAGTGGGCGTGCAAGCCAGGAGGGGCACCCTGCGCGGTGACATGACTAGTCCATTCGGAAGAGCGACGTTGTTCCTCCGCATGTCCTTCAGAAACCATTTGATCCTGATCATGATTCTGCTTTGTCTCCTATACTCATCTCAGTTGGGTAATGCATAGCACCCCACATGTGGTGACAGCCTCGCGAGGCTGACGTGGGGCAATTTGGGCTTCCTAAAAAGGGATTTGCATGCGCGGTAATAGAACAGCACGAGGTAGATGAACACGTCCATGCCGCATAGAATATATGCTTTAGCAAAACTGCAGGCACGCTACTGGGAAGCATGTATCACATGACTGGCCATCATTACATCCATAACACATTGCACATCCTGCATTGCGCGGCGTGGTGTGCTGTGGACTGGGATACGCTCTTGGAGCCTGGCTGCGGAATCGAGTCAGTTGTCGTCGTTGGCGATAATGTCCGCAAAAGCCCTGAAAGGACTTTCATAAGCTGAGATATACTCCATACCAATGGCCTGTCTGCAGATGGTGCGCAGGCACACAACAATGGACTTTGGAAACACAAAGATCGACTTGATCGGGGTCCCGTTCTCACCACCAGAACCTGAATGCACCTACTATTATTGACTCGGGGAGGTTTGTTACCAGACTCATTGATCATCCTGGTGACAGACATTTTCTGTCGGAATGCAGAAGACGATATCCACTTTGTCATCTGGGAAACACGCAAGGCCGACGCTCTGTGCCCGGGGGCTTGCGGCACATCTTGCCCAATTGGTGTAAAGCCCGTGAAACATGTACGTGATACTTCTGAAGTTTCAAAATCCGAATCACCGCAAACGGATGGCACAAAGTAGTGAAATGCTTTGCGATATTATCCGATTGGGATCCATCTGACCACGTCACACTTACACGGCTAGTTGTTGTTTCCAGAGGTGGTTGGCAACAAGATCGTCCTGAGTTTGCTAGATAAGGAGCGAGCATGAAGTCCAATTGGTTTCACGCCAAGATGCAGATCTCCGCGTACCTTTTCTGGCTGAAGCGGTTGTCCTTTTCATTCTGTATTGAGATATGTTCGCGTCCCAATCCGGTGACAGCTTTTGGTCCAAGCTGGAAAGTCTTGACGGATGGAGAAAGGACAGAAGTTTGGTTGAGCAATGAGAGGCTGCATGTGACGGAATATTACCTTGTAAGTGACGCCGAGTCCGGAGGGGCGGTAGCGTTGCTGCGCATGATTTGATGGCGCTGCCGGGTTGGGTTGAGCGGAAAAATGACTTGTGGCACTGATCGGCAATGCAGAACACAAACAACGCTAAGGAATTGGACGAATGGCCGTCTCCGAAGTGCTGGGGATCGCAGGACCAGGAGGCCCTTTTCCTTCCACAGGGAATGACTGTAGGGGGTCCACCACGACGAAAGCTTCTGTCCTCACCGCTCCACAAAAGCTGTCATCTGCAAGTACTGAGTACCTGAAGTACTTGTGCTGTGAGGGGGGGAGAAGGTCTGACATTCCAATGGGAGAGCCGCTGCTCACGAGGTGAAACACGGACGCAGGATGTCGCTTGACTTGTGCATGAAGTTATGTACTGTACGTAGGTAGGATTCGAAAACAGGCCCAGATCGACCGCTTCCCTGCTGGTGGCCTGGTCAACTTTCCGTAAATCTGGGACCTGGCTCCCAGACACAGGTTTTAGCTTTCACACCTTCCCTGATTGACTTGTTCAGAGATTCCAGGGCAGTCATCTCCGTTGCATTGCATGAGATAGCAATACGAACCTTACAGGAGGGATCAGGTTTGTACTGGGTAGGTGGACATGATTCTCCAGAGTGAATTGTCTAGGCAGCAACGGCTCGAATTGGGGCACTTTTAGCAGTTGTAATAATGATGGGACAATTTCGGTCCCCTGTACCTGAATCCTGTGAGATCTGTTTCCAAGATAAAGTTTCAGTCAGCTTCGGGGGAGAATCCTCCCAGGCTTGAAAGGAAGCCATCACATGATAAAGGAGCATCTTGTTTGAGACGCAGAACCGCCTCTGGTCTTTCTGTCAGTGGACTTACAAGTACAAGAGCGGACCTTGCTTGAGTAAAGACTCAGAAAGTCGCAATTTCCAGGGCTTTTATGGAACGCACTAGATTGCTTGAGAAGGGCGCTATGACCCGAAGCGACGAACAAAGGGGTGACAAGAGTCAAGCCTACTTACTTAGTAACGATACTCGCCAGAACAAGCGTCATATCACCCCAAGCTTTCAGCAGCAAAAAAGCCCCGGTGTATGCAAAGGTAGGTTTTTGCCCACGTCCTCTGGGTTGAGACAAGTCGTCGCGATGCAATTCTTCATCTGCAAATAGTGTCTGTACCGAGTACTTAGTCGAAGACAACCCCGAAGCTCGGAGGTGCCCCCTGCGCCAAAACAAGACGACGCATATCCGAAAGTGGCCTGGGCGGGTGTAACCAAGTGGGCGATCCCAGGCGTCGGTCGAAGCCAACTTGGCTGCAAAGGCCAGGGTCGTGGAGGGGTGGCAGCCAGTGAGGATGGGCGAGACAAGCAGTGGGTGAGGGTTGATGGCGCCGGTCAAGGTTGGCCTCAGTGGATTAGGGCAAGGTGCTTGACACGACAGCAGGTGATCTAACAAAGTAGTGATCGTGTTAGAAGAGACAAGCCCGGAGACGAGATGAAGAGATACCTCCTGGGTAGGTAGACAGGACACAGGAGCCATGGCCTGGCCCCCGACACTCATCACATTTCCAGTGCTGAGATGGTGCGCACAGGCTCTTTGAATCCAACTGAGGGAGGCCAACAGTGGACAGTGGACAGTGGAAAGAATAGTACGAGTTGACTTTCACAACTCTTTGCTTCCGTCGCAGTAGCACGTCGTAGTCAAACACTGGGACTGGAGTCAATTAGCAGAATTTCATACATTCGACAAGAGCTACTGGGTACGGCGCCCAACAGTCAAGACCCCATCTCTAAACTCTTTTCCCCTTTCTCTTCTGGGAATATGTCAATGCCAACAGGGGACGGGACAAGCCACTAGCGGGCACCCAGCGAGCGCCCAGTGGACAGGCCGGGGGTGCCTAGGGGCGAGTTGCCGGTCGCCACTAACACTAAGTCAAGCCTCGGCGACGTCGAAGCCTTTGCACCGGGGGCCCCAGCACCGCCAACAGCCAACCAGCTCCCAGGCGGCAAACAACTGCTTGTTGCAAAAAGGGTCCATTGTTGACCCAAAGGATTGCGCCTTCTCACAGTAGTGGGTGAGGCAGCTCTCCGATACCTGGGTATTTTCTCGATTCCCTTGCTGGCAGCCACCAAGCAGCCCTCCGACCCCTACTGCCCCCGGGTGCCCCTAAGTACCTATCTTAGGTACCCTAGTTGCGGCTTGCATTCCCCTACGGTTTCCCTGCTTCGCTTGTTCGCCCTTCCTCATTGATTGCATTCAAACTGCGCTAGCCTTTTCACCTCCTTGCACCTGATTGATCATCCTCCACTCATCCCCGTTTTTCCAATTCATCCACTTCGATTCATCTTCACTCCGACCACCACCTTTTTTCCTCAGTCTGCCCTCCCTTTTGTACAATATTGTCGTTTATTCTTTGCCCTGTGCCTGGAGGGACCATATCCGCTGGGAGAGGGCCCTTTTCGTGCGAGATTGAGTCTCGAAGCGCATCGTTTCCTGCCAGATTCGACGAGCGAGATCGTTGTCCCCGACTTCCACCACCCGCCGCCCAGCTCAACTGATCGACGCCCATTCCCCATCCCGTTCTCGCCTGCGCTGATCCCCTTTGGGTTCCTAACACTCCCAAATCATTACTTTGCAACCTCTGTCACCTTCGTGTCACCAGCCCTCATTTTGACAAACCTCCCTAAGCTTGAAACGGAGGTGAGTGGTCCGCCTATGCCTACGTGGCGGGCAAAAGTGATTCTCCTGTACATTTTTGAGCAGATTCTCAGATGCGCATTGTCCCCTGCATTACTTGGACAATGGATGTTTGATGTTTACTAACTGAGTGTATTTCAGTTGGAGCCTCCAGACACCCAAATCTATCCTTCTCCTCTCACTTAAGAACTTTTTTTGGAGACCGTCAAACATGGGGTGTGGTGCTAGTAAGGAAGATACGGCCGGCAAGGCAAGAAATGATGAGATCGAGAACCAGCTCAAGAGGGATAAGATGGCCCAGCGAAATGAAATCAAGATGCTCTTGCTTGGTACGCGAATTCCCCATCTTGGGCTCAGCTATGGTCTAACCACGATCCAGGCGCTGGTGAATCTGGAAAATCCACAATTCTAAAGCAGATGAAACTCATTCACGAGGGCGGCTATTCGCGCGATGAACGCGAGTCCTTCAAGGAAATCATCTACTCCAATACCGTTCAGTCCATGCGAGTCATACTGGAGGCGATGGAGTCTCTCGAGCTCCCTCTGGACGACCAGCGAGCTGAATATCATGTCCAGACGATTTTCATGCAACCCCCCCAGATCGAAGGGGACAGCCTCCCACCCGAAGTGGGCGCGGCCATTAAGGCGCTGTGGCAGGATGCCGGTGTTCAGGAATGCTTTAAGCGATCAAGAGAGTATCAACTGAATGATTCCGCACGCTAGTGAGTTCTAGTCCCTATATTCTGCAAGCGCCTTGCTAATTTTGTCTACCAGCTACTTCGATTCTATTGACCGCATCGCCGCCCACGACTACCTTCCCAACGACCAAGACGTCCTTCGATCTCGAGTCAAAACAACCGGTATCACCGAGACCACTTTCATCATCCAAGATCTTACCTACCGAATGTTCGACGTGGGTGGCCAACGATCCGAACGAAAGAAGTGGATCCACTGTTTCGAAAATGTGACAACGATTCTCTTTTTGGTTGCCATTTCAGAATATGATCAGCTTCTCTTTGAAGACGAGACCGTCAACAGAATGCAAGAGGCCCTCACACTTTTCGACAGCATTTGCAATTCCCGGTGGTTCATCAAGACCAGCATCATCTTGTTCCTCAATAAAATCGACAGATTCAAGGAGAAGTTGCCCGTGAGCCCGATGCAAAATTACTTCCCTGACTACGAAGGTTGGTACAACCCGACAAGTTTGGATTATCCCTTTGCTGACAATTGACGTCCAGGTGGCCCTGATTATGCCGCTGCTTGTGATTACATCCTGAATCGATTTGTATCACTCAACCAAGCGGAGACGAAACAGATCTACACTCACTTCACCTGTGCCACAGACACCACGCAAATAAGATTCGTGATGGGGGCAGTCAACGGTAAGCGCTCTCTCATCAGCAAGATGTGTACATGAGCTGACCGGTCGTAGACATCATCATTCAGGAGAACCTTCGAATGTGCGGTCTCATATGATGATGATCAGCATTGCTATGGCGTTTTCTCGTTACAGCTTCGATTTGCCCACGACTTGCATATACCACCGGCGTTATCAAGGGGACGGTTTACCGATTCTTTCTTCAATCAAGGTTTGGCAAAGAATTGTCAATTCAACGCTTCCGGTCAAAAGTACGGGTTGGCCTTCAAATTACAGATTTTCTTCGAGCTGAGCAAATTCTCTTGCCCCTACCCAGTCCCGGTTGAAGATGACGGAGTTCTCGGCGATTGAGGCCCTTGGTTCTTCCGCGCTGTCTTTGGCAGAGCGACTTTCTTTCAGGTCGCATGCATCATATTCTTGTACTCATGAACCCATGTACCGAGGACCTTCTGAGACGCCGGAGAGAGCACCCTTTTTCCCCTCTTAAGTTGAAGATTTTTGCAGAGAAGTGACGGACGGTTGACGAAAGGATATTAAGACTAAACTGGAGTGGCTGTGAAGAGGCTGGTGATGGAGGAGTTGCTTAAACTAGACTTTCGGACCAAAGCACCAGGTCGTTGTATATCACTTTTTCCGAAAGACATAGGCAAGCAGACGTGAATGACTGTAAATCTGTGAGAAATGGATTGGATTGGACATGCCATGAATCTTGCAGATATCGTGCTTTTCGGTGGAGGAGAGTGTGTTCCGCGATGGACAATAACAACCCTCGCAGTTATTCCAGGTGTCGCTCACTTTACGAATCAACCACAGTTCCATTCCCTGGCACGGTTCTATTCACCCAAAACGCGTCCATGATCCTTGCGGCTTGGCCCTGTATGGCGTAGCTGGTGTGTCCATCGCCTTTTCTCATCAATACCACCGCTTTACTATCACCGTTTGCGGCAGAAGTCGTCAGCTGATCTTTCAGACCCTGCGCCCACATATACCAGGTTTCCGGATCGAACTCTGCGTTGACAAGCAGGACCGAGTCGGGCGGCAACTTTGTCACCTGCGCGGCGTTCAGCCAATGCGGCGGGTTTGCGATCGGCACCGGCCAGTTGATGCACCAGCTACTGTGCTGGAAGAATTGATTCGCACCCAGAGTATGGGGTGCCACGACGGAGCCGAGCTGCTGCAGCGCCTGGTGCTCAGGAAAGAGAGCATTCTTGGCCGTCCAATCGAGGCAGCCGATGACAATGCCGGAGAAGGCGTCGTTGGAGACAGCGGTTTGCACGGTGGTGGAAAGCAATGTTGCGTTGCCGGACAGGGATTGATTGAGTGCGAGGCCGAAGGTCAGCCAGCCTGTGAGCGCCGAGTTGTGAGCCGTACAAATTTCCGAACCAGTTCATTTTGCCCTGATTGAGGGCCAGCCGGATGGCTTCGAGGTCGTGCGCGGCCGAGGTGGTGTCGACATGTCGGAGCAGCTTTCCCGTCATGTTGAGACAGCTGTTGCCGAAGGCTCGATTCCAATCGGCCAGTCTCTGGAACGAAGCGGCATCGTCGACAAACAGTTGCGGAATCTGATTATATATGAGTGGGTCACATTTCACGGGAGTGCTCTGTCCCACGCCTCAAGGGTCGGGGCAAACAATGTCGAAATGCTCATACAGGGCAGGGCTGAAGTACTCGATCTGGCCCGTCGCGATCAATTGACATGTTATACTGGCTGTGACTCCGGGCCCACCTGGGTTCCAAAGCAGACTGCCGATCTTGTTCCCTGAACCGTTGGTCGTCGAGGTGGATTTGATCTTGGTCATGAAGAGGCTGATCTTGGCACCGCCGGGCTCTGACCAGTCGAGCGGTACTTGCATACTTCCGCATTGGAGGTTCGGGAGATTGATCCTCGGTGCAGTTTGACCATTCAATCGAGTACTTGGGCGCTGTTGCTCTAACGGAAAGGCTTGCTGCAAGCGCCGTCGCGGAGCTCAGGGCGAGCTGGGTCACGAATGGAAGCATACTGGAAGGGCAGGGCAGCGAATCTTCTGCAGTACCAAGCTGAATCGAATTGACCAGGGGGTGAGAAAAAGAAGGGAGACGATATTCTAGATCCTTCTTATCTGGGAAGTAGGAAGTCCAATATATATATATATGCTTTCAAGGGTGAGACGAACCCTTCATATAGCATTCTTCGAAACGTTGATAGCAAAAGCTACTCAATTTTCCCCCTTCGCTCCTGAGCACCAAAGGTGATCCTGCGGTTATACCACTCGTACACCATACTGTTTCTGCGCAAGCGACGCAGATCAACAGGCTGACAGTGTGGAGTGGGCCGGCATACTCGGTATTTCTTTTCATGCCACTGATGTCATCAATCAGTGCCCCCTTTTACAGCGAAGGTCCTTATGGGCGACCTCACGCATGAAGAGAGAGATAGATGGATTGCGTTGATCGGGGAAACCAGGGTGTCAGGTAGAGGACGTGCGAGTACGAGGTACATACTTGTACTGGGTAGTCGATGTGTATTCGTCTGACTAGCCGGATTAGGCTAGGCAAAATCTCTCTTGGCACTAACGGCACAGGTTAGGATTAAAGCCTCTTCAAGGCCTCTTCTCTCACACAGGACTTCTCTTCCTTCTTGATCAATCAACTGATGGCCCCAGATTGGTTTAGTATACTCTGTATTAGGTGAGTAGCGCCGAAGATCTATATACTGGCCAAGGCTCAACGCGCATCTCACCCTGGATTTTAATTGACCTTACACTATCCTTTGGTCCTTCACAGGAAGCCCGACCTAAGAACCATCAACTACGTGCAATGAACGTCTCCACCTTCATGCGTGTGGCAATTCTGGAAATTATCGGTCAGCTATCCTTGCGTTTCGGCAAAACAAACCCGTGTGGTCGTCTTACCGCAGGCAGGCTGGATGTCGACGAAGGGCTCTCAGATAATGTTGGCGATCCGCTTGTGGATGCAGGTGCTGGAGCAACCGTTGCGCTGGAGGTAGCCGAGGCCAACGCTGAGTCGCCGTTATCGCTGCTTTGTCCTGGACAGCCTTTTCCGGGAACAGCAATATCGTATGCATAAACCTCAAGTGCAAAAAGCTGCATAGTATCACTATCACGGGTCGAGAATGTATTGTTGCCCTTGGCAAGCTCGATGGCCTCATCATAGTCCTCGGCAAAGTGCTCGATGTACCCTCCTCCGATTGCTGGCATGTGGTACAGTCGATGCATCAAATCTGAGGCCCAGAAAGTATTCGTGGGCCACTCCGCCACGTTATACCCAAGCGCGCACATCTGGTTGAGCGAGCGGCGAGTCTCATAACTCAAATCGCAGATAACAGTTTCATCAGTTCCATTTTCGCCGCGCCAATGGCCGCCATAGCCTGAAACCCGTCAGCAGGATTCATCCATAAAGCCGCTTCACAAGATACCTTCCAAATCACAATTTCCGTCGGGGTTGTCGCAGCGGAACAGCATTTGCCTCTTGTCACCATTGGCGATGATTTCATACGCACCGATGGCCTCGTATGGCGGGCGGTCACCAAAGTATTTCCGATATATTTCGGATTGGTTGCCCCATCGCAGAATGTGTTCCGCGGCATGCGCAGCCAGTGCCACTGTTTCGTTGAGGCCGTTTGCGAGCTGATGAGCAGCTCGAGTGGATAGGGAACTGTGTCACAGCTCCAGCATCCCAACTGGTCGGTGTTGTGGTAAATGGGGCTACCTGTCGCACATCGAGTGGTGCCGAAGCTGTAATGGCAACCAAAGACAAGGAGAGAGTAAGAGCCTGGAAATGAGCAGACATTGTAGGGCCGTAACACCAAGAGTTGCGGGCAGAAGGCAATGCTCATGTGGTCTGTTCCTCTACCAAAGAAGCCGGCATAGAGCAGATCTTTATACTTGCGATACTCTACATCGGCATACTAGTCTACTTCCAACCCTGTCGGGTATAACTACTCAACGCCGGAGCAGTTTCGTCATGGACGCCGAGGCCCTCGCCTTTTTCTACGCACCTCTTCCACACTATCGAATTTTCGGACCCTCTTCTGGCGAAAGCAAAGACTGAAGTGCATTCGAACGTTGTATAAGCAGAGGATATTCAGCTGAGACGAGGAAGATTTTACGGAATGCCAAGCTGAGGACCACATCTCATCGCAGACTTTCCGTCATCGAACAGAAACTATGTGGTGTTCCTGTTTCCTTCTTTAGCGGTCTCCGAGCTCCAGCAGCATTTCTCTATCGACAAAGCCTTGAGGACAACTTCTGTGGAGATGTCGCCGTCTTGTATGCCAAATCCGCTAGGCCAAGCAAAATCTGTTCCGCTTCGAAAGTGAGGACCTTAACAACCCATTGCGCCTGTCGAGGCTGGACCAGTTATTGTCATCCTTCTGATCATTTGACGGCGGAATATGCCTTCTATTCTATCAAGCGTTGTCTTGGCCTGCTATGCGGGCCGTATTGTATTTCGTGGCTGCCGTCGTTGCTAGAATTTTTGCTGTGGCATCAAGGCCTCATGGCCAGGCAAAGGCGCACGATGCCTTCAATTTCCATACTTCATCATCCTGGAGAATGAAAAATTCAACAACGCTGCCGAGACAGTCAATGTAAGATCGGACCCTCGTTGCAGCTGCACCCGTCAACGATATATTGAGTCACCTGCAAACAAGAATTTCTACATTTTTTACTCGAAGAACTCCCAACATTTCGTCTCTTGAGCACACCTGCTTCATAGTATCCCCCATCTACGGCAGTCAATCATATTCTTGCATTGCCTTGATCAAACGCAATGATACTCAGCAAACTGTTGTTACTTGCAAGCATTTCAGGTGCGGTTGCGCAGACCACCTACACGGGTTGTCACAACCGCTCAACCGTCGAGTATGTGGCCTCAGAGAGATGTTGGTCTCTTTTGGCTGACGTTGTTCAAGATACTGCTATGGCCTGGATGGGGAGGAAACGCCTCTGGTGACATACAGCTTGGCTTCGATTCTGACAACATTTTCCACGTCAACTCTACCCGCCTCAGTCTCACCATCAGCCACTACATCTTCCGGCCAGACCACGGCTGTGACTGGGTGTCATACTCATGCGACTCAAACGTATGACGTTGCCCGCTTGAAACCTTGCTGTATCGCTGACTTTCACAGATTCTGCATCAACGGTGCAGGTGAAGAGGTTCTCGTTTCGGGAACAGCAACTGCCGCCGGGGAACCCCCGACTCAATACGCCGACTGCCATTCGCACGGAGTCGAACAGTATTGCGTCGGTCCAGCCGGAGAAGAGGTTTTGGTTCTAGCAGAAGGAGAGACTTCGTCCGGTGATGGTGATGACGCTTCTGAAAGTGAGGTAGAGATGGACTGTCATTTCCATGCCAGCGTCGAGTCAGTAACTTTGACGAGCTTCTCGCTTGTTTGGAATCTCCGCTTACTGACAATACCTAGACACTGCATCCCAGTTGGCGGTTCGGAAAGTGCCCATTCTGCTTCCTGTGAACTTCAAAACCGAGACTACAACGTAGGCCTTCGTGTAGGGACCTTGTTTGTTGTCCTGGTCACAAGCGCCGTAGGTGTATTTGCACCTATATTGCTTGTGAAACTTCCACTTCAAAATGTCAATTTCTTCATATTTACGACAATCAAGCAATTTGGAGCTGGTGTGATTGTTTCTACGGCTTTCGTTCACGTAAGCACAGAATGCTGGAATGAGAATAAAAAAGCTAATCAATGTTCCTAGCTTTATGCTCATGCGTCTCTCATGTTCAACAACGAGTGTCTGGGCGTGTTAGATTACGAGGCTACGACATCTGCGATTGTTATGGCAGGAATCTTTCTCTCGTTCCTGTTCGAGTACATTGGACATCGAATCGTCCTTGCGAGAACTCGAGGTGACGACATCCCTCCAGCCACACATACCGCTACTTTCTCGACGACGAAAGAAAACCAGTTGATCCCGGAATCAGCTGCTACGAGCGATGCTCGTGCGACTACTAGAGCTTCGCATAGCCTGGCAAATCTTGGTCATAACCATGGCTCACCCTTTGATCCTGCCAACCCAAACTCAAAGTTGTCGGTCATTGTCATGGAAGCCGGAATACTCTTCCACAGCATTTTGATCGGGTTGACGCTCGTTGTTGCCGGGGACTCATTCTACAAAACATTACTTGTAGTCATTGTGTTCCACCAGTTCTTCGAAGGTCTTGCTCTCGGTGCGCGAATTGCATTACTCTCCAAAAAGGCGGCCTCGTTCTGGCGCACAACGTTTCCAATGGCCATGGCTTTCGCCCTGATCACGCCGCTAGGCATGGCGATCGGTCTTGGGGTCATTCACCAATTCAATGGCAACGACAGGGATACTATCCTTACCATCGGGACACTGGATGCACTTTCCGCGGGCATACTCATCTGGGTTGGTCTCGTGGACATGTGGGCCAGAGATTGGATCATTGACGGTGGAGAGATGACGGCCAGAAATGCGAGCTATAGCAAGATTTCCCTGGGTCTCGCAAGTCTGCTGGCAGGGTTCATTGGAATGAGTGTCTTGGGCAAATGGGCATGAACAGGCTTGAATTCGGAGGCGGGAGGGCTAGAGTATATATGGCCTGCAATAATGCGTCAGGGATCCATACTAGAGACATGCAGGCCTCCGACATTAGTATAGGTGAGATCCGACCTGTCTTATGCCGATGACTGTAAACTGTCTGGATCAAACCGATGGCCCTCTCGATCACTGCCATTCAGCTACTCGTGCCGAAACGTCCCAGACCAGTCCTCTTGGATTTCGTCAAGGGCAGATTTTATCTCAGCCGTGCAGCGGCAAAATTACAATGTTCCATCGAGAGAAGCAGTGGAATGAAGGGAGAGATGTCGAGATGGCCGAGCTCGAGACGGCGGCTTCGGCGGGACAAGTAGATCCCACAACGCTGATGTCTTCTGCTGAACCCAAGGAAAACAGCTCGTTTGCCGAAAGTCTTTCGTTTACTTGGGCTTGGGGATGATGGCTGGAGCTCAATGCGTCCTGGCTGGAACCTTAGACCCAGATCCGATTTTGTACAGCATCATCGAAGCCTCCGACATGTGCAACTATTCTCGTGTTCGCGTGATGCTATGTAGGACGCCTCTCAATTCTCATCCGGGCCGTTGGTCTCCTCTATCATTCTCAACTCTGTGCCCTCTTTCTGTCTTTGCGTGCAATAAGGAACCATGATGTGAGAATCGACATGATGGACACAATGAGGATGGACAGGCAGATGACATAGGACTTGTGATAGGCCGGGCCAAAGACGGTCGAGTACACGTGCGGCCCGACGATTCCACTCCACTGCGCACACGCGTTTGTCAACCCGATCCCAATACCGGCGGCGACGGTGCCTTGGAGCGCTCGAATGCGCTCGGGCCAGATGACCGGATATGCGGAGCCAGCGCACGAGACGGCAACGATGAGAGCGATGTACTTGACCGTCGCACTGTGGACCGTGACGAGAACGATGTAACAGACGATTGTGGTGCTTTCGACTGGGCGGCTGAGTCAGCACACAGAAGGAAGTAGATAGGGCTTAGAGAAAAAGACGAAATCCTCACTTGCGACGCCACATGTCCAGGGCCGAATCCATTTACGGTGAATCAGATAACCGGCCGTGTTGAGGAACAAGAAGCAGCAAACATAGGGTGGCTGTTTTGAACAGGTCAGCAGCTTCCAGGTCTCGGGAAGGAGACTCATGCCATACAATATTCATCAGTTGCGAGTGTGCAGTCCCTGTGAACCCGAGCTGGTAAATCACAGTTGGTAAGGCGTACGAGACACCAAAGCCCCCTATGCCATGAGCGATCCAGTAGAGCCCAAAGGTGTAGACGGTTGGATCGGCGAAGAGCCGCTTAAGAGAGGACCAGTCCCAATGCTGGCGTTTGCCCGATGGCGCTGTGGGCGCCAGACGCCGTTCGATGAACAGGCGTTCCTTCTCATTTAGCATCCGCGCTGTTTGAGGATAATCTGGGAGCCCGAAAAGAGCGACAAAGGCGAGGATGATTGCCGGGAGTCCTTCCAGTAGAAAGAGCCATCTCCATCCCGGAAGGCCTCCCAGGCCGTCCATGAAGCTGATGGCATACGCCAAAAGGCCACTCAAAGCACTGGATAGTTGCCCCACTGAATAGAAGAAGGCAATGCGCCATGGGAGTTCGGTAGGTTGATACCAGAAGTCCATGTGGAAGAGCACTGCGGGATAGAACCCTGCCTCAGCCATGCCGATTGCGAAGCGGGCACACATCATGCCCTGGAAATTCTGCACAGCGGCGGCAGAACAGGCGCAGATGCCCCAGGTAAGTATCAGCACAAACATCCATATTCGAGGGCGGAATGTCTTGAGGAGAACAGTATTGGTCGGCTCAAAGATCATGTAGCTGTAAGAGAAGATGGAGAGGGTCCATGCCCATTGAGACGGATCAAGGTGGAGCTGCTTCTTGATGCCAGTTCCATGTTCAAGATTGATGATGGCCGCGTTCGAGTAGTTGGATGAATCGATGACTCGAAAGATGTAAACCAATGAGTAGAACCCGACGAGCCAGAGGTCGACCTTTCGCAGGACCTTCTTCTCAAAAGCTTTGTCCCCTTCTTCGAGCACAATGTCGCTTTCACTAGAAGGTGATTCGGCGACGACGTGGGTGTACGTATCACCTAGGCTCTTCTTGTCGGCAGTCATCTTCAATCTCTGATGGTAGACAGAGATATAAAGATGATGCTGTCGGGATTTTACCCTTTGTCGAGTACTTGTGGGACGACTTAAATAAGGAGTCGAGGCTTCATCAAACCATTCTGTATAGGCTGGTCTCGGTCGTAGTCCTTCATCACGACATGAGCACTTCAGAAGACGTCAACATCTCGTGGCCGTCCGTGTCGCCGGAGCGTTTTCCATCGCAGTAGCAAAGCCGTCATACGCCTTTTTGCATCAACGATTGGTGGTATATGCCGCCATGATAAGGGCGATGGCGACACATCGCTCGTTGTACACGCTTAAAGTCTAGAACAGTCAGTACGGACATGACCATCTGATAACAATGCGTTTTCTCACGTTTTTAGCAGATTGTATTCATATTTTGCGGTGATCTACCGAGGATACATAGGATAACAGAAGGTTGGAGTTGGGAAAGCAGAAAGCACGTCGCCTTAGTACAAAAGCACGCAATATGCAGGTACACTTGGTTAGTAATTGGATGCAAAATGCACATCAAGAGTACGTACCGAAGACGGCGAGGAGATTGATAACAACCCCGCAGTCCCTCAGCTGGTATATGTCCATTGTCACTCCATATCCGCGGTCAGGTATTTGCATGTTCTCTGCTCGTGTCTCCTTGTTTGACTGAGCCCTGCGTATTTGTATCTTGGAACCCGGGACGTGTGTACATTGAGCGAGATGGCTCCATCAGCAATCGGGGAACCGACAAGTCAGAATAATGTTGCGAAACATATTCTTGTGAAACCATGGGCACGGCCGGCTGAGACCACTGAGAAACTCGATTGGGCGCCTTTGACAACGATTGATCTTTCGCGCTTCGACGAGCCAAGCGGCAAGCAAGAACTTGCAAAGCAGCTTTATGACGCCCTTACCCGAGTTGGGTTCTGGGTCGTGACCAATACTGGTATTGACGACAAGAAAGTCCTCCGTCAATTCAGCATTGGGAACACCTTCTTCAAGCAGCCGCTGGAGGAGAAGCGCTTCTTTCCCTGCAACTTTGCTGAAGGTGAGTATTTTGGATATCGCGAAAACTCACGATGGATTGGTGACACCGGCGTTCAAGAAAACATTGAGATGGTAGGAAGATGCCTATAGCCTCTGACTCCGACTCCGACTTACTGTTGGACAGCTCAATATCCCCAAGGATATACCGGCACTCGCTGATGTGCCAAGACATGCCATCACGCAGGAATATTGGGACGAAATTCGCAGTTTCCATCGCGAACTCTGGGAGAAGGTGATTCGCAAGCTTTTTGTTCTGATCTCCATCATCCTAGAGCTGCCGGAAGACTACCTGGCAGATGCTCATGCTTATGATGAACTATCGGACGACCATCTCCGATATATGATTTATAACGTCAGAACTCAGGAGGAATGGGATAAAACCCAGGCTTACTCCAAGGGCGGCCACACCGACTTTGGTAGTTTGACACTGCTCTTCTCGCAGCACATCGCTGGGCTGCAGATCCGAACTCCAGAAGGAGAATGGAAATGGGTCAAGCCTGTTGAAGGGGGAATTACCTGCAATGCCGCTGATACCCTGACGTTCCTGACAAATGGTACGTATCATGGAGGACTTTCAGTCTCCAAAAAGGCATAACTGACCTTGGGTGATAGGCTTCATCAAATCAACCATCCACCGGGTCGTCACCCCTCCTAAAGATCAGCTGAATACACCGCGGCTAGGGCTCCTGTATTTCAGTCGACCCGGAGACAAGACTTTGATGAAAACAGTGCCATCTCCGCTCCTCGACCGCCTAGGCCTTCTTCCGGACGAGGACAAGGATCCCAACAAGCCTGCTCCAACAGGCACCCAGTATGTTCGAGCGCGGGTCAAGGATGTCCATCACAAAACGGTAATTGACAAGCGAGAGGGTACGGCGTTTGAATTTCAGGGGTTGAAAGTTCAGAACTATTATGAGTAGTTGTCGTCCATAATTAGAGCATGCTGCGTAGCAATCCCGATTTGGACGATGCAGAGCAAAGTAATACGAGGTACTCCTTGTTCATACCAAGGCTGCACAAGGCTGCACAAGGCTGCATAAAGCCAGCAGTGGATGATCAGTCATCAAGTGCCCAGAGTCCATGCCAAAACCGTCAGGAGAATCTGCATGCGGGGTGATTGGGGTTGTGTGCATACCTCGTACCCAGTACCCAGTACTGGGTATTGAGGACAAGTGGTACGCATGATGCGCTAGTGTGACTAATGCCTTAGTGCGCCGACTAGCTTCCACTAACACCAATACTAGCAAGTACTAGTCACTAATGCGCTGGCTACTGGCAACTATTACGAGGTGCCAACCGGAAAAAGAAACTTCCTTGTACTCGGTATCCCACTTGCACTTCCATTTCCGAGCTCCGAGCTCCGAGGCCGTCGTCACTTATCGCTTGTTGATGATTTTTGCATCTCTCACCTCGATTGCACCGACTTGACATCCATCAATTGCTGAGTCAAGAAGGAAATGGTTGGATTGTTGTTTCATCATTGATATGAGATCACCTTTGGTGTTCCCAATCGTCTAGCAGAAACCCTCCCCAATGTTGTTGTGTGCTTCTCAACCAGGCCCGGCGGCTCCCGCATCGCACCCGAGTTGGTGGGCTTGTCTTGTTCGTCCTCTGCGCCGATATTTCCATTCTTCCAGTGCTTGTCTAGATTACTTTACTCTTTTCTCTTACGCGCCTCTTCCTCGTTTCTTTCCCTCTGTCTCGTGACCTTTTCCTTCCCTGCTGACCAATACTACTTCGGTCTCGTGTGCTATTTATCCTGGACCTCCTGCGGCTTCTCGTGGCAATTTACCCCTCTGAAAACTGCGACTCACTCTTTCCCACCCGGACGAGCAGTCGCTGTTTTCCTGCAAGGCATCGACTCGCCTAGCAGCAGACACAGCCTTGTGCTCAGAGACTCGTTGCGCTCCCTTAGACTCCAAGCATCCTCTGCAACACCATGATTCCTCCAATTCCCCGCATCGAAGACTATGGCATCTCGCCAGAGAGAGGCTTTCTTCCCTCAGAACTGCCGCTGCATTGTCTGCCACACCCCGTCTATGACCGCTGGGAGCGAATCATAAACAACTTCCAGTCGCTGTTGCTGTCAAAAAGATTAAGAGCCGTTATCAACAAATTGCCTGTGATCCCCGCAGTCCATCTAGAGACCGAGGCCGAGTGGCGCAGGGCATATACTGTTCTGGCATTTTTGGCTCATGGCTACATCTGGGGCGGGGACAAACCCGCAGAGGTCTGTCTATTCTAGGCCCGCCAAACCACAGAGACATTGCTCACGAGAATCAACAGAGATTGCCGCCGTCCATCACCTACCCACTCCTCCAAGTCTCCGACTACCTGGAACTCCCTCCGGTCGCCACCTACGCCGGGCTGGTTTTGTGGAACTGGAAACCACTATTCCTCTCCGATAGTCTCGCTCTGGAAAATATTTCCACCTTGATCACCTTCACAGGTTCGCTGGACGAACAATGGTTTTATTCGGTCAGTGTGGCCATGGAGGCAAAGGGAGGCCCGTCAATCCCCCTCATGCTGAAAGCGATGCAAGCGGCCCGAGACAATGATGTGGAAACGGTTTCAAAATGTTTACAATCATTCGCCCAAACGCTGGACGAGTTGGGCACCCTGCTGGCGAGGATGTACGACAGTTGCGATCCTCACGTTTTCTATCACCGCATACGACCCTTTTTGGCCGGAAGCAAAAACATGAAAGACGCAGGTCTCCCCCGTGGTGTTTTTTACGATGATGGCAGCATGCACTCCACGTGGCGGCAGTATGGCGGCGGATCCAACGCGCAGAGTAGCATGATCCAATTCTTCGATATCGTTCTCGGGGTTGAGCACAGACCTACTGGGGCCAAAAAGGACGAGACTTCCGAATCCGAGGCCGAGCCAGGAGCGGCTCCAAAACCCCGGCATAATTTCATCCACGAGATGAGACAGTATATGCCTGGTCCTCACCGAAGGTTCTTGCAGGCAGTGGAAGGAGTGGCCAATATCCGAGACTTTGTCGAGTATAACAAATCGAATCAACAGCTGACGGTTTCATATGATGCGTGTCTGGCAATGCTTCGAGCTCTGCGAGACAAGCATATCCAGATGGTTTCGAGGTACATCATCGTCAAGAGCCGAGAATCGAGGAGCCTGTCAAGGTCACGGAGAGAGAGCAGCTCTGATCCAGTCCCTCGGGGTGGCATGGGAATTGCTGCGATTCGCTATGGTCGGCCCGAAGAAGCGGGGGCCGCACAGAAGAAGAAGAAGATGCGTGGGACTGGTGGGACAGCGCTCATCCCATTCTTGAAGCAAGCGAGAGACGAGACTGGCGAGCCAGCTGTCGATGCCTGGGCCCGCAAACTTCTCATGGGAGGTCGGCGAACGGAAGCCGATGCTGAGATTGCATTTGAGGACAGAATCACTCGCGCGGAGAATTTGGATGCAGATGAGCCTCAGATTGTGGGAATGGCTGGCGCTTGGGACCTAGAGGATGCTGGCGGTGGTCTTTGTGCTTATTGATCTGTGGCCTGGACAAGAGTCTTTGGTTGCATGAGACAGGCGGTGCGAGACATGGAGGTATTTTGTTGGCACAACGAGAGAGGTGTATATCACACTGCATACGACATACAGTACTTTGTTACATTTCCGAAACATTGAATGAAAAAAAAGGGGCGCATGGGTTGGGGGGGGTTTGGGGAGGGGGGGGTTGGACATACACGTGATATGCTCCTTTGGTCCGAAGATCTGCCGGGCCAACTTCATCTCTTGTCTTGATCTCCTACTCAACCTTCATTCAACTTCCAAGGATCCTCTGGACATGTGCAGACCTCATACATTATCTGCTCTGCATCTTTCAGCACTGTCACTTGTGAACTTAAAGAGACAAGAAACTATGACCTTGTGCAAAGGCACCATGGTGGATAGTCGAACGACCTTTTCCTTCTTCCCTCCAACGCGTCAGAGTGTTGTGTTCTTCCAGAAGACAAAGAGAGATTTGTTCCTGAAATATCACACAGAAAATGAGAACTTGTAAGATGAGAATACATTTCATTTATGGCCCCGCGGGAAGGAGCTTGCAGAGTCAGAGTGTGACGTGAAATGAATGCAAGGCGAGTCACTTGCAAACAGCAGACTTGTCGAGTTCACCACTGGGATCTGGTGCCCGCCAGTTTCCAGTGATTCAAGTTCGTACGTGAAAACCAGCCAGAGGTGCTTCACAAGGTGTATATGCTCGATGCCCAATGTGCTCTGGCTCAAATCAACAACATGTCCATTGCCCTGGCTCAAGCGACAAGCATGCAACACCTGACTCTCTTTGCTTGTCTGAACTGGAGTATTCACTATTCCTCACAACCTTGGCGTCGCATCTCAGTTGTGGAGGGGTCTGGTCGAGCCTCAATCCACTGCAATCATTCCCTCTGCCGCTTGGAAAGGGGCTGGGGGATTGAGATGGGTTCGGCAGAATGGTTCAATAGCCGGCCTGCCCTATTGTCCTCCCCAGAGGTGACAATCAATTCTACCAAGGTCGCCGCCAATGTGACTGCTATCATGTGAGAAGACTTGTTTAATTCTGTTTTCAATTGTCACTGTTCTTACCAACCTCCTCTGTTCTCGCCTCATTCTCACCTTTTCGACTTCAGACCCTCGCCCTTCATCCCATGTCTCGTCTGTATCATTTATGCTGTACTATCCCTGCTCTCTGCGTGTGGTTAGTCTACGAACACTCTAATCCATCGTCATCTCCATCATGGCGACTGCGTGGATGAAACGAAGGCAACTTCACGACTCCGATGCGTTCAACTTCGACCCTCCAGCAGATGCTTCTTCGAGTAGCAATCCAGGTTCAGGCTTTGATGCGCCTTCGACTGGCCTGTACCCCGCCAATACATCAAGTCAAGATGCTTCAAACACTCGGAGCTCGTACCTCACTGACATGGATGGCCCGTTTGTACTCGGTGACGCTTCACAATTCTCCCAATCTGCCGCGGAAAATGAAACCGACAACGTGAATACTGTCACCAACGACGCAGGGGGAAATACTTTTAACCTTTTGCTTCCCGATCCACAACCAGAAGCCGTCTTTGACCAGTTATCTGATGAGGAATTTGCAAATATGTTGCAAATGTACCTAGAGAGAGGTCCAAGCCCTACTCAAGGTTGCGACGACAATTGGTATAACATGAACGCAACTTCGAATTCTATCAATGAACCGACTAGCAAGGCTGCGGCCAGTCTAGCGAACTCTCCTGGTCTCGCTGCCGATCCTGAGGACGCCAATCATACTCCAAAGACCAATGTCTCTGCCGCGCCGTCCACCTCACCGATTACACCTGGATCTCCGCCTGGATCTGGTTGTCGCGCGCTGCTTAAGAAGCTTTCCACGTCTCCGATTGAGATACCACACACACCAGATTTCGCCGACTTCCATCATCCCAAGCCCTCACTTCAAAAGCAATCACGACGCGGGAAGAAACGCAATGATGGACACCCTCCAAATGGTGCAGGCTCATTTTCCCAGTCTTCACCAGTCCGGAAGAATACACCTGCCAAGCAGGTACTGGGTAGTCCCTTCAAGATGCCTGGTCTTCCTGCTTCCGCGCCAGCGAAACCAATGTCGCGCGACAATGCCTTGATGAATCCTCTTCTCTCACCCAACCCAGCGGCTAACCGACCCCGTCGGATGGACAATCTATCCCCCTTGGGGACTACCCTTCCCAGTCGCCACATTCTCACAAGTAGCCCGATGCAAAACATGGCCGATCAAACAAGCCCCACCATATCTGCGCATTACCAGTCACCACCCAATCCGACGGCTTTCGCGAACGACCTGATAGGCAGCGGCAGCAGCGGAAGCTTCCTCGACCCTGGTCTACCATCTGCAGAGCAGCCACCCGCAAAGCGTGCCCGTACAGGCACCGTTGGCGCGCAAGATATTCTTGCAAATATCGCGCGGGAAGAGCAGATGTGCCATCAGACCTACTTCCAACACATTTCGCAAGCAACCGCACAGGCTGGTTTGACTTTGGCAAACCAATTCAACGACGGTTTCGAACATGATTTCAAGTGGCTTGAGCGTGACCGTACCGATCCGGAGCCGCCACCGTCAATGGTTGCCCGATTTACTGGGTACGAGTTTCCCATTCCTTTGCCAAGTGGTACAATGAAGTCGCTCGAGAGGGAAGCAGAAGAAAATGTCAACGTTGGGCAAAAGCGCAAGGCGGTGCATATGACTCAAGGTGGAATAGAAGCAAACGGTGTCCAGGATCCATTTGCTCCTTCAGGGCTCGGTATCGCCCAGGCTGGACCGGAATTCCATGGTTTGTTCTTTCCCAACAACCAGGGCCAATCCGCCTCGCATATGCAAACCCAAGATAGGATGGTGGCCCAGCGTCAGCTCCAATCTCCTGGGAATATCCGGGCTCGTGGGCAATTCCGAGTTCAAGCCCAGGCACAGCTTCAGATGCACGGTCAAACCCAGGATCAAGGCCAGTTACCTCAGTTATTGTCAAACTCTCGACTGTCAAGAGCACAACAGCAGCAGCCACAACAGGGCCTACAACCAAGTCCACATCTCCCAATCAATGGGCAACAGCAGTTGATGAGGTCCACCCCAGACTCCGCCGGCTCACGAGTACCAGGCACTCCCACTCCTGCATCTCGCCACCGCTCAACCCTTTCGAGGGCAACCCAAAATGTAACTTGCGGTTCTGTCCTCCCTGGCTTCCCATGGAGCAATGCTCAGACGCCCAATGGTCGGTCATCCTGGACACCCAACAGCATGCGGGCGCAGCTTCAGCCTTCCGCGCAGGCTTCGAAGCAAACACCACCAATCCAGAGCTTAGCCGAAATGTCGTTGCATCTGCCGACGCCTCAACAACCTATTTCTACCGGCTCTTGTCCAAACACTCTATCCGAGACCCTGGCGGAAACTAATCGTCGCACGGAGGCTGAGCTTCGTTCTCTCGGCGCAGCCGTCGTGGATTATGATCCAAACATGAGTTGGAATGGCATGGAGGATATGCCAGTCGGGACCCTCTACGGAGACATCGGCGTTCCTCCTCCTCTCGAGGGGCCATTCGGTGAGACAATAAACTTGGATGTATCTCCCCCCCTGATGTTGAGCATGGACATGAACGTGCCACAGGATGAGAGTGGGAACGTCGCCGGACTTGAAAGTACGCTTTTGAACACAGCAGTTGCCGCGGGCGATTACGCAGAACGAGTCGTGATGACCTCACCCAGCAATAACAACAACGCGACAGACACACCTGGAAATGGAGCAGCAGACATCAGCGCTATGGCTGCTATTACAACTCTAGAGAGAGGAGCAGCCGTGTCCGCCGCGGCGGATTCGGGTTTCCCGTATGATTGGATGACGGGATTCGACGAAGGAAAGATCTTTGATCCTATAGATTTCAATCTCTAGCCTAGTGCAAAGCAAGGGGCTGCACGAGGGCAATGTGTGGCTGAAAGTTGTCTGCGTCTGCATCTGCATTTGTGTCTGCATCTGCGTCGTGATCCTCTGTCGTGTCATGTCATGTCTTACGTGAGGATAGGGTATGGCATTATCGAATGTCGTGGCATGGCACGTCGACAAAGAGGACGAATCCAAAAAAAAAAAAAAATTTGGGTGCACATCGGCCCAGACCCGAACTAGGCCTAGACAGAGATGCGCAAGCGAAAGTTACACACATCCGATCTTACGGACGGACGGACTGAGGGAAAGGGTTCAACTCAGCACAACGCAGTGGGACCGGCAGCGCCAGCATCGGCTGCAGTGGTGCTGATGGGCCAATGATGGATACAGCGACGGCATAAGCATATACAATGCATACCGAGACAAAACAAGCAAGACTGGGCTGGATTAGACTGAACGGGACGGGGCTGGACTGAAATGGAGGGGAACAAGCAAACTTGTATCATCATCATTAATAGACACACAATGTGTAGTCGATACATATTTTCTGCTCACAGGAAAAGGACCCCTCCCCCCTTCTTCCCTTCTTCCCTTTTTCCCTTTTTTCTGTCTTCGTGAGAGCTACAGTCTACCTATAAAACCTTTGTGCCCCTTGCCAGACATGGATCCAACATGTTCAAAAATGCCCCGGGGAAGTTTACAAAATGTATCCGCTTCCAACGACCAAGGAGGCCCAGCCAAAGCACATAGATTATTAGAGATAAACATACCATTCCGACAGACTCCTCGGAGCACACGCCGGACAATGACCGACATGAAGGGGCGTTTGGGGGAAAAAAAAGGAAGAAACAATCCACCAATGCGGAAAAGAAGTCCGATCGAGCAAGCAAACAAATTCTCCTCCCGGGTATAAAGCCAATATAGACCAGTTCCTGCGCCCAAGGAGACGCGTCGATTTTGATGACAATCCCTATCAATGGTGCATCAATGCATCAATGTTGTGACACAGGCTCCTCGTCATCACCATACCCATCTATAGCTGGCCCCGAGAAGCATCTTCCAGCACTTTCCGCCCACGGCTGGCTCGTTGTCAACGATATCTAACAAGGACTTCCCGGGATCGTTTCGTCAGAGCAGGGTCTTCGATAACGGACGGGCACTATCCGAAGGACTTACTTGGGCATTGCGGCCGCAACGGCTGCGACAGCTTCGTCCCGGTCTTTGAGTTCCTTTGTGCGCGCAGGATCATGTCCGAAACTGTATACTGTAAACTGAATACTAACCGGCCCTCGGGGACAATTCAACTCCGTCAAGGTCCTTGCCAGAGCCGCAATTGCATCACCAATATGCCAATGCAGTTTCCACACAGCATCGGTGAAGGCATAAATACTAAGCGGCTTGAGCGTGTCGCACCTCTTGGGAACGGGTTCTGCTCAGCGTTGGTAGGACTGCTTGTAGTCCTAGCTAATCATACGCTATTCCTCTTATAGAATAGTCTACTTGTATAGTCACGGTGACCACAAAAATTTGCCATCTAAATTCGGAATAGCGTTGCCAGATACGCAATGGCTTGTAGCCCAGCCAATCAGATCGCTTCTTTACCCAGATCTAGGGGGACTAGTTAGGACTACTTGGACGACAAGAACAGTACAGCCAGGACTAAGGACTCCCAGTACAAGTACTGATAATCCCTGAGGGTGGGGGCCAGGACTAGGACTAGTCGGACTATTGGTATGTCTTACCAACCCTCTTTCTTCTCTCCATATTTCCTTGGCTGCGGAGACGCCTGTCATACAAGTACTTACCCTGGGATTCGGGCGAGACTTTTAACCATATTGGACGCGGTCGACATTTTTTTTGCCAGACCGAAACCATGGTGTAGCTGGAAAGTGTCAAAGTACGGCGAGTCACTTTGAATTTTAAGCCGCGCGTTTCTTGATGACTACAAGCTGGGAAAGCTGTGGAACTATCGTCAAGTGAATTGTTGTTGATTCACATCTCCTCGCTAAGCCCGTGTGGTTGGAGCTATGTTAAATCCATGCCAAATGTTTCGTCCAGGCCAAAGTCCATAGTTCCAAAGATATCCTCAAAATCCCCGTCTGAGCCAAGGTTGAAATCCTGTTGAAAGCCGACTTCCTGACCGTCCAGTGTCTCTTCATCCCTCTGCGAAGCGCGTGATTGAAGCCAAGAAAGTGACATTTCCAGGCTTTCTTTGGCAGTTTGTGCCAATCTTTGCCACAGCGACTCGCCTCTTACGAAATTCATTTTCGCCCGGCAAATGACCATGCTCAGTTTCATGTGCATCTTGACATCGGCGTTGGTCTCTCCAAGCTGGATGCGTCGGCCCGTCTGATGGAGGGCCTCTTCGACTGCATCAACCAGCGTCTTCCTGAAGCCTATCGGCTCCGTCATTATTCCATTCTCTTCAATCTCCTTCAAGAGTTCGGAAGCGACGGCCAAAGGCGCATGAATGATCCGGGACTTGAAAATGCCACCGCCGATACTCACGAGGTGAGAGAACTCTTCGTTCGGAATTGGAGATAGAATAGCCATTGCAGCGTCAAGGCTGACTTTCCTCGAGAAGTAGTATGAAGGGTTCGAGCGGGCTCGGCTCGGCAGTGGTCGATGCAACACAGTAGACCACGGCTGAGAAGTAGATCTAATAGATTCTGTTTAAAAGTCAATGCAGCGTCATCGCCCTTTATAAGTGATCGGTAGCTACGACAGGCTTCGTTGATGTCGGAGGTTGCTCTTTCGATTTCCTCATACGACATCGGCGCTGACAAACCATTCATACGCCTGACGAGTTCATATCTCGGGCGTAGGCTAGCCAACAGAGTTCAGAGCAATGAGCTATCCGTGACTGTATTTGGCGGATGAATGCGCATGACGCTGCCGAGGCCGTCAAGATCTAAATCGTTGACATTGGCTAGAGAGTCCGTATCGGAAGTCTTGGAGTGTAAGATTCGGCAATGCTCCTGCGTCCAATGCTTCCTGTACGTTAAGCTCCAGTATGGTGGCCCAGAGTCCTCTCCGCATCTCGCTTTGACTTCCATGGAGGGACAGTTAACAAAATGACATAGAGAGGAGATACGGATCAGGTGCTGGCTGTACTTGTAGAGGAGTCATCTTGTGGAAATGCCTAGGATCTCGGTGAAGACCCATCTGAATAGCCATACGAATAACATGACCCATAGTGATGTATAGGAGGTCGGCACCAATGGCGAGAACTTGGCGAGCGAGTACCAACAAGCACTGAACCTGTAGTCCGTCGATACTCAGGCGACCCTTCTCAGTAGGTCCAGATAGCCAGTTATATGCGGACTGTACCCATTGATAGACTAGCGAGCGCGTAGGGATAGGGTCGTCCTGAGATGACTCCAGGAAGATGCTAGATCCGATGGCCGGGACAAGTTGGATTTGTAGAAATATTGCTCTTGATATCTCTGCAGAGCTGGCCCAGAACCTTTCGAATTCCTTCCAGAAAGTCGGAACGTGCAGTATGCGAAAAGTCGATTCAAAATGCGACACGTATAGCTGCGTAAGCTTTGTCGCAACCACCCTGCCAATCGGAATACAGGGAGGTTTTTGGTCGAAGCACTTTTCAATCTGCACTGCCTTTCTGCTAGAGGCGAGGAGCTTACATGTACGAAGCAGAGAACGGGTTTCTGATAGGGTGTGCTTCGTGAGTTCGTCGACCAACGGCTCCTCAGTCTCACCGCTTAGGACAACTGCTATTCTCTGGAACTAGTGATTGTCAGCCGACACAATCGACCAATTGGACAATCAATAGCTCCTGCACATACTCATCTCCAGAGCAAAAGTAGTTATCCAATGACTCCGACCAAATACCCTAGACTTGTTCAAAACTAGGCACTTATTCTCTGGCAAGTGGGCTAAATCAAGTGGATCGCAAGTATCTGAAGGAGCTGGTCTGTACATGGGATTTGCTTCCTCAGCGCTGTGGGCACCCCTACCAAGCAGGTCCTCAAGACTCGCAATCCGACGTTTCAGCTCATTGATTTCGGCTTCTTTCTGGAAAGATGAGATCGTGGAATGGTCAACTGAAGACTGCTGTTCTTCTTCGATGCTAGCAGCCCCGCGAGCATTGCTCAGTGTCGATAATGATACTGGCCCAGATTTTAGTAGTATTCTAGTATCGCCTATGCTCTTCGCATGGGTCTCTAATGTCAGTATGGGTGTGAGAGAAGAAAAGCCATTTGACATCTGAGCATGGGATGCTGCGATGGGTGTTGAGGATTGCACAGGCTCGTTCCTGTAGACGCATGCCGTTTTAATGAGAGTACAATGACAGCATGGCTGTTTTCGATCACATCGCTCTTTGCGCCTCCGGCATTCTTCGCAAGAACGCGCATGTCGGCAGCGGCGGCGGCGGGGAAGTTGGGCGGCATAATTTCCCCCGTGCGAAGTCATCTCATCAAACACCTGGAAGGACCGGGCGTCGCGAGAGAACCAACCGAAATCTCATGCGCGAGGCTTCAAGAGGTAAAAAGCCGTGGAAGACACAGAGTCAGTGCCAGTCAGGCGACCCAGGCTTCTCTTAACTCCGCCCGCACCAATCATTTGCATGCATTCAAATACCCCGAGGACATTCTGCCAAACTCCGCTGCATACTGGGGCGTCTCCGCCGGCAGTGCAGAAAGGTATAAGTTGTTGAAGCGATGATGCTTGAGGAATGGTGAATTATCCCCTTCTCTTCTTTTAAAGCATCAGTAAGTCTCCAGCTGTGACCAACCTATCTTCAGCTCAGCACAAGTCATGGCATCAGATCTCCCATGTCACCATCGGGCTTTGGTCCTCGAGGCCGTTGGAGCTGGTTTCGAAACCAAAAAGATTCCAATGCCCAGCCTGGATGCAGGAAGCGCCATTGTCCAAGTTCTTTCGGCGGGAGTCCGGTCGTATCATCGCGAAATTTATAACGGCCAGCGCCATTACAATTTTCCCAAACTCATCGTCGGCGGCATCAGCGCGATCGCACGCATCGCGGCGGTGGGACCTGATGCGGTAGCTTTGCATGCTGGGCAGCTCGTTTTCGCTGACTGCAAGATACATGCACGAGACGACCCAGATAGCTTGTTTGTGACGGCAATCCACGAAGGTATGAACGACCGGAGTAAGAAGTTGATTACAGACGTATGGCGGGATGGAGTATTCGCCCAGTACGCCAAAATACCTCTGGAGAACTGCATTCCACTCGACGAAACAAAGCTGTGCAGGCAGTTGGGATACACCACCAATGATCTGATGTACCTATATCTCCTGCTTGTTGCGTATGGGGGTTCAGGGATATCAAGCTGGAGCCTGGTGAAACGGTTGTGGTATGTCCTGCGACAGGTGGTTTTGGCGGGGCGGGTGTTCAAGTTGCCGTGGCCATGGGTGCACGAGTGATTGCAATGGGACGCGATGAGGAGGAGTTGGCTAGATTGAGTGCACATATCAAGAGCGGAACACCTCGCGCAAGCATCGAAACCGTGAAGTTGACGGGGGATCTGGAGACCGACACGGTAGCACTTCAAGCCTTTGGCACCATTGACGCTGTGATTGATTTCACTCCACCTTTTGCATGCAAATCCACGCATCTGAAGAGTGCGGTAAGGGCGTTGCGGCGAGGTAGGCGATGTAGCATGATAGGATAGGTCGAGGATGTCATCGATTATAAGGTCATGGCTCTCAACATTACCTTGAAAGGCAAGCTAATGTACGAGAGAGAGGACGTGGTATTGTTTGTCAAAATGTTGGAGAGTGGTTTGTTCCCGAGAGGAAAAGACTTTGCGGATGTCAAGGCGTTCGCCATGGAAGACTGGAATGAGGCCCTCGATACAGCTGCTGAGCATATTGGGATCGGAAAGGTCGTGGTGATTGAGCCCTGGTCCTAGGCAAGGACGACCTTGGATGCCATGCATGTTTGTGAGGCGAAAGTTGCAGGTTGAGTGAGTAGCAAGTACCAAAGGCACCGAGTGAAAGGCATGAAGAAAGATGTCCACTCATGCAGCAATGGTCTCTAGATTCGCATCTTATTGATTTCGAACGGTGACTTCCAATGTGGGGTCAGTGATATCCTGGACCTTGCCCTCCAGAAAATCACCAGTTTTCGCCAGTTTTCGCCAGCCCAGTCCGAAAGCAACTTGTGCATAGCAAGAGACGTCGCGAAACAGTAGTCCCGACGGCCGAGCTCACGTAGCCGTGGATGGTTGGGCGATCTGATGGCAGAAGCGACCAAATCCTTGACTTTAGGGTTACACGCAGTCGGTCCCGTGAGTTCTCAGCATGGATAAAACTGACGCGGAAGATTAGCAGGAGTTCACTGACTGTATAGGGTAGAGGAATCGATCATACTCCTTCAGCCGATACGCCGGGATGTATCTGCATTCGTAGTTTTCCCCAGGCATATTCCGCTGTGACTGTTGCTTCAGCCAATTGTGTCCACGGTGCAGTTAGTTGGAGAGTGGTCATCTATTTTCAGACGGCAATCGAGGGAAAACCGAACTGCTGGAGAGAGTGGCTGCGAAGTTGTCTGAGCCTGAGCCCAATTCAGACCCTCGACCGTACTTATATGGCAAGCTGTGTGCAGACCGCACAACAGAAAGCGACACCACAATTCGGTCTCATCAAAAGGCGGAGTAATGCAGAGGTCCCCTTTTGCCATTGCCAGGCTTGCCCACGGCCAGACATCTATGGCAAAAGGGCCAAAGGGGTGACTCGTCCAAAGAACCGGCCAATCAAGCCGTAATCATGAGCCTCAACACTGCATGGCCGGGGTCTGTCATGCGAAGTATTCGACCTCGCTCTTGTGAGGGGTTTGGTGCTAAATGCAAGCTGCATGGGCTATGTTTGAAGAATGCGAAGCCACGCGACGGGGATACGAGAAGAAAGAAGGGTCGAGAGGCAGCGACATCGAAGTTATCCATTCTCGCCATGTTGTGTACCAAGTACATGACGGAATCACATGCCAAGCGAGCCTGGTGGGCCTAGCCTTCTACGGCTAGGGGGCCGAGTTCTATCTCCGCGATCACGTGCTCTATGAATATGCTCCTGCTCTACGAGGACTAGTGAACCTTGTTAGACCTCGTAGGATCTCGCAGGATCAAAAGTGGCAGACAGACAGAGGAGAGTGGGAAAGCGCGTCATTGTTCTCATTCATATTCACATCTATATTTAAATTCATGATCTTGTCCCAGGGGCCTTGATCCGTTCCCCCCATTAGGTACGTAATAGTCGTCAGATGTACGAGCTATCGAAGATCCATATGCACTGCGAGGCATAGATCTGAAGCAACGAACGAGCACCCTACTGATCAAATCTAAGCCGAGGCTCGAGGTTCTTCCTCCCGCCCTCGAAGGTTTCCTGATCGCCGGCTCAGGCCGGTCTCTTGACCTGCACTTCCCCTACCATTGCAGGGCCTTTTCGCTGAAGTAAGTTGAACCATTCCAGTTAGGGTCTATATGTTCCAGCCTCCAAATCCAGTCCCATTCCCCTCCCGATCTTTTCCACCATCCACCGACGTTTAAACCCTTCCCTAGCCAACTCCCTGGTCCTCCTTGCCCAGACCTCGCTCCCCACACGTCCTCTCACGAATCCTTCCTGGAGGGCCAGTATCGCGGCCTCAATCCCCCGTTCCTCGCACGCCGAATCGTATAATTGGCGTGCGACCACGGTTGGAGCGGTCAGCATTTCATCCACATGCGGGATGTCGTTTTTGGCTGCGCGAGCGTGTGCCGAAGCTATCGTTTGGTCCGCCTTGGTCAGCGAAGACTGGAGGAGGGAAATATTGTTAGACACCGTGACATGCAATGCTTTCAAGTTGCTTAGTTCGCCGTTCAGTGTGCTCGTGGTTGACTGTAAAGCAGCATACTGTGAGGCTAGTGGGGCCATAGCGGAGTTATTCTGAGAGATTTGTTGGTGTAGGGATGTCGTGAGTAAGTGCGAAAGATGGGTTAAGAGAGCTTCTTTTTCGGGGTTGACCGGGATCGGAGGAGCAGGAATATTGTGCGATGACTGAGGGTTGGGAGCAGGTAAGGGAATGTCAAAGGGGGAGTCAAGGAGGTTTGGTGCCGGCGCAGGTTTCGGAGCGGGAGGCTGAGGGGCTGGTTGATATGGTTGCTGAGGTTGTGGATGAGGCTGTTGCGGGGGTTGCTGTGCATAAGAAGCTGGGAATTGTTGCGAAATAGGTCGCTCGCGAGGCTGACCTTGGAAGGATACCGATGCTGCTGGTGGCATTTGGCTATATTGATCTGGGGGTGGTGGCCTGGCTCGATCGGGGGCTTGGGCCGGGCTTTGACTTTGTGCAGAAGTCATGACAGGGGGAGGCTGGGCGTGAGGATATTGCTGCGTTTGACCCGGCAAAGGTGGTTGAGGTGGGTACGCAGATTGTAGTGATTCGTATGCAGCTTGCGGATGCTGGTGGTGGTGGTAGGGAGGTTGAGGAGACATGGACTGCCGAAGGCTACTGGAACGTTGAGGCAGGAAATTCGCGCCGCTAGCGGGTCGTTGGATGTTGCCATTTCCATACGGCTGCTGAGGTCTTTGGCCCGGTCCTTGCGCCTGAGGCGGCAGAGGAGGCGGCACGTTATAGCGTCCTGGTCGCGAAGAAGTTGCTGGGAGGCCTGGACTTGTCGCAGTGGGTGTTGCGATGCCGCCTTGAGAAGGATGTTTGGGCGGAGGAGGTGGTGGAGGAGCGTGTGTACCTGATTTTTGCCCGGGTGGAGGAGGACTTGATACCGACGCATTCGAAAGCGATGGCGGTTGCATCTCCCTTGGTAAAGGCGGCACTGGTGGTGGCGTGGGCTCTGCTGGTCTTTGCTGTTGCATCGGTGACCTGGACATGACTGGAGGCTCTTTGGCAAAAATGTCAGACAAGATGGACAAAAAGTCCAAGATGTTGGATCTCTGCAGAAGAACCCGTCAGTCCGTCAGACCTTTTCCGGCACTCCTCCTCTTTCCAATTATTCTGCCTTTACTGCATCTGAACGTACCTCCCAGTGTTCTCTCCAATGCGCCAGGTATGGATGATATATCTTCCCATCTCCCCCGACATGTTGACCCGGTCTAATCATCATCTCTTCCGTCGGTGTAACATAGCACATGGGTGCCTCGTAAGGGTAGGCGTGAGGAACCCATATCGCTATAGGAAACCGATATGTATTTCCCCGAAAGTTGACGGGGATGGTGCCCTTGAACTGCAAGAGGAGTGCAGACGCTCCATTCTCGAACGCTGCGCATTTGCCTGTCAGTGTCTCATCAAGTCTTCGGGATCGACATGCAACACACTGTAGACATCTGTCCGAGGAGCAAAGCTCGGGTTCCGGGCGAGGATGTGGGCAAGGTCCGAATAGGTTCGATTTGGGTCGTGATATTCCTACAAACTCGTTAGCCAAGGGGGCTCGAAGGACCGTGGTGGAGGATATCCCTTACACGTTGCAATACATCATAAAGCCAATTCAGTGTCTTCTGCGGCACGCCTGCCATTGACGTCGCATCCAGATGTGAGAGAGTTTCCAGTGGATTGGGATGGTGGCTGCGAGCGTGGTGTTGGAGGCTGGCCGTCTTCTATTGGCCAAGCCCTCTCGCCCTCTACCAAGAGATTATGTAATGCGGGGAGGATACAGAGCACGAGTACTGGACAACAAGGCAAAACGAGGACATCAAGGTACGTAATGGGTGTTGATGGAATGTGAATTCTGGGGGTATCGGGTATCATAAAGCTAGGACTAATCATACAGCATCATCAGGTAACGCTCATGTGGGTGTCATCTCAACATCATCCGCCTGTTGCGTGTTGCAGCCTCTTTGTCCTCGACAGCCGTCAGTTCAATCTATTTTTGCTGAGCAGCAGCCTGCTTATCCAGGTCCAACTCAACCCCGCGCTGTCGGGTCTTTCCTTCGTCGTGCATTTCGTTATACCTGGCTTGCTCCGTGCGGTCGCCAGTCAAAGACGCCACGGCACTGCCGACAGTCCCTTGAACACGATCGCTCACACCCTTTCCGAGGTCGCTCAGTTGGCCCTTAGCCTCTTGGCCCTGGCCCTGGAGATTCTGTTCACGTCCTTTCTGCTTGAGATCCTCGCTCCCGACGAGGTTGCCGAAGGCTTCTTTAGCGCTCCCAATAGTTTGGTCCCATTGGCCTTGGGTGCGTTCGGGGCTGTCTTTGGCAGCGGCGCCAGAAGAGCTGATGGCGAACGGACCTGCTTTGGCGGCCGTGTGGGAAAGGTCAGATTCGGTAGCGCCCTTGTTCTTGTGTTCGTCGGCTTTGGCCTGGAATATGATGTTAGCAATGATCAGCTGTAATGACAAGACAGGGAACGGGAGCTCACCTTGTCGCCAGCGCTACCAGTCACAGCAGCAATACCGGACTGGACGTAGCCAGTGGCAGTATCAACAGCCGCTTTGAGGGAGGAGGTGTTGTCGTTAGAAGACATGGTGAGAGGTGTGGTGGTAGTGAGTGCTTGGTTTGATGTTGGGTACTCGTATCGATAGGAGTGGCTTTGAGTGGAAGTGTGGTCTCAGATGAAGACAAGAACGAACCAGGATCCAAGCTGAATTTATAGACCAACGATGGGGTTCTCAGATCTGTTTGTCGCGAGGGTGAAACTGGGCTCAGCAGGCTCGATGGTGATGCAGGTCTGGCGGGTGCAGCTGGACCAGGCAAAGGAGGGCATGTCACATGCTTTGTCCGCCATCGACGTCATCCGGAGGCCGGTGGAGCAGATGGCAATCTGGCAAAATCTGGCACATTTGACAATCGGCGAAATGCAAAGAATGCGCTTCACCAGAAACACGCAATCCTTGTCCCACCCGTCTATCACCACTGTGGAATGGTGCCCTCCACTCGTATTCCATCTGAATATTTGATTCCCCCGATTTCAATCCAAGGTTCAAGAAGGTTCCCGTGGCAAGGAACGTGGGTTCCATTGGTGTGCGCCAGGCACTTTGGTGCCAGCTTTGTAGAGGTTGTCGTCATTCTCTCACCGGCTGCCTGGTGCTGTGGCACATGTGCAAGCATGGCACTGTCTCGCTGTATATCATCCAAACCTGAGCTTAGGACACACAAACACCAGCAGAAACGCCACCACCCACATCGCAAAGATCATGCCGTACAGCTTGAGTCGTCCAAACCACCCCTCTTCCTCGCTCATGCGTCTGAGAAATGCCATGTTCTTGCTTGCGGCCTCCATCCCGCTCAGGCTGACATCAAGTCCTTCAATTGCTCGTCCGAGTATGCCCTTGTCCTGTTCCAGAGAGAACTGAAGCTTCCTCTGCTCCTGTTTCAATCGGGCTGCCATTTTCACCAGCGATACCGTGATGTCTTCGTGTACGCGCGAAGAATCCAATAGTGATCGCTCTGTACTGGCGAGATTTGAGACGCCGCTCGCCTGCGCCCCAGATTTGCTCGTGGCCTCAGCTTGTCCTTTACCCCGTCGCCGCGGACTCGATGGCCCAAATAACTCTTCTCTTGTATCTTTGTCGTCTTGCACAACCGCTGCGGGCCGTTCCTCCTCCACGCTTTCGATCGGTTTTCCTTCTCTTAGCCGATCGTCTTGCACTCTCTCCTTTGCTGCGCCGTTGGTTGCTTGAGAGTTCGCCTGCTTCTGCAGAAAGTCGTAAAGAGTTTCCCCTTCTTCTCCTTCGCCAATGGGCGGCTTCCAGTCATCCGAGCCCATCATGTCAACCTCCCTCCCGATCTCCTCTATTCGATCCTTTAATCTCTTGATGATCGCTCTCTTCTCGGCCAAGTCTTTGACGGCCTCGTATTTAGCCCGCTGGACACGAATACTCTGCGCTTTTCGCTCTAGTTGTAGAAGTAACGTCCGAGCTCCCTCGACATTGTGTAGCCATTTGGTGCGATGGAATGGCAATGGGGACCACAGCTCAGCCTGGACTTGCTTTTGCAACGGGGTTAACTCTGCGGTATTACTATTACTGGGAGAAAAGGTTGGCGTGAGGAGGATCAAATGCTGGTATCGCATGAGGGTGCGATGGAGGTTGAGGTAGTTGACTTCGTGGTGGAACGGTCGGGTGGGGGCATTGTCTGTTGAAGCATTCTCCCGTCTTGGACCTGCGCTAAACGGTAGCGCGACGGGTCGAAGTGCTGTGGTTAAAGACATGAAGATAATCAACCAATGGAGTGGATATGAGGTTGCAGTCGCCCGGCTGGCAATGAGGACAGAACATTGAATACAGAGTTTGGTGAAACTGGCCGGGCAAGAACGGATATTAAATCCGACTTTAGCCGCGTCCACAAGTCTGACTTGGCACAGAAGAAAGTCATTTCTAACCACCAAGCGGTCTCTTTACTGGAGCTTCGCGTCAACGTGTACGGTTCTGGAACAATATCTGTCAAAATGCTAACTTATCTGAATGCTCACGGGAGGATATTCTCCCGTTGGTCTAAGGCACAACCCGCAAGGACCACAGATATATCGATGCGCGAAGTCGAGGAAGCGTATAACATTGCTACTCTGCCACGTTGACGATTCAAAGACTGGAATTATACAGCTAGGTAATCTCTTTGTGCACAACGAAATCTATATATCTACACTTGCCTAAAGCTGGAGTGAATTAAACGGCCAAATCTCATATCGCAGCTTTGCTGTATGTCCATGAGACCCATCTCTTGATAATCGCCATACTGCATCCACCTGCGTCCGCTATCTGTTCAAAAATGTGCCAAGGTACACTCAATGTTTTGAACATCATGATCAGCTCCTGTTTCCAGGGGGTTGTCCTGCTCTTGACATCCGCAATTGCCATCCATCCAATTCCACTGGTGCCGCATTCTGATTTTGCTGAGTTGCTGCAAAAGCAACCTCACTATTCGGCAGTTCGCCAACATAGTTCTTGGCTGGTTGGGTGACAACGGGATACGTATTGTCCGGGTCGACACTGTTGGCATATGAGGGAGGTTTGGCCGCAAAAAGCTTCCTACGGTACCTTCGGGGCACCAGCGTAAAGCCGATGAGGAGAAGTAGAGGTATGCCGAGTCCGACGCCAACGCCAACGCCAACGCCGATTGTCGTGCTCGATGTAGACGGGGACGAGACAGCGGGGACAGCGGTTTGTGACGGGGACGCAACGGGAGTCGGGGAGAATGTAACCGTCGCTGTTGTTGTCGGCGCTGAAGTTGACGTGGGTCCAGCAGAGGAGGACACGCTTGTGACACTTGATGTGGTGTCAGATGCAGCATCGGATGTAGCGGTTACGTTGAAGTAATGCGAGGTTGTCGCTCCGTTCAAATTTTGTTCTCCTGCTGGACTTAATGCCAGGAAGAAGACATTTGACTGATTGAGGCTGAACTGTTGCAAGCTGACTGTCCAGGAAAAACCCCCTTCTTCTTTTGAGCCGGTTATCTTAGCTAAAGTAACCTGTTAGCCAAAAACACCTAACACGGGGATGGGATAGAGAGAGGAGAGACTCGAAATCCATAGACATACTGTATATAGGACTGCTACCCTCTGCAGCGGACTGGACATTGAGGCTCTGTTGCCATAGAAATATGTTGTAGGCATCCTGATCAGTGACCCATTGTACGTCGAATGTAGAACCAACAGCGTAGGCCTGGTTCTCGGCGAAAAACAGTTGATCTCCTGCCGCTGGAGGGTTGATGAAGTAGGTTGATGGCGTCTGGGAAATAACCTGCGCGAAGATAGAGAAACTAACAGCGAAGAGCAAACAGTACATCGCAGGAGAAGAAAATAACCTAGAACCTCTTTAGCAAAGCATAAAATATCCCGCGGATGGAAGGAAGAAGAGGTATATGCTTGAGGCCAGAGGCGCAGAGGGAAACAATGACCAACACTTCAACTCCTCAGTTCGTCTTGGGTCGTCCGCGGCGCCAGCGAGAGGACAGTATCAGTGTCTGCCAGATGGGTGTGGTGGCGTACTGGCCTTGCTAGCCTTTGCAACCATCTGTCTCCTCGAACAATGCATGACCCCAGCCTAGGCCAGGGATTCTCTTCACTGTGTCAAATGAAACAAGACCATATACAGCACTAATGCGCGAATAGTAGCATTCGGCCAGGGCCGGCAGGTACCAGGAGATTAAATTGCAATAGACCAGGTCTCTGCGGCACATTCGCGGCAGGGCCGGTGATTAATACCAGGCTCTGTGTGGAAGCAAAAGCCCTCGGACCAACAATACCGAAGATAGCCATGATCTGACCTGAAGAGCAGCGGCAGCGAATCCCAAAGAAAAGAGATATAAACGAATGGTTTCAGTTCTGTTCGAGTCATTTCAGGCGGGCGCTTGCTGGTTTGCATAATCGAATGGAGTGGGGATGCGAAGCCCTGGGCCGGCTATGTTTAGGCCTGCATGAAGGTCTTGAAGTATTGCGTATTTTTGGTCCCGGCTAAAATCGTGGCTCCAAGGGGCAGGATGGTCCTCCATTTTTTAGGATCGGACAGACTCTGTGCAAGGCGGATTTGCCTATAGGGGCGCGTATCGGGAAAGGACAGGAGCCGGCGCCTAAATGAGGCCACACCAGTTTGCCAGGGAGTTTCCTACGTTTCAAGTGAGTGGTTCTGGATTTCGACTTCCTTTTGTTCCCAACCTCTCTGTATCCAGTTGTCGTTCTGTTCGAGATGCCATTTAACAAGGCGTGGACAGACTGCTGCTGCTGCTTCTGCTATCGTTGTTGTTGAAAAAGAAGAAGAAGCGGCGACAAGCTTCTGTTTGACAGCTCGCCGGCCCTTCCCGGTGGCCCACCCGGAACATTAATGGCACGTTCTGCGTTTGCCTCCGTCATCAATGGCCTGCTCTCTCAGCCATCTCGCATTTCTATCATAGCCTTTCTGTCCTTTATTGGATGTCTGCTCCTTTTAATTGTCCTTCGCTCTTCCACCTCGGATCTTGGGGCGTCTCTTCTGCATTCCTCGTCTGCCCTGGGCGGCATCAGCGCCCTGCGGCAGATGTCGCTTCAATCTATCCAAAATACCACTCTCGGGGTTTGTCTTCATCTCATGCGCTGGTGCTGTTTTTGGGCTAACAAAGGACTGCCTAGTTTGAGAAAATCTTGGCCATCAATCTTCCAGAGAGGACCGATCATAGGGATGGGTTGGTCCTTGCCGCTGCTGTGTCAAACCTGCACATTGAGAGGGTTGATGGCATCCGCGGGAATACTGTGCTTGACAAAGTCCTCCCGCCCGAGCATCCGGATCATCTTGATCCTGCTCGGGTTGGGAGCTGGCGCGCCCATATGAATGCTATCAGCCGGTAAGCTCTTCTCGACCCCAGTTACGCGTACCAAGTGCTTATCCCACGCAGTGTCGTGGAGAACAATTGGACTTCAGCATTGATCCTTGAAGACGACGTCGACTGGGACGTGAGACTGAGGTCACTGCTTACAGACTTCGCATTGGCTTCTGACACAATTCTCTCCCGGCGTGACTCGGTGCCGCTCAAGTTCCGCGAGCTTTCCTTCGCTCACACTCCAGTATCCTCTCCTTACGGCGATGGCTGGGATGTCCTGTGGCTGGGACATTGCGGAATGGAAATATCTGAACGGTCTTGTACTGTGATCCACGAGGACGATGAGACTGTTCCGGAAGTTCAGTTCCTCCACTCGTGGAACCAGGATGAGACCTCGCCCCTCGTTGGTTACCGACCACATACACGAGTGGTAACCGAACAGAAGGACGGGGTCTGTTCCCTCGCATACGCGGTCTCTCAGGCTGGTGCGCGGGGACTTTTGAGCAGTCTTGGTCTGAAGCGGATGAACAACGCCTTTGACTTGATGTTGCGAGAGTGGTGTGAGGGGACACATGAAGAACATCCCCATCGATGTATTGGTGTTTTGCCGCAGCTGTTCGACCATTACAGGCCCATCGGACCGTCCGAGGTTGACAGCGACATTTCAGTCCCGAATGGCGGCTACCGACACCAGCCTTTCACACAAAACATCCGATGGAGCGTGAGGCTCAACATGGACAAGATCCTTGACGGCGACACGGATTACAACGACCAGTGGCCAGACTCGACGGGGTGACGTTCACGGACGAAAGCAAAACCAATATACACGGCAGACGGCCTTTGAACATATACCGAATCGTGTGTGGAAGACCAACGGCGATAACATATATATATATATGTCATGAACTAGACTTTGGGATATGGGTGTATGTGGAGGAAAGGACCCTACTTATAAGACATTTGTGAATAGATAAGCCGAAGCTATGAGCGCAAGGATGACAGGCATTGGGATATCTTGGGAACGCGAACTCGGTTGAAAGAGTCATCTGCTTGAGCGAGCATCCACTAGCGAGTATTTACAAAGGGGCTAGCAGCGAAGAATACAACATCTCCTTCCCACCGCTGCTATTGATATAACGCTGGCGTCCACCCGGACTCTCTCTCAGCGGTGTGTTGGTCTAGACCTTGACACCACTTCTGGCCCTCCAAGCCCAAACCGTTGTACTGGCGAAATGGCTCCTCGCACGTCTCACCTTCGGCTAGTTAGATGTATCACACACATATCGCATCGAAGCATGTCGTTTCGCAGAGCGAATCCGCCTTGCCTGCCTCTCGGATGCATCCGATCCTAGGGTGACGGATCGTTGAGGGCTTCTGTACTTTCATCCGAATCCCCTTTGTGCTCGTTTCAACTCCCTTATGCAGCCTTGTGAAGCTTTGCGATAAATTGAATGATGCATTAATGCGCGGGTTACGTATGTTCCAGTCATACATACGGTCCATTCAGTGATCCTATGTACAGTGACTGCTTGCGGTCCTCGATCCACTCCTTCAGCTCCTCAGATATATCCAAGTGGCTCTTCTTCACGTTCCAGAAGATCGCGGGCAGTGACGAGTCGTTGCCCGTGTCGACCTCGACAATGGCCGCGCGGAGAACAATGTCCTGCCGACGGGCCACGGCCCATCGACGTCCGCACATGCTGATCCCGTGCATCAATGTGTCAAAGATGGGTTCCCGTTGCTGGTTCGTCTTGCGATATATCAGCAGCTTGAACCGCGCTGCGACGAAGAGCATGGTTCCCAGTAACGGCGTGCTGAGTTCGGCGTCCGCGTCACTGATACTGCGCAGAGCTAGCGCTATGTCTTCGCATGCTTTGTGGCATCTCTGGAGCGGGATCTCGTTGCATGACGATCCGTCCACTTCGATGAGGCGCGCATAAAGGATGACAACGCTCGCGTGGGACAAGATGCTGGTGAGGACGAGGTTGGGGTCAAAATCAATCAGCCCGTCTGCCAACAACGTATAGCTGGTGCTTGGTTGAGCACGAACATAGTTCATGAGATTATGATATATCTCATCACACGTGGCAAATGCTTGGCCCTGTGCTTGCTCATATCTCCCTTGTTCATGGTCGTATAAGAAGTTGTGGAGAGGTTGCAGTCCGATCGCGGCAAGATGGGTGTGGCTGCGGAAGCTGTCCCTAAGGTCCGGGGTGCTCACATACGCAACACTCGACAGGTGGTCCATCACTGCAGCCGACACGTCACGCCACGAGATGCCCAAGGTCGAAACAGCATCCATGGCAAGCGAGGCCCAGGTCAAAGGAATCGCTAGTTCATCTCCGGTATTGCTGCCGATCGCTGGGGGGCCGACTTGTGCCGGGCTCTGCAGCTGCATCTGGTTCAACAATTTGCGGAACAGGCCAATATTTTCGCACATCCGACGGCAGACGGCGAGGAGGCTGAATGTGCTGGGGATGTTGTCCGAGCCATAGTCCAGAATGGCAATGATCAAGAGTGCTTGGACTGATTTTAGTGATGCTTTGGAGAACGCCTCGTTCACGACCTGCGACCTGAGGTACTGTGAAAGTCGATGTCTTCCGTGATATCCCAAACAGATGGCCTGACTCGAGTATGCTATCTGAAGCGCAATCACGGCCTTGAGCACCACGTCGTCTATGTGTGACAGAGGTAGAGGAAGAGAGTCAAGGGCACTCTGAATATGTTGCCGGCTCAAGATAGGGTACCATGGCTGGGTTTCCTTGAACCACGAGTCGGCCAAGGTATGCAGATATGCATGTGACAGAGTCATCAAGTCTGCAACTGCAACGTCTGATTCTGCCTGTGGACCATCGGATTTCAGAGGCTGAACATGGGAGACGGAGGGAGTATTAGAGATGGAATTTTGGGACGGGGATAAGTCAATAGATTGGGCGGTGGCTGTAGCAGCAAGAGGAGGGCTGAGGATTGGATTTGGTGTCGCCGTCGCCGTCGAGGACGTTGTCCGTTCGTGCTTGAACCTCTCTACCTCTTGCTCCAGAGATTCTGGTAGAAGAGTCAGACCATATCTTCGTCGCAAAGGATGGGAATAACTACCAATGCGATTCTCGAGCTGCGACACGTAGCCAGCGCGCAGCCCACGTTTCTTTGTCTTGGTCACATATTGGCAGCGGACCTTTGCTTTGACGCAGAAGGAACAGTGTGGGAGTCGTCTATCACATTTCGTCTTCCTCTGGCGACAGAGATGGCACCTGATAGACCCCATTAGACGTCATTGACAGCGAAAGGAGGTGGTGGAGAGGGAGGTTGTTCACACTGTGGAGCTTCTCTGTTCGGACACAGAAGTTTCAGGAGATTCACTGCTCATCTTTGCCCGTGCTGTCCTTTTCGAAGTACAATATCAGACACAAGATGAAGAGAGAGAATCCATGGTACCGAATGATTATGTGGACTGGTGAAAAGAATCATCGGCGAGACATGGGCCGACTGTTCCGCCCGGGGCTTCCTCCGCCCCTCCGCAGACACCAGCGATACTCGGCCCGATGCATGTCGATACCTTGGTTGCTTGGTGTCCATCCATTTGCAGCCATGCAGATGCTTCTTCTACGTGGCCCAGTAGATGAGCATGATCTGATTCATGCGTATAATATCACGCGACTCCCATTGTAGATATTGCTTCTCATGCGTCGAGACGACTTGGGGGCTTCCTCGACCGCCGCTTCTGAACACACGAGTCTCAAGACCATCCTCTCGCCTTAACTTTTGATGGCTTTCTCTGTAAGTGGATATCTCGACACCGAGCATGACCTTGTTTTACTGACCTATAAGAATCCTTCAGTGTTTCTGTATGGCCCTGGGAAAGCAAAGATCCAGGACAGACCAGAGCCAAGGATCACGGATGCCACGGACGCAATAATTCGCATCAAGTTCGTCGGCGTATGTGGGAGTGATGTATGTCGTTTTACTGGGTGCTGCTCATGAACACCAATCTGACAGTCCTTAGGTGCATTTCTGGAATCATGGTGGCGTTAATGGGAAGTTTGTATCCGAATCAAACCCCTTGGTGATGGGACATGAGGCATCAGGGAGTCAGTCGCTTTCCCCGTCAAGAGAATACACCATTAGTGGCATCTTGACTCTGACCTGGGTGATAAGAGCTAACATCAGGCTGGGAACCTGTAGCGGTACATGCGGTCGGCTCTGCTGTTACGCATTTGAGGCCAGGTGACAACGTCGCCATCGAGCCCGGTCAACCTTGTCGTTCCTGTGAAAGGTGCAAGGAAGGCCTGTACAATCTTTGCCCGCGCATGAAATTTGCCGCGTGTCCACCGGACACACCGGGATGCTTGACCAAGTATTTCAAGATCTCGGCCGATTTCTGCTATAAACTCCCGCCCAGTGTGAGTCTGCAGGAAGGAGTCCTCGCCGAGCCCCTTGCTGTGGCGGCACACGCCGTGCGAATGATCGGGGTCAAACCAGGTCAGAGCTTGGTGATTTTCGGTGCGGGCACGATTGGCCTTGTATGCGGTGCGGTGTCCAGACTATTCGGAGCAAAGAAGATTGTGTCGGTCGACCTCCTGGACCACAAGTTGGAATTTGCAAGGAATCTCAACCGGTCGAATACCTTCAAGCCCGATTTGACCGCTTCGCCAGAGCAGAACGCGGCGAGGCTGATTGAAGAGAACGGATTGGGGCTGGGTGCCGATGCCGTGATAGAGGCCACGGGGGCAGAAAGTTCGATCATCACTGCCGTGCATGTTCTTCGTCCAGGCGGCTCTTGTGTGCAAACAGGTCTAGGGAAGCCTGTCGTCAACTTCCCCATTCTGGCCATGAGCGAAAAGGAATTGCATTTGCACGGGGCCTTCAGATATAATCAGGGGGATTTCAAAGTCGCGATGGACGTGCTTGAAGCGGGCACTCTCCCTCTCAAGAGCCTCATCTCCAACATTTTCGATTTCGAGCAAACCACAGACGCATGGGAAGCAACCAAGCAAGGACGGGGTATCAAGAATATGATTCGAGGCTATGGATATAGAGATCCCGCCAGAATTAGCCACTTATGATTTCAAAATCTGCGTTATGTGTCCAGCTGTTTTCTGTGCCTTGAACTCGGCCGCGTAGGTAGGTTCTGGCACAATAAGAAGAGGGGCGCTCTACTCAAGCTGTCGTCCTACGTGAAGCTCGTAGTGTACAAATGTCATCAATAGATAAGATCAGTCGATCAATGCTGACTCCATTCGATGGTGTTCAAGTCGATTCCTTCTTGGACAAGCTCCCAGAGTGGGCTGAGCTCTCGCAAAAAGGTGACTCGCTCACGGACAGCTTTCAAGACGTAGTCAATTTCGCTGGTCGTCGTAAATCGCCCAATGCCGAAACGGATACTGCTATGGGCACTTTCATCGCTGTTTCCTAGAGCTCGAAGGACATAGCTAGGCTCCAGAGATGCTGAAGTGCAAGCACTCCCGGAGGACAGTGCGATATCCTTGAGAGCCATCAACAGTGACTCTCCCTCAACGTAGGCAAAAGAAACATTGACACATCCAGGATAACGTCGAGTAGGGTCTCCATTCAAGGAGGTGTGTTCCAATGCAAGCAGACCATCGACAAGTCGTTTGGACAGGGCATTGATGCGTTTGGAGTCGTACTGCATATTTGGAAGGTCAGCAGCGTCCTTCAAGAGGAGACCTGGGGGGGAGAGGATAATCAAGAAATTCAAATCATAACCCCTGCTATGATAATCAAGGCGTTGACATCGTGCTTGAAGTCAGACGTTCAGAAAGCCATGCATGTTAAATAAAGCGTATAATCATGAGAGACTAATGTCTTGGAGGGCAGGCGGGGGATTTGTCTTACCTCCATCTCCTCTTTGGCAATACGACAAGCTTCTCCAAACCCGACCACCAGGTGAGGTGCGAGCGTGCCACTGCGGAGACCTCGCTCCTGACCGCCACCACTGATTATCGGGTCCAATCTGACACGAGGCCGTCTTCTAACATAGCAAGCACCGATGCCCTTGGGGCCATATATTTTGTGGCTCGAGATCGACATCAAGTCGACATTCCAGTCGTTGACGTTGATAGGAATTTTGCCCACCGCCTGAGCACCGTCGGTGTGGAAGTATACTTTCTTTGATCGGCAAAGCTGGCCAATCTCTTTCATGGGCTGAATGACCCCGATTTCGTTGTTGACAGTCATGATGCTGACCAACGCAGTTTCTGGTTTAATTGCTTCCTCGAGCTGTTGTAAATTGATCAAGCCGCTTGAGTCGACAGGTAGATATGTGACCTCAAAGCCTTCGTCTTGCAAGTGTCGACAGCTGTCCAAAACACATTTATGCTCGGTCTGACTGGTGATGATATGCTTCTTCTTGCCGGACCTGCCAAAAAATCTGGCCACCCCCTTGATACTCATATTGTTACTCTCAGTGGCTCCACTTGTAAATATGATCTCCTTGGGGTCTGCGCCAATCAGTTTGGCGATGTGTTCTCTTGCGTGCTCCGACGCCTTCTCGCTCTCCCAACCATATGCGTGCGTTCTCGAATGAGGATTGCCAAAAAGGCCAGTGAGGAAGGGCAGCATTGCATCGAGAACCCGGGGGTCAACTGGAGTTGTTGCCTGCGCATCCAAATAGATGGGGCGGGTGCCCTGATCCATGATGGTTGCATGCTGCAGAATACCGGCTCGGGGACTCAGCATTGTATCGGCGGTGATCTCGGTACCAGGCATCTTGACCTGAGACGGCAGATTACCACTCTCCTGGATGAATTTCTTCTGGTCGGCCTTGATAGCCGCCTCGACGTCTGCGACTTGAGCATTGGACGGTTTAGACTCGGAAACATAACTGCGACGACCGGCGAAACGTGAAGAGGCGATGGGCGCAGTCCTGGCACGGGAGGAAAGAATTGCGCTACTGGAAAATCGTCGAACGCAGGCACGCGAAGCCCGCCGCATCACTGACGATGCGGGACCAGACATTGTGAAAGTGAATCAGTCCAGCTGACTATGGCTTGGTGAGGGAAAAGGACAATGCTGGTGCAGGTGATGAAGCCGTCGAAGTTGTTGGATGGACAAGATGCTCGACGGGGGTTGGTGGTTGGAAATGGATTTATCAGATTAGATGGATGGTCGGGCCACCTTCCTTGCGCCATGTCGCTGCCTCTATGCCACTGCCACCACAAACTCGCCCCACCAAGGGCATCCTGCTCGCTGCGCCATCCAAGCCCACCGCATGCCGGCTAAATGACGGTGGTGACATCTCTATTACGGTTTGCAGGATAGGTAAGCAACGCCAGTCAGCTTGCGAGCGACCGACTGACCTTGGACTGATCTCAATGCAGCTAGACAGCCTACAGGTTGGAGTGAAGTGAAGGAACATCCTTCTCCTGCGCTCCTCTCGTCCTCATCCTCGTCGACTGTCGCTTTTTGTCGCTTCTCCAGGCCTCCGAACGGCAGAGTTCTAGTGGAAATTGAAGGGCCCGATCCAGCTCACTCGCGCACCGCCACAATACCTCTCTCTCGGCTGCGTCATTGCTTCTTGTCGCCGAGGCCTGGTCCAAAGCCAATTGTGTGAATTGTGCCGCCTCCAAACGATCGATCCCTGCCCGCCCCTCCACCATCCATCTTCGCATACCCAGTACCTCCCTACTTCCATTCGTCTCTACCTCCGCTAGGCACCCGGAAACAATCTACCCTGCCATTCTGCGACTCTTCCTGAGAGAGAATTCCCTCCTCGCCTTCCTGTGCTGTTGAATACCCTGTTCCGGGATATCCACACCCAGAAGAAGCCAGACGAGGCCTGAGTGTCCGTCGAGAATTCGCACCCAGCATGAGTCTTAAAGGCGTGGGGAAGAGTATAACTCGAGCCCCACAACAGTTTAAGCAGCGCTTCAATATTGGCGATAATACAAAAGATGCCGTCTACATTGATGCCGACAGACGTTTTCAGGAGTTGGAGAAGGAGACCAAGAAGCTGCACGACGAGTCAAAGAAGTATTTTGATGCTATCAATGGTATGTCTAGGTCATTTCCCCCTTCTAGTGACGTCTGTTCTGACCTGTTTCTTTCCAGGCATGCTAAACCACCAGATCGAATTCTCCAAAGCCATCCAGGAAATTTACAAACCCATATCCGGCCGTGTCTCAGACCCTAACTCGCTCATTCCTGAAGGAAACCCAGAAGGCATTCGAGCTTGTGAAGAGTATGAATCTATCGTACGCGAACTGCAGGCTACCTTGCAACCAGAGTTGGAAATGATCGAGCAGCGCGTCATAGCACCCGCCGACCAGTTACTCGAAGTCATAAAAGTCATCCGCAAAATCAACGTGAAGCGCGATCACAAACAGCTAGATTACGACCGACACCGAGCTACTCTCAAAAAGCTGCAGGACAAGAAAGAAAAGACCCTCAAGGACGAGAAGGCTCTGTTCAAAGCGGAGAACGATGTCGAGCAAGCCACGCAGGACTACGAATATTTCAATAATCTGCTCAAAGATGAACTCCCCAAGCTCTTTGCCTTGGAAGCCGAATTCATCCGTCCTCTTTTCCAGTCCTTCTATTACATGCAACTCAACGTCTTTTACACCCTCCACGAAAAGATGCAAGCCATTAACATTGGCTACTTCAACCTCAATCTGGACATTGAGGAGGCTTTCGAGATGAAACGGGGGGACGTCCAGGAACGCGCAGAGGCGCTCTCGATAGTCCATTTCAAGGCCACAGGCGGTTTGAAACCTCGCGGCGTATCGAGATACGGATTGGGTCACTCGAAGGCCAAGGAAGCAGAGGCAAGTAAAAGCGCGTACGCAAGTCGGAGGACGAGTCATCTCGAAGACGGCGTCTCCAACCCACCTCCCCCATATTCTCCCACCGGCTCAGCAAGTGCGCCCAGCAGTCCTGCATTAGGAAGCCCTGCACTGGGCGCTGCCATTGCGGCAAAGGGCAAGCCCCCTCCACCAAAGCCCAAACCAAGTCGTCTGAGTGGTGTGCCCAATGCAGAGACGTGTACAGCCTTGTATGACTACGAGGCACAGGCCGAAGGAGATCTAAGTTTCCTGACGGGGGACATTATTGAGATTGTGTCGAGGACGCAGAATGAGAATGAGTGGTGGACAGGACGAGTCAGTGGCCGAGAAGGACAGTTTCCTGGTAAGTGTGGCCCTTTTTTTCCACACCTATTTCTTCTCTGGAAGTTCTGAACTCGACATTCCACTGGTATTTGGTATTGTGCGGTCAATTCTTTTTCTGCTTCTCGGTTTGATCTTGATAGCTGACCACAGTACACGCAGGAAACTACGTGCGCCTGAACTAGAGAATCTCCATGCTCATTCGATGTTCCTCGAGGATGTGCATTTCAAAAAGCTCTAACGCCGACCGTGTTTGACCCTGTTCGCACCTCTCTCGGTGCTCACCGGTTTGGAAACAAAGTCCCAATACCTCTAGTGGGTGGGCTATTCATATCGTCGCGCGAGTCGGGCGCTCGTGCGCTCGTCTGTTGGATCTTGAGACAACGGCCCAACCCCGACGTGGCACGCCAGGCCCTATGGGATGGACGCTTCGATATAATTTGTGGTGGTATTGGGGGATCGACGTCCAGTTAATCCGCTACAACCTTTCGACCGGTTGGAGGTGACTTGTTGCATGGCCGGAATCTTGGCCACAGGGTACGGCGTACGTATAAACCGGGTGAGCAAGAATCAAGATGTTATACTGAGTTTTTTTGCTCATAACTTGAATTGCGCCTTTCAACAGAGGCACGGTGTGCGCATGGTATGCTTCTTGAATAGATCTTGTCCGCACTACTTCCATCCATTTCTAGTATATACCTCGTCCTATTTCCTCCTTCCTCATCCATCCCCCCCAACTGCGTCATCAACACCTAAGCTCATCTGGATATATTCCCCTCCCTCGATTTCTGATTGAAAATCCAAGTTAATGGGTCATATCGCCTCTACGATCGAGAATTCCACACTTAGACAGACAGAAGGAGTTTGGGAGGAGATGATAGAGACAGGACTGAGAAAAAGAGGCTATAATTCAGTCTCACAGTGAACATAGACGTAGAAGAAAAACACGCCGGCTCCTCATTTGCTCTAAAGGGCGACAATCTACGAGGTAAGGGAAGACAAGATGGGTGAGGGCCGCGTTGTTTAGCTGTCGAGGCAGTTTATGTACCCAGTACTCCGGAGCACGTGTAAAGCAGCATGGGTTTAGTCCTGAAATGGTCACTGAGACACTAGAATTCCGCCAAAATTCTTGGCAAATTTTTCCAGATTCGACACGAACCTGAGGGTCGAGGGAGACTTCACACATCTCACGAAAGAGTCTCTAGACAAGCCATGCCACAGTATCGGTGATTACTCACACTCTTTTAATATGCGTGCTGAGCCAGCATACTCAACATTCGGTATGGCGAAGGCATCGTTCGAGGCAAGAATGGCCGACTTGGAAAAAGCCCAAGGAGTGCCCGAAAAGATTTTAGAGGAAGCTGCAAGCGTCCTTGGGCTTGATCTCGAAGCGACTATTGCACGCTGCGCTCTTGAGCCGCTCTATAAGGCGTCCTCCGAGACACATGGGTTTAAAGAGCAATGGGTCCTGCGCTGGCTCTTGAAGAAGCTAGCTGTTGCGGACAAGTCGAAGAATGGAGAAGGCAAAGTTGGCGACTCTCAGCGAAGGTGCGACACATCCGTCTTGAAGCGTCAACTGGACAGGATCTAATGGTACTCTAGTTTCATCATTTGCCCTAAGTTCTGGTCCCTGCTTCTCAATTTGACCTGTTCAGTACCTGGCGATTTATGCTCTGGAATCCTCCTCGAGCGAGACTTCCATCCACTGCTGGTTGACTTTATCCGAGAGGTTCTTCGCATGGAAGGCTCTAGAGTCATTGCAGTTGAGGGAACGGATGACGATAGCGAAGTTGATGGTCGTCCGGCGAAAAGGAGACGATTGTCTCCGTTGTCGAAGAGCCGAACAGCAGAGCTACCCCAAGAGAAGTTACAATGGGCAGCTTTGCAAGCAGGATGCCGTTGCGCCCACTTGTCCAACATGTTGTCCTCTCCTCCGAGAGTGGGGACTCGTATCTCTTCAGCAAAGACAGCCACCTGGAACGAGCAGGCTGCTTTACTGGGGACCTTGCTTGAGCTAGTGGCGTGCGCTATGAACAGCAGTACTAAAACTGCAGATCCAGATTTTGTGTCTGAGATACTCGAGACTTTGCTGTCCTCTTGGAACGGGGTCGCCCCCACCATCCAGAAGAAAGGCGACGGACAGGACCTGGCATTCTCCTCGCACTGTCTTATTCCCTGTTTGCATCTGCTTGACATTCTAGCCAGACCACAGTCGAGCCATAGATCCTTTGTCCGATCAAGAAATGCACTCGAGCGCCTGCTAGCGTTACATGTGGTCTTTCCCCTGCGAACGATATTCAACGAACAATTCACCAAAAAATGGAGAGCCACAGCAGAGGTTTTACTTTTCGAACAGATAGAAACCCTGCTGAAGGCCTATAGCAATCTCCTTCCTCTCATCGCGAGTGGGCTTTCCCAGCAGCTGGAGGGTATTGGTGTACCAAGCATTCAGGAACTTTCGTGGATTATCCTTGATATAGCTGCGCGTTCAATGCCCTTCTCAGACTTCCGCAGGAGACAGCTGGAACAACCATATGTCGACTCCTTATTCATTTGGCTTGTTCACATCAGTTGGCCTCACATTCCTCATATTACTTCGACTGGAGTCTTGCAACAGCCACTTCCCATCGGCTCAACTCCCGGACGTGAGCATAAATGGGCGTCATCGTTCGAACGTCTGATCGATGTTGCCCATGCAAGAAAGCTACAACTCAGTCCGCCGATAATCGCTTACATCCTACGGGCCGTGTTGTCAATGGACACCGAATCAGTTCCCTGGAGCCTCTTGGTCAAGATTATTTCACTGGATGTGAATATCTTAGTGTCAAATTCTGGCCTGTTCACTTCCAAGGACTTCTTGGATCAACTCTTGGAACGGATTGAGTCAAGTACTGTCTCTCAACGTGCGTATGCTCTGGTACGAGATCAAATTGTCCGTCCCTTACTCCGCGGCTTCGCTCGCTCAAGGGACCTGGATAGCTTTATCACTAGCTGGCAACGAATGCTGGCAGATGCAATGCGAGTTCGTTATACCTTAAGCCGTGATCGAGAAGACATCCCCGCCGTGCTGGCTTGGGAAGACGAAGACGTTTTCAACGAATTCAAAACTCTCATTGCAGTCTACGCGCCACCAAACATGGGTCAGCGAATGCTCAAATGTCTAGCTGAGCCGATCGCAAAGATTGGAGAGAAGATCGGTTCTACAGCCGATGTTTTTGCAAGATTAGCCATCTTTTGCGCAATCTTGGAAAGCACGTTACCTGAGGCCGGAAACGTCGGATTCGACCACCAACAACTGGCCGACCTACTCCTCGGGGCAATGAACGCTCTGTCTCGAAATTCCGATTATCAGGGTCAGCGCTGGAGGTTGAGGAAGCTAATTGGACTTCTGGTAGAGCTGATGGGCATGAAAGCTCTGCCAGTCAAGTTCGACTCTCTGCTGGAGTCCACCTATCACTTTGTGTCGCTAAAGGATATTCCGAAGTCCAATGACAATGTCGCTAGCAGGCAGGTTGCTATGTATCTCGAATGTCTCGAGTGTTTCTCCCTCCTTGTCCAGCTGGCTGCAAAATCGAGCCAATACCAGCCGAGACTGGAAGCGGAAATGAGTCATCTGGCAGATCTTATGCAGACCCTCGATGGACACTGCGTGACTTTGTGGGATGGACGTAGCTCCAACTGCGACAGCGCCCATAAATTGGTGGCTGCATGTGTCGGCAGGTTATTGCAAAGATCGGAGACAATCTCAATGTACCCCGAAAGCTTCAAGGTCTTCATTCACGCCTGCCTAGAAAATGTCTTTCGACCTTGGCCGCCAGATTCAGCCGTGGATTCTTCACCAGAGTTGCGTGATCTCTTACTAGCTGTGTTGCAAGTTGAGCAAATTCCCCGTGCTCCCGATCTGCAGCTGTTGGTTTTCGAGTACGTGGACAAGAATCTGTGGTCGACTAGCAGACGCAGAAAGGTTTGTCTGAGTCTCCTGCACTATCTCTCTATGGATACCATGAGCAAGCCAGCAATAAAGAGCTTTGTGACTTCAACACTCCGTCACCTTTTTGAGGAGCGCGAGCACGCAAAAATGGAGGTTGTTTCAGATGACTTGTGCCTATTGGCTTACTTGGATTCGACTTTCCATGGTGCATTCATTGACAGCAGGTATTGGCGCAATTGGATTGACTTCGCCGCGGAAGTACTCGATTGGAAATATCGAGAGTCCTCGCAAACAAAGGTCATGAACAAGCCAACATATGTGTCATCATATATGATGGTTGTACGAATGATGGACCGCGTCTTCCAGACAATCGCGCCGCGAGCTCTGGCTGTTTCGAAGCCCACAACGACAGAAATTCTGGCTTACATGGTAGCAACAGTCCAGAAGTTGGCGACGGGTGGTGAGGACTGTGTCCCACTCTCCTGCTTGCGAATCTTTCTTGAATGTTCATACCAGTTGGGCAGCGCAATGGACAGTGGCAATCAACGTAAGGATGTTGGATTCTTGCAAGCATTTCTTGCAAGGCGTGTGAAAGCGGAATCCGACCAAGCTCTTTCCGATATACTAAATCACGCAAACCTCCTCAGACTGCAGCTAATTGTTGACGCCGTTCAGTGCCTTAGCAAAGGCGGCCTGAAGGATGAGTTGCGACATATCACCTCCTCTATTCAGGATAAGATTGCGCACGCAGAGGGAGTCGCTGGGAAGGAATATGCCGACAAGCAACTTCGGCGAATGAAGCTTTCCCTTCGACAACACATCCAATCTACTCTGCCCGAGAAACAGCACGTCCAAGAGCTGGCTTCCTTAATCACCCCTCTAGACAATTACACGAACGAGGGAATTGCAGCTCTTGCTGCCGAGGCAGAGCAATTTGTTTGCCAGCTTGAACCTGCCAAGTGGTCCGTGGCGCTTGAGTTTCTTCGCAAGAGTGATCAAATGGAGTATCAGCCAGCATGCCCTATTATTTCGGCTTGCATCTTAGTACGTATCAAGATGCAAGAAATATTACAATACCCGAACCTGGCCCGGGACTTAGCAGAGATCGCTTGTGTGGCCAACACGTCTGCACGGGTGGGCACTACCGGACTATTCCTTGCCTTGGAAAACTGCAATACTGTGCTCCAACTTCATCCACTAGTGGTAAACCAATCGATCCTAGATCGGTTGCTCGCATCTATACACGCCGCGGCCTCAGCCGGATCCCACAGCGTGCGATCACTGAAGACCAGCAATTCAGAATGGGAACCACGATCAGCCGACATTTATCAACGAATTTGTATAGTCATCGGCGCTATCCTTGGAAGACACCGAAGACGCCTCACTGATCGTTATCATCTGTTGCTTCCGATTTTGCAGTGTCTTCTGCGATGTCTGTTTTGGCCCGGGCATAAAGCGCTGGAAAGCCAACGAGGGGCCACAGCCAATGCAATCAATGCTTTCGGAATGTCGCTGCCCAAATGGCTACACGAATCTGCAGAGCCCCTACCACTGTCCTCGGCTGAGCAATTTTCTCGCTTATTGTCGTCAATCTGCAATCCCACGGTGGCAGCTGCACGATCATCAAGTAAGGGCGGGCACAACGAGCTTAATGACGCAGTGAACCGAGCTCGAAAACTGGCAGGCCAACACATGCAGTATCTAATCATGGAATATTGCCGATGTGTTCTTGATGGCCAGATATCCCCGTCGATGAAGGATCACTTGCTGCCTGGTATGTACAGGATCATGGATGCGCTCGACAGAGATGTGATGAGGGCAATGAATGCAGGCCTAGATCCAAGTAGCAGAACTATCTTCAAAGGGCTGTACGACAGCTGGACACAATTTGGCAGGTGGGACAAGAGTTAGACGATGTGCTCGTCAAGATAGGCTCTCGGCGGAAGATGCATGATGAATGAGGCCACGTAGGAAGGTCAAATTCAACCGAGCGAGCTGAGACACATATATTCGCTCAGCAATCCCTCCCACACCAACGCCTGACCATGCGGGAGAAATAAAGGCCATTCGATCCAGTACTAGGTGTTGCTTGGGTGTTGTCCGCCAAATACAGGCCTGGACTTCATGGCTCTAACTGACTAGACAAGTTCTCTGGTTGGCGAGCACCAATGACACTTGATTTCATTCTCACGAGCACCAGTTTGCCCTGTGTTGCCTCCCACGTCCTCAAACCCTAACTCTATCGCTCGCCCACACCCCTTTAGTCGCTGATGATGAGACGAATCGATGTACCTCTATCTGGCCACGGATGTGGGATGACAGGCTGTGTAACCAATTGCACAGCGTGGGCCCTTATCCCATGACCTGTCGTCAAGCCGACGGGAAATGAAAGGTGACCTCTCACTTGCACCCGCCTACCTTCTCAGTTACTGCTTTCTGACTTTTAAATTCTGCTTTTTCTGCTTTCTTCGCGCGGCCACCAGATACTGCAAGTCTACAGCAGGCCATGTCATCAATCACAAGGCGTAGTCCTACGGGCTTCTGGACCGAGCCCACGCACAGTGGCTGGGCGCAACACGAACCGGGCGCAGAGGCACAGCCCGCCCGCTCTGCAGGAGAAAAACACACCTGAATTGCCAACGACAGCTCTGCACTTCACCGGGCCTCCTAAGCACGATTGGCCAAAGGGCTTTTGGTGTGCCGACAAATTCGAGCCGCGTTGCACCGCCGGTAGTTTTGTTCAATGCCCTGCCAGCACACCAAGCACGCCATTACTGCACCTGCCTCTGTACCTGGTTCTAATCTGATGACAGCAGCTATGCTTTTCTTTCTCCGCAAGGACCCGGCTGTGATTTGCGAGAAAATTTGGCCTCAGCGGCCCGACTGTCACTGCTGACGGAGAGCCTTGTCTGTGGCTGGAGGCTCCGTCATGCGCCGGAGAAGCACTGCAGCAACTTATGCCCGCTCATCGACCTTGTGACTCTAGCGTTGTATTCTGTGCATGGTAAGGCGAATAGCGCACACGGCAACGTGTCGGATGATAACATAACGAAAGGAGTGACTACCAACGCTAAGAAAACTTACCTCCGGATTTGGCTCGACAGCGGTACAACACGAGAGGCGAGACTCAGCTTATTTCAAGCCGGCAGTGGTCGAGGTTGGGCTCTATGAGCAGCTCGCCCGGAGTCGGCAGTCTAACTGCAGCAGACATTGGTGGGTTGCGAAACAAGAACCAGAAAATATTCCACAAAGACCTGGTGACCGCACGTTGCCCGGTTCAATGCCCTGGCGCTTGAGCTGTACGACGCCGAGTGCGGCTCTGCTACTGGGGACTTGCGACTTGCAGTCTAGACGTACGTGGAGAGGAGAGAGTGCTAGTGGTAGTGGTAGCGGATGGATGTGCAGTAGGGAGCCGAATCAGTGCATTGGATTGGAGGCCTTGAAGTGTTGGGTTTTCGTTAGATTGTCAAGCTGCCACACAGCGAGTTCGAACTGGGAAGGATGGATGTCATACCTTGTACCAGGGACCTACTCGGGACATACCGAGTCGGGTAGTCAGTCCTTGATATTACCCCGTTTCTTCGAGCTTGTCCTCGGTACTTGGTACCGGGGCGGAAGTGACAAGCGAAATCGGTCTTGGCGGCACTATTGAGGTTGGCAAAGTGGGGAAGTCACGTGTGGATGTAGCTACTTATGGGTAGTGGCTGTGAAAAAACTCCACCGCGAGGAGGAGGCTGAGGAGGCTCTGCAAGCTCTTCCCTCCGATCATTTTCCATTTCGAACCATTCTCAAGGTTGCATGCAGCCTGATCTTCTTACCTCCTTTCTCCCACCAAAAGCCGGGTGGAAACACCATGCAGCTGAACCCCATCTTTTAGCTTCCGAATCAGTCTACATACACGAGCCGGACATGTGTCAGTTTGCCAATCGGCCCGTCGGCTTACGACAGGCAAATACTCAATCGATGATCCATCGACACATGAGGCTCCGCGTGGGTCATTGGGATTTTACCCCTGCAATCAACCATGGACATATTTCACGACAGAGCTAATGGCTGCATCGGCTCCAACTTGAGCCTCATTGCTTGCCCTCTCTCCTCCTCTTCCGGTGTGATAATGATTCTTCGTTCCCACAGAGCCCGTCATCTTCTGTTCCACCCTCGTTGCCTCATGATTACGCTAGAAGGAGCTCCCGTCTCTACACCATTTCTTCGCTGTCGTCGACGGGCATGTCCTCTCGCTTCTCCCAGCTGCCGTTCGATGTGCTCCATCAGATTGCAAGCCAGCTCGACATTTGCTCGTTCGATAGACTGGCGAAGACGTCCAAGTCTTTGCGTCGACACCTTCAGAATGAAAATACCGCAAAGCATGCGATACAGGTGCCCTCCTTGAGGCATTATCTACAATGGGGCATCAGCTGACCACATCAGGCGAGTCTGGGGCATTGTCTTTGGGTGCAGCTTGCCCTGTCACCAGCACAGCCTGGTCCCAGGCAAACCCTCGCTCGGGTCGTCGACTCTCATTCTGCGTTGCAACGGGCGTCACCATACTCGGCTTGTATTATAGCATACGCTAACAGTTTCTCGTACAACTTGGGGATTCTATGCTATACGACTTCGAACACTCTTCGCATTCTAAATTTCAACGATCGTCGAGACACCGAGAAGGTCTTCGGCAGTGGGGTCTTCACCGATCAACTCAGCATTGCGAGTCAGGAAGGAGCCAGTATAGACCTCGAGTCCATCAAGTCTATTCAGGTTCAGAGTTACGCCGATGGCATGGTGGTGTTACAGTGTGATTTTGGTCCCTTTGGGCAATATATTCTCGCAGTGAATATAGATGATAAGAAACCTGCGAATTCGTCGGGGTTTGGCCCTCGGCCTCGCGTTCGATTATGTGTACCGATCCGATCTAACAACAAGCTTTTCGTCCGGAACAATGACAGGTTCATAGTTTTGGGTTCTCACTCGGCCACCGGTAGTCACAACCACCATGAGTGGTTGCTGGATGTCTACAGTCTGGAAACGTCTGAGGCGGTAACTGCTCAGCCACTGCAGCTACGAGATTTCTACGGCTCAGAAATAGGATCGACAGCGTGTTTTACCATCTACCAAGACGAATTCTACGCGGTCACGAGCCAGACAAGCTTTGAGAGCGAGGAGGTGGACTGGACAAGCTACTACCATGTCATCAAGTTTCGCCTGGACGACCCAGACCCGGAACTCACAATCAAACTCATCTGGCGACGACAGCACCTCGAAGGACCAATAAACGACGCTTGGAATGACCTTGGCTTCCAGATAGACTACTCCACGGGCGAACTCTTAGTGGTCGAGGGGCGAAAAGAATGGCTCAACGGCGGGAGCCGATCAATAAGGACTTATTATACGCAACCCATACGCCGCGCGGATTTCAAGGACTTGAAAGAAGGGTTACGACATCCCCCCAACGATCGCCTAAGTACCACATTAGACGAGCACAACAACAGTCGATGGGAGGAATCGATGGTCCGGGCAGATAGATACGTTCATGCCGAGTTTCGAGCCGACGGCAGTGGCGAGGAGACGGGAAAAGAATATATCCGAGCTAAGACAAAGTGGAACGGGTACTCTTTCAACGCGCAGGCTTTCGTCGATCTCGTCACGGATGACGTTGTCATGGAAGGCGAATGGCGCCCTCGGCAACGCATCAAACTACGTGTGGTGAGCAGACAGGAGCTCGGTCCTCTGGTCCAAGACACGGTGAGTCCTGTAGATTGGGTGCTTCGTAAGCCTATACGGGATCGGGAGGGCCAGGAGATGGAGGATGGAGAGAGAGCCTTCACGCCGAGTAGCGTCTGTCTCTGGCCCCGGGATGATGCCCCCCAGGATCTGCACGAGATTCTCTGCCCTGAAGGCCGAGCTGGAGACGTCAAGGCAATGCTGGGGGACGAGGGAATCATATATATGGCCGGCCCGCCGCGGGAGCCGGGGTCGGAGGAACGGGCTCTTGTTTTCGTCTGCTTCGATCCGACCTTTGGCTTCCAGGGGATGCGACGGCTCGACGGGAGTCTTGCCAGGCCGAGATCGGAAAAGAAGAGAAAGATGGAGGAGGACCGCGAGTTCGAGGTTGATGTGCTGCAGCAATCTGTCAATGTGACGCAGAGCCCGGGGGTCGAGGTCGACCTTACGGACGGTACCAAGCGGCTGAAGCTTGAAGCCAGGACTAAAGCAGCAGACGTTGGAGATTCAACTTCTTCACCGTCTCGCGGCGACGAGCAGGAAATCGCCGTCCTCCCACAGGGAAACAGGATGGCACAAGCTCTTGGTCTTGATCCCGCGCCCCTTGCTGACATGACCCAGGACTGGCTTCCTTCGATAGCGTCTAGCTCAGAGTTGCCATCGACGTTGCAGTCTCAGAGGACGTCGCTGCCGCCAGGCTCGAACCTGAACCTGACGCCGCCGCCGCCGCCGCCATCGTCGCCAGCAGCCTCGCGTCCTCAGTCCGCCTCACAATTTGTCCCAGGCTCGGATACCACGAGGCAGACGGGGCAGAGTCACGGGAAAGGCAAGGGACCAGCACCTCCTCCCAACCGACGCTTGACATGGCGGGAGAAAGCGATGTACATCGCCATCGGAAAGGGATATTGGCTACGCTAGGTAACCAGCTTGTGTGCCCGCTACTGCCTTGCCCACATCCTCATCTCATTCTTGTGCGGGTGAGGGGGGGTGTCTCTAGCTAGCTCGGTGCGGCGAGGTCGACAAGTTTTCGAGCTCAACTCTCGATCAATACATGAAACCCAAGGCAAAGGGTGACCAAAGGGAAGGAAGGGAAGAGGAGGGGGGAGCAGGAGGAGGAAAACGATCTCTGCAGCGTTCACAACAGGCATTTGGCGGATGCATTTCAGGCAGTACATACTTTTTGTTAAATGGGCCTTGGAATTGTCAATAGTTTTCCTCATCTCTGGTCACGGCGCACTGGTGACTAGCTACAGCCGCTCCGTTCCTCCTCCTCCTTTTCTTTTACAAGTATTTTCGATTTCCTGTTATTGCTGTTGCGGTCGTTGTTTAGCCAATCTTTGATGAGTTTTCTCTCGATTTGATGACGGGCCTAGGTGGGAAGGGAACCCCTGTTTCCGGAACTCACAATCAAGTCGACTACTTGTCACCGCGGAAGCAAAGACGGTGGTGAGTTGCGTTGCTCCTAAAAATCGTTGTACTCTTGTTGTGCCTCGGTCTGCAGATCTCATGCGCAAGGTGAGTTCCCAGATCTGGTTCCAGTGTACCAGAATGTCGATACAAGGTCCCTGGACCTCGTAGTACAGGTAGAATAGGCGAAGACAACAGGTGGTGTGAGGATAGATAGCCTTCTCGTCTTTTGGCAAGGCTGGGCAGATTGAGCTGCCAAGACAGGCTCCGATTGGCTGGTACCTTTTTTCGTGAGCTGGTTGCTGTTTCCGCTCGGAACTGCGCAGGTTGTCAAAGCTGTCGGTTTGACAACAGCTTGCAACCATCTTCTCTCTTCACGTCCACGAGGCAATACATACACCTGGGTCGCTCCGAAGGTACGACGTTCCCGCCCGACTCTGGGTGTATTAGTAACAGAATCGCTTGAAGTCTTCAAGATGCCGGACGACAATGTTTCGAGCCCTCCCTTACCGGCACCCAAATCAAGACCAGTGAGCGAAGCTCTATTGAATGAGAAGGTATGTGCACAATCGAGACCATTGATCGGTAGAATGCCCTTGGCTTGGAATGTCCATGCAAATGGCCTCCCGACGCAGCATCCTTCCCATTTCTACTGCGCATTGAGAGAGAGAAAAGGTCAATTGCTGACGTTGTATGCAGTGGGATCGTGCTGTTTCGTCCTTTGTCATCAGATCCGCACTCGGATTTTCCTTCGGTGTCATATTCTCAGTACTGTTGTTCAAGCGAAGAGCGTGGCCAGTGTACTTTGGAACCGGCTTCGGCGCCGGAAGAGCTTGGGAAGAAGCTGATGGTGGGTCGATCCCCCAATCCTTGAGATAATGGAAGCTGCGATATTGACAGGAATCTAGCAAACTTCAAGAGAGGCGACACATACAACACCGACGGACTTCGAAAAGTACGGACCGATAGGTAGCCGGATTTTGGAGGCGTCTTTTGTTTTGCCCGAAATCGCAATGGAGAGTACAAATGTGTACAACATGTACAGAGCACCTCGTTGAGAGGAACAAATGGTGCCCTTGAGCGGTCTGAATTATTCTCCCGATCCATGTCTGCTTGGTCCAGCTTGCACAAGCCTGCCTGTCATCTGCTCGCCTTCTCGTTCTCAATCTCCCGGCGAAGGTTTTCCAGTTCTGCCTCCCGTTTCCTCAAGTGTGACTCGAGACCGTCTATTTGCTCCGATACCAATGCAAGATCATCCCTCAGTCTCTTCAGATCACCGCCTGACTTATTCCCATTTTCTGAATTGAGCTCAACGTATTGTCGTTGCTTGTACTCTAGCATTTGCTGCGCCTCGCGCTTGACCAGCGTCCAATTCGTTTTCCCCGGTTGTCTGGGACCTCCATTCTCCAATCTTTGCTTCCGCCTTCGATCCGAGGCTGCGACCGCGGCATCATGCTGGGATTCCAAATCGCGCAATTCGCGTAGAAGCCTGACTTTCTCCAGGTCCTCGTCCTCCACCACATCCGAGAAGTCGGTGCCTTTGGGCTGGTAGGAAGAGCCGCCCTTTCCGCCGATGCGGCTCAAATAAGCATCTCCGAATTTGGCTTTTCGTCCTGTAGACGTCTCCTCATCGTACTTGTTTGGCCTGTTTCTGACATTGTCAATCTGGTAGTCAATCTTATTCCCTTCGAAGCTTGCCCTCAAGCTCGGCGGCACAGTGCGCGGTATCCTATACCCTTCATGACGGTAATTCAGGATATGCAAGAATGCGAGGCAGGCGTCTTTAGGGATGGTATCTCGACCACTCGTGTTGATGAGGTTCCACGCACTCCGCACATCTGTATCCGGCACATCCAGGCTGGAGTAGAGCGTGTGCAGGCTTTCGAAGCTGATCTCCCCCCTCCGATCCTTGTTTGCAGAGTAGATCTCCTCGTACTTTCGCTTGTCGCCAGGGTTCATGTACCAATCGAAGCCGTCCTTCAACCCAGCGTCTTCTTCGTCATCCTCGATCCTCTCAAACTGCGCCTGTTGGTGGCCAGTCAAGGCCCGGTTCGCCTGGACCAAGTGGGCTTTGGATTCTGGGACGAGCCAGTCAGGCAGACTGGGAGGCACGTCCTGGTATTCGCCATTGACGAGGTCGAAGATGAGTCGCATGGCGACACAGAACTCCTCAAAGTCCAGCTCGCCATCCCCATCGACATCCGCAAGATCCCACACACGTTCGAGCTGGTCATCCCGCAGCTGCGAGTTGCGGAGGACATTGGCTGCGGCCTGGTTGGTCAGGCGCGAGGAGGGTGTGGCGGGCTGCTGGACCAGCGAGGAGAAGATCTCCCAGTATCTGTCAATTTCCCATTTCTCTATCCGCTTGGTGCCTGACATGTTGGATTGACGGGTTGAGGAGGCCGGCTCAAAGAAGGAACAAGCGCAGCAGCGAGGAGGAACGACGGGAAGGGGAATGGAAACTCTGCAAGACGCTCACGATGGCAAAACAAAGAACGAAATCCTTTGCATTTAATTGCAACCCGCCATAATCAACCATCTAGTAAGGGACGTCGGTAGCTGTTGGATTCTGTGCACGCAGCAAGTCCGCAAGCACGTAACTGACAACTACTAAGTGGTCAGCAGTCTGGGGAGAGATGCTCCGGCCGCTTTACCAAGGGGCCTAGGAGGCTGGCGCGTGGGGGCCTGTTTGAGACACCAGTTGACCGCGCCGCTTTTACAAATGCTCAAAAAGGACATACCTATATTCACTGCCAAGTACATACACTGCAAACTGGGGAAATCCGTGCTAGACAGCGCAAGAAGTATTTTCAGACATCGTCGCACCAGTACATGATATAGACTTTTCTCGAGAATGAGCCTAAATCTATCTCATTATTCCCTCTCCATCCTCCTGGCGCATAATGGCCAGGCCATGAACACTAATCCACGATGGATCAATTACCGCTTGTTGTGGCGCTTCGACGCTCGAGATCCCAAATACTGATCTGTTTCCGTTTGCCGTTATTCCCACTTACATCTTTTGCCACTTTCTTGCCAATTCTGGCGGACATAACATTGTCTGCGGTTGCGCCGACGTTGCTGTCATCTTCACTAGTGACTTCGTCCTCGCTTGGCGGGGATTCTTCCGTTGCGCCTCGGAACGGTGGGATGGTCTTGTCAATCTCCAGCATGATGACACGCGCATCCGCAAGAAGTCTCAATCGTTTGGCGTCACAGTTTGCGTGTGAGTCCTTAGAATCCCAATCATCCATGAAATTCGATTCTAGAGGGAAAGGTGTATGCGGTTCGAGGTTCTTATCTTTGACCGCGTTGTCGGCCTCGATGGAACCAACAGTTTTGACAGCTTCAAAGGCTCCGCTGATGTGGGAAGCTAGACTATCATGGTAGGTTTCGAAGATGGGGATGTTGAGCGCAGCATAACTAGCTGGATCAATGGGTGCCGAGGGAGGGCGACGTCCAGTGATGTCGTAACAGTCGATCGAGTTGATCTTTTACACATTGAGAATCCTCGAGTTCGCAACGTCCCATATGCAAGGGTTGTGTTCGTCCGATTCGATGTACTGCTTGATTTTACCATCGATGCTAAAGCCCATACGGACCTGGTCCCTGGGAAGCAAGGGGAGCTCTAGGACCTCAGGATTGTCGTCATTTGGGTCCCATTGCTTCAGATGAGCCCCATTTAAAGAGATCACCTGCCGCATAGCTGGGCGTGGAATCTTTCATAGATGGCCCTTTTCAACTAGTCAAGATTCCGTGGCGCTTTCGCAACAGCGGTTTGCCTCTCACCGTTAATCATGACACGCATGCAGCGAATGTTGCCATTACCACCTCCCCGCAAATGAGTGACGACAAATATCGTCCCTCTCTGTGTCATAAGTGAAGGCGGTTAGCTACACCAACTGGAATGAGAGGAGTGCGATTTGTTTGAGATACCCTTTCCTTCAATCTGTAACCAGTCTGGAATGTTTGCAAAATGGATCCCGGCTGTGTCGTGTGCCGGGTAAATCTGCAACTGTATCCCAGCGACGCAATCCCGTCCAGTAAGCTGCCACTCGACGGAGCACTCTACCTTCCTGTCCGAAATGGATTCAGTTTGCTTTTCCAAAGGCCGTACATTTCTGCCGCTTTCGTCCTCTGTAAATGGCGTTGTGTCATTGACTTCGGCACTCATTGGGGTAGCAACGAATTGTTTGAAAATTCCAGGCTGTGTTGCAATGCCGTCAAGCCATTTTTGCTGTTTTGCTGCGGAAGAACAATATAATCCCGCTCCATGTTAATGGTATTAATGCGCTTGAGCAGAGTGTCCTCATGAATGAGATTGAGAAAGCACATTCATCGCCGGCCATAACACTGATACAGCCTGCGGGCTGTCCCTCGTTACCACCATTATTGGGTTTGAAATTTTGGCCTTGGTCAGCAAAATTTGGGTTTCGACGGGACGTGGAAGAAGCCCTGCTGAAGAACTCTGCCAGGGTCTGGTTGACATGTATCTTGTAACCTTTCAACTGGTCATAGCAAGGTCTTCCCGAAGTCGCCTCAACGGGCTTTGTGCAAACATCCACCCATGTCGTTGAGATAGGAGATTCCCCAAGATTTGAACTCATCGGAGCCCATGAAGCCTAGAAGTAATGAATTACACGAGGGTCGTGACGAAAACATCCTAACACTGATTTACCTGGATAACCTCTGATTTCCCCAATTATGCTGCTCACTGGAAGATCGCTCTCAAGTTGAAGGGTGATTGAAAACTCCTCGACTTCCCCAGTCTCTGGCGATATCCGCTTCAACCCGTGGATATTGATTGGAATAGGAGACGCTCTCGTGGGAGGCGTAGTCTTTATGCATGAGTTTTCGAGCTCCAAATCCTCTTCTTCACACACGACATTCCTCAAAAGAACATTATGAGGGCAAAATTCTCGCTGGTCGAGATTCAACGTAGCTTGGTCATATCCTTCGGTCGGAAACCTCCAGGTGGGATATTCACAGCACAACGACCCTATTGGGCGATTGTATACTTACAAGTAATGGTTGCTTGGCTCGATGCACTATCTCTAAATGAGGTTCTTATCGTGTACGACTGCGACTACCCGCTGAGATTTCAAAGCTACCGAGCGCTGGTGTCGATCGTACTGCCAGCTCCTTGATTGCGGGCTCCACGAGAGTATATACTTCGCTTTACTCGCTCGAATATCGTCAAGTTTCAATATTGCACGTCCGAACAAAGAATGGAGCGATATACAAAGGATCTTGGAGGCTCATCAAAGTGGTCAGAGGTCGCATGATCTGTTGTTCAGTGAAAGACATCATCCGCAAAGGGGCGGAACGATGAACAAATTGTTGCGATCTTTCAAACAACAATTGCGACTTCGGGGCAAGATCAGTTAAGAACCTTTTCCGTATTGTTGGCCCGAACGACATGCTGTTCACTACGCTTGCAAAGAGGGAAGACCGTGCCGCAATGCCTGAACCTCGATGTGGTGTGCCTAAGAAAATCATACTTTGGGTCGATCGCAAGACATGTCCGTAGAACACCTCGGATTCATGCGCAAGAATCAGGGCCTGGAGGCATGAGCAAATCAGGGTCAAGAATGAGGCATAATCCGACGCACCTTCTTCACAACGATGCCTCCAAGGCTGTGCCCGATCCAGATGATAGGTCGATCGCGAGCATCCTGACACGAGTTGACTCAATACTCGCTAAAATAGGGCTCAGGATCTCTAGCATACCTTGTCAGGTTACAGGTGTCTGAGCGACCTAAGTCTATTCAGGAGATTCCTTGCAAAATGGTGATGCTTGCACGCGATGCACTGAATGCTAGTGTAGAGTCGTATCCAAAAGTCATGATTCGAGCCTCTGGAATAGCAGTAGGGAGAAAATCTCTCGGCCAGAACTTTCGTCCACGTTTTCCGCGCGTCCCCTCCGAGGCCATGGATTCCAATGATACTGTCCTCGGTCAGCCATCGCCAATCTCGGCCATAGCTCTCTCCACTGAAAGAACAAGACCATACTCAACTTTCGAATGCGACTCTATCACCTCGAGATTTGCAGGCGGGTTACAATGAATAATCCATGCTCTGCAAGCTCCTCAGGACCCGGCCCAACTCAGTTTCCGTTTTGAAGAGAACAAGGTCGACCTGGACGCCTTTGAAACCCCTCTAGATGGAGCGCAACAATGGTGACATTGGGAGGAGGACCGTGTGGGCATCCCGCAAGGCTGGCCTCATCAGAGATGGGAGTGAAGTTTCTGGAGCGATGAAGACATTGTGGCACTGAGTCTGTCGCCGAAGGACGGACCGGTTACAGCTCACACCAATGTTTGTCTTACAGTCTGCATCAGGAGGCAGGCAGCTTCAGAGGCGTCGCAGGTCGGTAGGTAGACTTGTCTCGGCCTCGGGAAGCACAAAAGTTGCCTGGGCAGCCTTAGCGAGGCTGTGCTGTCTTTTCACCGCCACGTCGGCTGACCTTTCTCACCTTATCAAGTACGAAGTACGTCTCAACACTCAGATGAGTTATTCCTTTCTTTCTTACTCTTCTAGACTGTTAGCTTCTGTCGCATCCTCGGCCTAATCTCGTGGGAATACTGCGCTATAACATATACTATATGACAAGCCGTCAGCAGTGAGAGGTTGCATCTCTTTGCCATGCTGAAGATCCACCTTCAGACACTACCTGTACCTTGGGAGGGACTAACTGTTAACGCGCTTGTCGTCTGGGATCGTTCACATTGGGATGAGAATGCCTTATCATCTGCCTATGGTCTACAGCCTTGAAATTCGAGCTATTGTTTTCGACGGTGGTTTCCTAAACACGACCAGAAGCTATCAAATGTGGTTAGCATGACGCCTGATTCAACCGCTTTGCCCAATTCCACGTCTCTTGAATTCAGCCTTACCAAGCCGTCTAGCACTCTGGGCACATCAAGGCGTAGCCAGTACCTTTGGCATCTGATATATCTTGTGGCTATATAGCACAGGAGACAGGTAAGTCCCTTTTACATCTTCTCAATCTCCAGACCAGCAGCATGCACATCCCCCTCGACAAACGATACTTGTTCTCGGGCAAACAAAATGCATTCAACCTCAATACTACTGGCATTGTCAGCATATGCATTATCTTCGTCCTCTTCGTCGTCATGACGAGTTGTCTTTGTGTGGCCAACCTACGAAAGAGACGGCAACAACGATTTGAGCGGTTTCCGCGAAAACCATATGCTATTCGCACCATCGAGAATCGATCAACACGACAATCTCTTCGCTCCAATCGACCTTTGGGCCGGAATGCCCAGAGGCTTGCCGACACCCATGTCAAATCCCCTGCTCCGGCACATGTTGTCGGTGACACCTTTGAGCCTTCGGAGCCTCCGCCAGCTTATCAAGCATAATTGATACGCGAGACTCCTTCCAACAGTGCTCAGCATATTTCAACATCACTGTTTCTTCGCTGGCGAATGCGGGGGCTATGACTTTGGAGACATGTAACTAAGAACCGGAAAATTGGGATAACTTATTGATACCCGGTCAAATCACGAGCAGGCCCGATCGTTTCAGCCTTGAAAGGGAAACAGAATCTCTCCATTTTCGGTAGTTTCATAATGATTCCTCGACCATTGCTTTGATTTCCACCCTCTGACTGTCCTCTGTCTCCCTTTTAAGGACCTCAATGCCATCCTCAACATCCACCCCCACTTTCTCCTTCTTCACTCTTCTCTCCGTGGCTTTCCAACCCCGTATCTCCGCCTTGCACAACCCCGTACCGGCCAGGTCGCACTCGCCACACCTCCTCCCGATAGGCAGACACACCGTCTGCCCTAAACCCACAAGCATCTTGTTGATCTCGTGCCATTTATCGCGAGGCAACCACCCCTCCAGCCAGGCCCTCGTCTCCTCCGGTGTTTTTGTTTTATGCCAACCCCAAAGGTTTGTGATGCGATGGACGTGAACATCTACGCCGATTCCTTCATCCACACCCCATGCGGCAGACATGCAGAGGTACGCCATCTTCGGACCCACTCCTGGTAGGCGGACAAGGCCCTCTATAGTATTGGGGATGTCGGAGTTGTATTCCTGCTTCAAGATCGTGGCGACTTGCTTGATGTACTTTGTTTTGTTGTTATGGAAGCCAACTTTACCGATTAGGCTGTCGAGATGCTTAGAGTCACAGGCCACCATGTTGTCGACTGTCAGGGTCGACTGTTGTATTTCGTTGTCTGGAGTGGGCGATTGAGGAACCAATTCTGTGTGTAGGCGCTGCATAGCGGCCGCTGTCACCGTATCTTTTGTTTGGGAAGATAGCATGAGGCTTGTTAAGACGTGGTACCGTTTCTCTCGTGGCGGAGCGGCAGGCCAAAATAATTCTTCACAGCCCATCGTGTCGACCGGAGCAGTTGGGTTCCTTTGTCGCATAGCCTTGATTGTATCATATATCTCGGCCCAGTTGGATGGAGGATGTATTCGTACTGTCCCTGACAGCGACGTTGTCCTCCGTGCGGGCATCTTGGGTTTTGCTTTTGCTCGCCCACTAGGCAACGAGTCTAGGTTTTCCTCGTCACCCTCCTCCTTGATCCTGCGAGGTGAGGTCCATTCGGTTGTGGTCGTAACCACCGTCGAAATGAACGGCGAATCAGAGCCGAACTTTCTCTTTCTGCTCGAGCGAGACGACGTGCTGAGGGCGTCCTCAATATCTGGAGTCGAAGCGGCGTCTCCACCCGCCCCGTCCTCTGCTCTCTCATCTTCTTCTTTTGTCTCAAGAGTTGGATCGTATCCCATCGCAAACGAAGCCAGTCGTTTCGAACTCCGCGTTGTTCGTCCGGAGCGACTGTTCGGGGACAGAGCATTGAATATTCGGGTGGTTTCCTGCGAAATCTTGGATGTCCGCATCTTGCACGGCCTGTTTACTGTTTGCAAATGAGATGGCGAGGTCGAAAATTGGTCAAAGTACTGTAGGAAGCTAGATCTCGTCGACCCCCTGGACGATCGCCGCTCTTAGGCAAGGAACGCGGTGAGTCGCGGTGAGTCGCGGCTCGATGGCTGCAAAATAGGCATTAGCTGGCCCCCACTGGTGGCGTTTCAATGGCTTTCCAGGCACAACCTCGGCTGCGCTGTGAGCTGACCTGACCTGTAGTTCTCTGCAGAGCTGTCATGGCAACAACACCACCACCACTTCTTTGGACTATGTTTCCCACCCTTCGATTCTATCCTCGATAAGACATCTCTATTCTAATCCCACAAATCTGTCTAAGCAGTCTGTTCTGAGCGGTCGCGATGACATCCACCCCCCGCGGCGGCAAATCTTCCTCGACTAACGCCCTCAAACGCCTCACGCACGAACTCCAAGACCTCCAGTCCTCCCCCAATGAAGCAGTCCTTCATCTCGGCCCCGTCAACGAAGAAGACCTCTTCCAGTGGGAAGCCGTGTTAAAAGGTCCTCGGGACCCGGCCTCCCCGTATCATGGCGGCTTGTGGCTCCTCTCCATTACCGTCCCAACAACCTACCCTTTCGCGCCTCCCAAGGTCCAATTCGTCACACCCATATGTCATCCGAACGTGCATTTCTCTACCGGAGAGATATGTCTGACGCTGTTGAGTGGTGAACATTGGGCACCATCGTATACACTGAGCACAACGATGGGTGCGATCCAACAGCTCCTCATTTCTCCAGGCTTGGACAGTCCTTTGAATGTGGATATTGCGAATTTGTACAGAGAAAATGATACCATCGGCGCTGAGAGCTTGGTGAGGTTTTGGACGGGTGCAAAGAGATGGGCTGGCGAAGGTAAAGGAGGGTGGCTGAGTGAGAAGAGGAGAGGAACAGGAGGGAAGATGGGGGAGTGAAAGGAGCGACATGGGTTGTGCTAACGATGTTATTGATATTTTACAAAGCATGGAGTCTGTTAAGGGCGTTCTCGAGAGATGATTTGGTACTGGTGTCTTTGGCGGTTTGGCATCGAAGATATATGTATTTGCCCTTTCCGAACACAGGAGTGGGGTGCAGCGAAGCGAAGCACGATACAAAGTATGTGTATGTCATCGAAGAATCAACAAGAGGGTTTGGGGACAGATTTCGAGTCCTCGTTCATTGAAGCCAGCATCTTTACCATGAGACCGGGAACGACGCAGGTGGTTGAAAGCTGTTGCCATGCGCAATGGAAATCGATGTTGAGATGAAAAGATCCACCACCATGAATGCCAGCATCGCCTGATATAGGGGATGTTGACAGGACTAGCCTCACTCGGAGGACTTCAGACACTCTGCAAGGTGGTATTCCAAAGATGTAATATGAAAACGTCCCAGGAAGTCGCAATGGAATGGCCTTGAGAAGAAACCACATGCGCTAGAGAACAAGAAGATAGCGTAGGCAGGTATCAAGGAGAGCTGCCGTCTTCTCTTAGCCGGCATGAGCATAGTATTATTCCATAGCCAACTTTCATATGAGAGGTTCTACGTTTTAGGACAAAGCAGCTTTGACAAGGCTGAAGAAATTCACTCAAAAGAGTAGCGCACCGCCGTACGATTTACTGTGGATCATATGATGCTCCTTATTTCGAACTTGGACGCGCCATTGACCTGCAGCCTCGTCTCCGGTCTGGTTTGCTTGAACATTTGTCGTCGTTTACCTGTGAATCCTGCACCCTCTGTCCTGCTCGTCCCGCAACTCTTTACTATTCCTTGAAGTACTTCAATATATTCTCCAGGAGACTTGATAAGCTTTTACGAGCTCACTCTGCGGCAGCGCCAGAATGGCAGACAGATACTCATTTTCCCTCACAACATTCTCGCCTAGGTACGTCGACCTTGTTTATTGCTTGCGTAACGAATCTTCCGTACTAACATGATGCAGCGGCAAACTCGTCCAGATAGGTATTTCAACGCTGCTGGCAATGAGCCCGACCGTCGCTTACTCTCCTTCCAGAATATGCCCTCAACGCAGTAAATCAAGGTGTCACGTCGTTAGGCATAAAAGGTAAGGAAGATTCTGCCCACGCTCCCACATATGGTGCTCATGATGAATCACAGCAACAAACGGCATCGTCCTCGCCACTGAGAAGAAGTCATCATCTCCCCTAATCGATCCTCCTTCCCTGTCGAAAGTATCCCTCATCACACCCAATATCGGCATGGTCTATAGCGGCATGGGCCCCGACTATCGAGTCCTGGTCGACAAAGCCCGCAAAGTTTCACACACGAACTACAAGCGCATCTATAATGAATACCCACCGACGCGGATATTGGTCCAGGACGTGGCAAGGGTCATGCAAGAGGCTACACAGTCTGGTGGTGTTCGGCCATACGGCGTGAGTTTGCTGATAGCCGGATGGGATGATGGGATTGAACCCGAGACTACTGCTGCAAAAGAGGGTGAGACCGAGGCAGAGGCAAAATTGGCAAGCAGGAAAACGGGCGGCATCCTCAAAGGAGGACCCAGCCTGTACCAGGTCGATCCTAGCGGCAGTTATTTCCCTTGGAAGGCCACAGCAATTGGGAAGAGTGCGACAAGTGCGAAGACATTCTTGGAGAAGCGATATAATGACTCTCTAGAGCTGGAGGTGAGAATATGCCCGGACTCTCTTCGGAGCACAAAGCTGACGGCCCGTCTCAGGATGCCATTCACATTGCGCTGCTAACTCTCAAAGAGACCATCGAGGGGGAGATGAATGGCGACACAGTCGAGATCGGCATCGTGGGTGAGCCTGCAAACCATCTCCTCGGGTATGAGGGTGTGGAGGGATCGGTGGGCCCACGGTTCCGCAAGCTCAGCAAAGAGGAGATAGAAGACTATCTGACGAATCTGTAAGAATAATGCTGGATCAATGAAAGACGCAGGTGCTCAAGCGGAGGCTTCAAAACGTGGGTAAGGGAAAACATGTCTTCCCCCATGCTCTACGCCCTTGCTGCCGCCTTCAAGGAAAGGATACGGCTACGAGGCTGCAATTACTAGCCAGTAGTTACATGCGATGTCGCTTTGCGCGGGGGCAGTGCTAGGCAACTTTTCTCGATTCTCCGTTCCTCATCACACTTTTGCCGCTGTTCAATCCTAGGTACGATATTCGTGTGGTGTTAACTCAAATCCAGCGTGACCACAGCCAAGAAGGCTCGCTGGATGGTAAGGGACCAAGATCGGTTCAACAAACTCATCCAAAAGCTAGCTGTACTCACCGGAAGGCTCCACGATCTGGTTCCAAGCTCTGAGGGGTTGTTGGAGCAGATGAGTCGGGAAGATTTCAAACGTTTGGGCGCCTTTCATATGGAAACAATCTGCGCCGCTGCGGAGAGAATCAATGGCCAGATCTTCTCCAGATTCGCCAGGTCATTCCTCCACGACAGGTGCCAGGAGAGGATACTGAAACTCCTCTAGTTTCGAACCATGAATGAGAGAAAGAGAGCTCATCTCTGCGCCCGAACATAGGACGTACTAGATTTCTAGAAAAACCAGGTTCGGGTAAGAGCACGTCGAATGGAAATGCTACACACAATCAACAAACGCATGACTTTGCTACAAAGATGGGCTGGAGAACTCAAGCTGCATGCTCCCAACTTCTGATTCTGGCATCTCGGTACTGGATGAGCAGATGTCGCAGTACGGTCTCTGCAGAGCCTTGCTGGGGCCGTGTGGAGCTGCCACTTCCATACATCAAATATGACGATAATGAAACTCCACCGAATACTTCTGTGCAGTTTATGCACAAGACTGTTCTCGAATTCCTGAACATTCCTCAGACTTGGACTTCGGTACCACTGAGTGTTCCAGACGATAAATTTAACGCATACGCCGTACTGACTTTCATCTCTACGTATCTGATCTATACTTACGCAAAGCTGCAAAGAATGAGTGCTTGTCAGGAGCCAAGCCATTAAGTGATGTCTCTTTACTGTACCATGCAACCCAGCGTCCTTCTGCCAATATCTGGGGAAGGACGCCTGGTTACATTTTTCGACTGTCCGAGTGCTGCTCAAAGCCGGCTGCAATCCCAACGAGATGGTTAGAGATGTCGAAACGCCACAATTCGACGGCGCGACTCCTTGGAGCTTGCTTCCTTGATGTCGTTCTTGCGAGCCGGAGCTGATCCGAATATTTTCGGAGCCGAAGAGAGTATCGCGAACCGTTTCCAGAACTTTAACTTCAGTGCCATTTCAAAGCATATGAGAGCAAACTTGATACTGACGTATCGGCTCAAGCACTCGTACATCCTCAGCCCCTTGGGCTCATACCAGTGGAACGACCCTGTCGCCCTTTCCCAACAGCCAGGGGGGCAATTTTGATCCAGATTTGAGGTTCGACGTTGGTCCAAGCAGAGCCATATGCCACGCAAGAGTAAATTCAAGATTCAATCACTGGGCGAGCTTTGAGAAGAGTATCCAAGCCGGTGAGGGTTGCACACATTTATGGGGAATGGAATGACTCGAACTAAGAAGCCAGCTGCGAATGGTCGCAGCATTGAGTGTTCATGATCTCTCATTCTAGGATAGCGCGGGATGACGTTGTCAACTGAGCCTTCAGCAAAAGGCCTCGCCGACCTTTCCATGAATTTGGTGCTTCAGTAACATGCTGACCATGAGAGGTGGAGGGAGGGTAGGGCCATAGAGGCTAAGAGTGATGAAGGAAAATTATAAGGTCTCTAGGGAGAGGAAGGGAGAGGGAGGAGAAGAGGGGAAAGGAAACATCGTAGAACCAGGGGATTTAGTTAACCCTGCCCAGCAACGTCGTAGGTCATCCGCTTAGGGATCCTGATCCGAGCCTACGAGACGTGCGTCGGCCTATGATCAAGACAGAACCAGCGCCTAAGCATAGCAAACATGGTCCGAGAGACGGGCGTGGCTTGTTACTTTACCTCGCGAGGCTGAGACTGAGGCTGGAGGGGACGATAAACATTACACCAGGACTCGGGATTGGGATCAACGGCGCAGGGGCAGGAGAGGCAAAACGGGCGTTTGTGGTACATGACGATTCATCATTGTCTCGCACGGCTCTCGTCGCCGCGGATAATGAGGCATGATGATGATCTTTCGAGGCGGGGGATTTGCACGGTCAAAAGATTCGTTCGACTCTACGTAGAGGCCAGGGAGACCAGACAAAAGACACATCCTCGGTTTTTCACACATGGTAATGGATCCGGGCTCGGCTCAGAAGATCACGATCGTGGCGCGCAAATCACAGGAAGGCCATGACATGTGGGAGAGGGGTCTTGGAATGCTTTTGTTCTTGTTTCCTCTAGAGTATCGGACCACATTCGACGAGTTTTGACGCCGCAAGGAGACAGTCCTGCCGAACGCCGTCCGCTGGTCTTTGGAAACTCCAAGCGAGAAAAATAGCAGACACCGTTCCCCGGCCAGGAAACCAACGAATGAAGAAGTCGGTTGGCCTGAGCGTGAAAAGCGTGTACCCCCAGCAGGAAACATCATGCGACATCGCTCCATCCGAAAACCCTGAGCATAGTCGAGGTGATGGTCACTACTTTGAAATAGAGTTGTATGACGCTCTTTGGTCCTTGTGTATTTTGCTCAAAGGTCACAACGAGTTGGATCACCAAAGTGACAAAGGAAGTTCCCGCGCCAAACATTATGCAGTTCTAGCGGACGCCCAGGTATAGAGGGTGAAAAATGCCCCGATCGTTCAAAAAACACAATAGCCATCTGATCATGCCTTCGTAAAAGTCGGAACCCAGAACAGTAGATAAGAATTCACTTTCGTATAGCAAAAAGGAGACACTTCTCCCACCAGTCCCTCAAAAGGAGCACGGAGGCGCGCCCGTCATCGCGTCTCTCGGTCCCGTCCGGGTTTCCCATGATGATGGCAAAGACCCAAAATACTGCCATGATCCAGGCTGCAATGGCATTTCCAATGCTGATTAGAGGAGACATAATGTGGACCAGAACCAGACAAACCGGACTGAACTCGAAGGTGTGAGCATTGTCGAGCGATTTCGCAAAGATCATTTGCAGATGATTTCGAAAGACCGGCGCAATCATGCGCACCAGAGATATGCTGGGCGAGCATTCTTTGCGACAGAGCCGGAGAGGGGCAAAGACCGTGATGATGAGGACGGCGAATATTGAGAACAGAGCGCTGAAAAGGCAGTGAAAAGGGTCGAGAAAGGACATCCACATCTGGGGGGTGTTAATCTTGACGAAGATACGAAGATACAAGAGGGTTTCTTACCAGAATCCACAGGGCATGGTCGCCCTCTATCTCTTCGTCCGCTGTGATTGATTTCTCTTGGATGTACCGGAATACGGCCGAGTTGTCTTCTATCACGGGTGTCCCCGCCTGAATGCTTCTTCTTGCTCCACGTCCCGATTGCTGTGAGCCCGAAGGGGAATGTCTGGTGATCGTCTCTTCTACCAAGCCCCTCTCTGCCATCGGGCCATATTGGTATTGTTTGTATGCGAGGTATGGCTTGGTTTCCGCCCCAATCGTCGAAGCCGACTCGGCGCTGGATATTGAAGTTTGGAGTCGAAGAGGGTCCTTCTGACGAGGGGTCGTCGGAGTTCGAAGAGTAGGAGACACATGTGCGATCGGAGGTTGTTGTAATGGAGGGGGACCGGCTGGGTGGTAACGACGTTCGGCCTGAGGCGAGTATGAACTGTTTCTTACTTGATTGTAGGCCGACGCACGTCTCGTGGGCTCGGGATCGGGCTCGAAAGACATTCTGATCGTCAGAAAGGCCGCTGGTGGGACAGAGCCTTTTCATCACCGAACTGGCGGGAGGAGCTGCTGAGGCAATGGGCGGTAGCTGAGGGCAGGAGCAGCGGATTGACCAGGTCTAGCAGAGGGGACATGGGGAGCAGAGATATAATGAAATACCAACATGATTCCAGAGAGCGGGAATCACCCAAGAACTCAAGAGACACGATCTTTCTTGGTCCTGATCATCCTGCTCGCTCAATCCGGCTCAAATCCTCCACTTCCGCTGCTCGAGCCCCGGCCAAGATCTGGGCACTTGGCTCTTTCTCTAGGCGACATCTTGGCCTTCTGCAGCATGGATCCAAGGAGTCAAGGACGGTTGATTGCATCTGCATGAGGGCGGAATGCCATCTCAGCAAGGCCTGTGGATGTCGCTGGACGCTTTGTCCGTTGCATGTTGCTGGTTTGCTACACCGTATATTTGACATTTGGTTTGATCAGGGCGAGGAAATCAAACAGCACAGCCTGCCTCTCTGAGTTCTTGGCATCCGGCTCCTTTGCGTGACTTGCCCGCTGACATGGCGACCAAGTGACAGGGCGTGATTGTGGATTGCCGCCTTCCCCTGTGGAACCCGACCACTCACCAAGCCACCAAGCCCACGCCCGGAGCAAATCACCGCCTTCCCAGGTCAACCTGACCGCTGTGAGAAGCCTTGTCGCAAGACCATCTTGGATTTCCATCACGACGCCGTACCGGGTACAGTACTTACTCGGACGGAGAAAATGGAGGGAGACGAGAGAAGGACGCCGACTTCTGCCGCCAGATCACGTGTACGGGTTTGCCCGTCTCGCCATTTTCTGGTTCGCAGTTAACAATCAGAAAAGGGGTTCAAATATTTACAGTCTCTCTCCTTGTATGACCGTGCAAGAAAGTCAACGGCATCATGCCCTCTCTCCTACTGTAGACACTCTATATCACGGATAAACTGCCATCTCCCAACCTCTCTTTTCAGTCATGTCGCGAACCATGTTCGTGGTCGACCGTGGCTCTGTGAGTTGCTCTTTTAACCCCAGCAACAGCATGTTAGCCAGTCTCATGATCCCGTTCCAACGCCCAAGTGCTGGCATACGCGGCATCGCCTTGTCATCGTCTTGTCCGGGCGTGCGGTCTCTCGTCGGCCACTGCTTGGCTTGGTGTCCAGCCTGAGACTCTCGCGGCGCTGCTGGGCAGTCCTTCTTGGCTATTCAACGCCAGGATAATGAAAAACCCGCGATTGCCATTCTCAAGCTCCTGCAGCGTGACTAATACAGTATGAGTGATAAATCGCTTCTCCGAGCCAACCTTGTCGGTCAGCAGGTGGACAAATCGTAGACCTCTAACATATGGGTCGCTTCTTGGATAAAAGCTTGTTCGAGGGCTGTTGGACGTAACATTATAATAGATGACCACGGAACCACGGATATCCTCAAAACGTACTAGTAGCTCTGCCATACATCCGCAGTAAGGTCCAGTTGGCAATTTTTTATGCCGAGCATGATTTTCGGAAGGGTCGGGCGCAAATCTTGGTATGGGAATGCGCCATGCCTGAGCGATACTCCTTCCCTTGAAAATCCGTGGAGGACCGTGGATCAGTGACCAGGGTTGTCTTCATTCAAGTACTCCGTACCCCCTTTCTCTTCGTTTCGTATGGTGTTCTCAACTTGGCTGTGACGACCGTTGCTACCCGTTAGTTCGCGGTGCAATGTAGAGTGTGCTATTCTCAATCATGCTCCGCGAGACAGACACGAGTCCCCGGTCTATCACGGCTCTGCAGTGATATGTGGTATGACCAGCCAGTGTAGATTTAACAGCGGCAGTTGTACGTGTCCAGCATTCACTACCTCGTGTAAAGTGCCACTTTCGTGGTAACTAATACGAGGATTAAGACCAAAGCGTTATCCAGTTCCAACAGGAAGGAACCTGGTAAGGAATAAATGGGTATACTTGACCGCTTCTCGTATAATAACTCAACGGATGAAGGCCTGTATCTGAATAAGAATAGCCTATCTTTATAACGTTCAAGGCATTGTTGCGGAACGAAGAATTGCCTTCATTCTGACATCAGTCGCCAGAGAGTTGGTAGAAGTCCTCGCAAGGCCAAGCCAAATGCCTCCGGAGGGCATTAATTTCGGCCATTCCAGTACCCGCTGATATCGGAGAGCCGACTGCCGGAGATCATGACGTCCTCTAGAGCCATGCTGAGAGCATAACAGGATAGAGAGCCATGAGTGATCGTAAGTCTGCCGCGAGAACATCGAAACAACCGCTCCGGGACCAAGTCTCTGCGCAATGATATCAAGGGGTTCGTGATGACCGTTGTTGCAACGTCTGGATGAGGTGCAACCAGGCGCATCCACTTGCTTGAAAATCTAAAATCGGTCAGCCACGAGCAGAAGTGACACTGAGTCTCTCAGGTAGCTACTCAGCGTCAATTTCTTACCCGCCACAGCACGGTGGTGTCAATCAAAGAGTGTCAGGTGCCTACCACAAAGCAAACATGGATATCCCATGATGGTGGAATTCAGCTGCCCTGGATTGCCGCCACAAGGGTAGCGACCTGGCTACACCAACCGATTGCATAGCAAAGACAGATGGCGGTGGGTTAACAGCCTCGTCGAAGACAAATTGCCGAGTGGCTGTGATCCGGGACAGGTTGTTTCAAAAGTTGCTGTCGTACCACATGTCTGCAATCGCACGCATGAGGTTCATGTTTGGTAAATAATGCGGTCGGCCGTTCGATCTTCTGTGCAACCACTGGTCAGGAAATCCGGGTTGGGTCTAGTCCGGCCTTGCCGGCCTCCCAGAATCATCTGTCACGTGTCGGCACGCGAGGCTTGCTCGCTATGGTCTTTTTGGCCGGCAGCACGAAACCCAAAATTGGGAATTCTCGAAGTGGCATGCTCGCAACTGTAAGCAGAATTGTTTCCACATGGCCGGCGATTCTGAGCCGGGAAGGTCGCGATGATGGAAATGTACCCGAAGATAGAGAGGCTCACCTAAGCACCGGTTTCCCTCGTTGCCCTGGCCACCCTGGCATCCTGGTGTGCGTGGGACTCTTGGAGCTGGGGTCCAATTTGATGTTGTTTCGTGAAACCCTGAATCATGCCCGCGGGGTCCGCACAAGGGTTGACGTTGCGTCACATCTTTGCTGTAGAATGTGCGACTTGCCAAACCGTCATCCCTACCGCAGCACCATGGTAATGCAATAGTGCGTAATTGTGCCGCATCGGCCTGTCGGCGGCAGGGTCATTCATGGTTAGAAGACATGCTCCGTACCAGTAAAGACCTTGGGGCAAGGGCCAAAAGTCGCAGGGGTAATCGACCCTAGAGGATTGTGCAACTTACCGCCCAAGAAGCACGGTGCAGATCGCAGTGCCACCCAAATGTATGTTTCGTACCTATGCGGGTTGAATGTGTCGATCATTGGCAATTTTTGACCAGCAACAGGCAAGGAGAGGTACATACGTTAAACGAAGTCTAGCGTCATCTCAGCCCGGATTTGGTCGAACCGCATAATGTAGAAATACGAGTCATCATGTTGTGGTCACCCCCTTGCTCTGAGTGGCAGCTGGTGGATGGCATTTGACAGCGCGGCGGCAAATGGGTGGGGAAGAGAGGACGAGGCGTTGTCCAAAGATAAGTGGCACAGTCTGACACGTAAATACACTGCGCACCTGATGATCAAAAGTGCTTGAAGGCGACGAAGGAGCTGATACAGCACCAGGTACCCAGTACCAAGAGTACAGAAAAGGGACAGAGCATGACTAGGTATTGCGAGAGGCATAGATAGTGTTGTTGTACCCAGTAGTAGTACGAGAGACCTACTACAGGCAAAGCTCGCCTTGAATTTAACAGCAAACCACTTCCAGCGCCTACCGCCGCTTATTTTGCAAGATGAGATCGCCTGTGTTGGTGCCTAGGCCCTAGGCTTGGGAGGCGTAAGGCTTGGGAGCCAGACTATCAGACAAGCCATGCGCCGCTTGACCGCATGCCCCGAAGCCACATTCCCCGAGCCCGCGCAACCTGGCAACCCCCCCTTGACCTTAGTTCTGGTGAAGGCGCAACGCCAGGTGTCACACTGGCTTGCGCCAGTTCTGGCCCCCTGAAAGTGGCGCGGAAATAGCCACGGAAAGAAAAGCCTGGTTTGTCTTGTATGACCAAGTGACCTTGAGGTTGTCTCCTTTTCGGTCTTGTCCATCTTTTCGTGGCCAGCAAAGAGATTTCTCTGCTTGTACGAGGTACTGGATAGAAATGCTCGTGTTTCAATTTTGTCCAGCTTGATGAGTCTGAGCCCGAGGCATTAGGTCAAGATTCGAGACGCAACGCGGATGATGGGCAGTGGCCGGGACGTTGGTGGTCTGGGGGGGTCAGACGGCTTGACAACAAGCAGGCGGTTGGCTGGCATTTGATTCCTTTTCGGAATAAGATGATGTCGCGGTGGGGTGGCTTGATTCCGTTTCTCGAAAACAGGCGAGGATTGGCAGGCAGCTCGTGGAGAGCAGAAATGAGCTAAGACGCTAGCCGAAGGACGTGGAGAAGACGGAGCAGCCGCACTGATGAATCCTGGAGGAGTTCAACAGCGAGGGCGAAGCGAGGGAGGGGACACCCCGGGAATGAGAAGATACCAAAGCCATGCGTTGCAGAGGTACCTGCCGTCTGTCCCGTGGCTTGCCCGCCCCCCCTTGGCACCGTGACTGGCGACCAAGACAGCTAGGCCAACGGAAAAATGGAATGGGATGGCCAAAAGTGAGGCCCCCTCCCTGTCAACGCCCCTGGCTACTTACGACGGAGCCACTGAAACGTGCCCAAAAATCCAATGGGGCGGCGGCACACCATCGAGGGACGGCCCACAGAACCTGTTCGTTCTGTTCCTCCTGTTCGTCATAAGTAAGGAGCATGGCGTACGCTTCCAGGAGACAGCCTGACATTTCTCCCGACCCCCTGGTCCTTCCCGAGGCTTTTGCGGTTAGCCTCATAGAATAGC